GACTGACCTCAATATTGAGAAGATTAATGACTGGCTTCACCAATTCATCCCACAGCATCCTCAAAACAGATTTGAACATGTCATCTGAAGATCTAAGTTGAGTATTGCTAACCCTCCCTGTTCGCTCTTCTTCCAGAAGATTTATATTTATGTCTTGGGTTTGTTCAATGAGCAGCCGTGATATTAGTGACTGAGAGCTAGCTATCTGAATGACATGAGCAAGTTCCTTCAACTTAGGAGTGCCTAAATTTGGAAGAGGGATGTGATGAATGATTGTCGATGTCATGATGAGGCAATGGCTTTCATCATCATTCGCAATGAGAATGACCACTGGATGTTCTGATGCAGCAGCTTTGAGTGAGGATAAACGGGATGGGCATAGAAAGTCCTCAAATCCGTTCTTTGTCCTAACTTTGTCAATAGATTGAGCCCATTCTTCATAAAGGCGATTGAGTCGGGCTGCTTCCTGGTCTATAGATAACTTCTTCCTGTTGTCCAAAATCTCAGAAAAAACATCACGATGAGATCCAATCTCCAGTTGAGTTGCAATATCTTGTAGCTTATCTGCCAATTCTGGTTCAATTTTGTGGAGTTGATCAAAGGGTGAGCGGAGAGATAGGGCCTGTGACCAGAAGATACTTCATCCTGCTTCTAGAAGTTCTATGGCTTTGTCTATACGTCCAGAGCGAATAGCACATCTAGCTGCATCACGAGCTAAACCATCACTGCCTGCTGTCATGGCAATCTGTCGTGATGCTACATCCAAGCTCAGAGCAGCTACTTGTGGTAAAACCTGTATGGAAGCTTCATAAGCATCAATTGCAGAGCTATGTTGATTTATATCTGCAAAATGTATCCATGCCCTTGCAACGTGGAGGCGATTAGATGGAGATTGGAAGGGGTATTGGGTAGCAGTGAGGAAATGAGACATTGCTTCATCAAGATGACTTTGCTGGCCTCCTTGCTGAAATTGGGTTGACAGTGCAGAAGCAAGATTATGGAGTGAGCTGGATCGGTCAGGATGGGGTGGAAGTCGGAGGTTGAGAGCTTGCCTGTGCAGAGAAATGGCTTCATCAAGATCACTTTGCTGACCCCTCCACCGAAATCGAGTCGAAAGTGCATTTGCAAGATTGCTGAGCAAGCGAGATTGAAGGGGATGGGGTGGAAGGAAGAGCTTGAGAGCTTCCCTGTGCAGACAAATGGCTTCATCAAGATCACCTTGCTGACCTCCTTGCTCAAATTGAATCCTCAGTGCATTTGCAAGATTGTTGAGTGAGCTGGATCGATCAGGATGGGGTGGAAGTTGGAGCTTGAGACCTTGCCTGTGCAGAGAAATGGCTTCATCAAGATCACTTTGCTGACCCCCTGACTGAAATCGTGTTGACAGTGCATTTGCAAGATTGTTGAGTAAGCTGGATTGACTGGGATGGGGTGGACTACAGAGCTTGAGAGCCTGCCTGAGCAAAGAAATGGCTTCATTGAGATCATTTTGCTGATGCCCTTGCTCAAATCGGGTCAACAGTGCAGAAGCAAGACTGTTGAGTGAGCTAGATCGATCAGGCTGGGGTGGAAGTCGGAGCTCAAGGGCTTGCCTGTCCAGAGAAATGGCTTCATCAAGATCACTTTGCTGACCTCTATGCAAAAATCGGGTCAACAGTGCAGAAGCAAGATTGGTGAGTGAGCAGGATCGATTGGGATGGGATGGAAGAAAGAGCTGAAGAGCTTGCTTCTGCAGACAAATGGCTTCATCAAGATCACTTTGCTGACTGCCTTGTTCAAATCGGGTCCACAGTACAGAAGCAAGATTGTTGAGTGAGCAGGATCGAAGGGGATGGGGCGGAAGTCGGAGGTTGAGAGCTTGCCTATGCAGAGAAATGGCTTCATCAATATCACTTTGCTGACCTCCTTGCTGAAAGCGGGTCAACAGTGCATTTGCAAGATTGTTTAGTGAGTGGGATCGATTGGGATGGGGTGGAAGGAAGAGCTCAAGAGCTTGCCTGTGCAGAGAAATGGCTTCATCAAGATCATTTTGCTGACCTCTTTGCTCAAATCGGGTCCACAGTACATTGGCAAGATTGTTGAGAGAACTGGATCGAAGGGGATGGGGTGGAAGTCGGAGCTTGAGAGCTTGCCTATGCAGAGAAATGGCTTCGTTGAGATCACTTTGCTGACCTCCTCGCAAAAATCGGGTTGATAGTGCATTTGCAAGATTGTTGAGTGAGCTGGATTGATCAGGATGGGGTGGAAGGAAGAGCTCAAGAGCTTGCCTGTGCAGAGAAATGGCTTCATCAAGATCATTTTGCTGACCTCTTTGCTCAAATCGGGTCCACAGTACATTGGCAAGATTGTTGAGTGAGCTGGATCGAAGGGGATGGGGTGGAAGTTGGAGCTTGAGAGCTTGCCTATGCAGAGAAATGGCTTCGTCAAGATCACTTTGCTGACCTCCTCGCAAAAATCGGGTTGACAGTGCATTTGCAAGATTGTTGAGTGAGCAGGATTGATCAGGATGGGGTGGAAGTCGGAGCTTAAGGGCTTGCCTGTGCAGAGAAATGGCTTCATCAAGATCACTTTGCTGACCTCCTTGCTCAAATCGGGTCAACAGTGCATGTGCAAGATTGTAGAGTGAGTAGGATCGAAGCAGGATGGGGTGAAGGCTGGAGGTTGAGAGCTTGCCTATGCAGAGAAATGGCTTCATCGAGATCACTTTGCTGACCTCCTTGCAAAAATTGGGTTGACAGTGCATTTGCAAGATTGTTGAGCAAGCTGGATTGATTGGGATGAGATGGAAGTTGGAGCTTGAGAGCTTGCCTGTGCAGAGAAATGGCTTCATCAAGATCACTTTGCTGACCTCCTTGCTCAAATCGGGTCAACAGTGCATTTGCAAGATTGGAGAGTGAGTAGGATCGAAGGGGATGGGGTGAAAGTCGGAGGTTGAGAGCTTGCCTATGCAGAGAAATGGCTTCATCGAGATCACTTTGCTGACCTCCTTGCAAAAATTGGGTTGACAGTGCATTTGCAAGATTGTTGAGCAAGCTGGATTGATTGGGATGAGATGGAAGTTGGAGCTTGAGAGCTTGCCTGCGCAGAGAAATGGCTTCATCAAGATCACTTTGCTGACCTCCTTGCAAAAATCGGGCCAACAGTCCATGTGCAAGATTGTTGAGAGAGATAGATCGATCAGGATGGGGTGGTAGTTGGAGCCCAAGAGCCTGTGCAGAGATATGGCTTCATTGAGATCACTTTGCTGACCTCCTTGCTGAAATTGGGTTGACAGTACATTTGCAACATTATGCATGACAGCTGCATAATTCTCACTTCCCTGAGGTAGCTCTGCAATCCCTTCCCTGAAAAGTGTCACTGCAGTATTCAGCTCAGCCACATTACCTGACATTGTGAACTGTTTACAAAGTTCATTGGCCAACTCAAGTGATTCCAGAGTACCTGTGGAAGTTCCAGTGCCTTTGGTCATCCAGTCTGATGCCATTTGGAGATCAGAAATATCCCCAATTAAATCAAATCGTGTTGCTAATAGCCCACAGACCCGGAAGTTTATGTTCAATTCCTGCTGATCTTGCTCTGTGCAACATTTGCTAGCATCTTGCAAACTAGAAATTGCATCATTCAGGTCAGTCAGATTATAGGAATGGATAAAGCGGGCATATAATGCATCAACCAGAGTAGTCAATGCAATGAACCAGCTAGTAGATTCAGCAGATAATTGTGCAAGTGCCTGTTGAACAAGGAAGACGATCTTGTTCAGAATGTGAAGGGAAGTTGACTTCTGGAAGTCTGTCAACAATCCCTTTGCCAGTTCCAATGTGTCTTCTGTGGCAGTCTTGTCCTCTAGCTGAATGGTGGTCTTGGTCTTAATCTTCACTAAGCTAATATATGTTGTCAAGAATGAAATGTGCTCACTTCAGGGCTCTCCTCTTGGTCTAAAATCCGACCCTCAACTATCTCGTTGCGAAGAGTCATAGATTCCATCAAATCATGTCTCTGATTGGTGTACATGAATCTGACACCTAATACGGACGCAAGATCCCCCTTGGCAGAAGGGTGGAGTGGGTGTGTTGCTGGGCGGCTATCTTTAACTTGACGGAACAGGAAGACCACATTGTTTAGCTCTGAAAGCGATAACCCTGCCTTGCATTCTGCCATGAGCAAGACGGCAAGATTGACCATTTCAGACACATCTTTCTTGCCATCGTTAATAAACTCCTGCAGTATAGGTCATTATAATCATAATCTCGGCCCTCGGGAAGTGAGATACTGTCATTTACTTACATTGGTAGCGATAGTGTTCCTATCAATGTCTGTTGTCCGCCCAGCTGGGCCAATATCTGTGACCTGCTCCTCATTAGCCTATTGCGAATCCGCGATGCATGGAATGTTGTAAAGGACGTACTAGTTGAGGGCTCTCCTGTGCACTAGCTCCGGTACGGTCACTTTGTCCACCTGGTGTCTGTATAAGTATGGTTAACAACCACAAAAGATATTTCCCGAATCCGTGATACGAACGCGAGCTCCCACAATATGAGATCCTAGGTCTAGCTCTGGCGCATCTAATTTGCCAGAACTATCAGAGGGCAATTTTGACGCTGGCATGGTGACGAGATATTGTAGAGGTTGATTGAAGCTTGTCAAAGAGGTTTAGTGGAAGATGCAAGGAAGATGGCTGAGTTGAAGGTCGTATATGAAGGCTGGGTAACTTGAAAGAGTTGGTAAAGAGATTCAAAGAGACGAGCCGCTGGGCGTACAGTTACTTCCCACGTTATTCCTTCCTCCAACTTCTCATCGTAGGTTTCCCCTTTCCTGTCTCAGCCATCTACGTCCCTAAACTTCCTCTAGCTCTTTGTTATCTTTGTCGGTGAAGGACGCGAAACTCTCACACATCACCAAGTTGCCAAGTCATCGTTCATCCAGAAAGTCATTGCTCGTACAGAATCATGGTGTGTCGCCTTCCTCTTAGCCGTCCGTTCGCTGCCCTAATCCGCCCCCAGGAACTCGGTATCGACGCCATCGGTAATGAAACTAGTCGCGCCTATATTTACTCCCAACCTGCCGTATACCTGGGCAATGAACGAATACGTGAGACTTTCAGTGGCAGTCGTGTGTCGTTTTTCTTCTCTTGGCCTATTACTCCGTTCTAATCAGTCATCTATCTACTTTTTAGCCTGTCATCGATCTTCGAGCGCATCTCCTTCTGTCTCTCCACGGCGATAGGTCTAAGCAACTCGTCCCTAGGCAGCAGTCGCCTTTATGTCTTCCACCTGCTGTAGAGCTTTTCAACATGGAAGGTTGATACTCATTCGAACTATGCGATAAACGGAAATCATCTTGGATCTGGGATTCGAGGGAGAGATTGGTTTTTGATCAGGACCTATCAGGTATCTCGGCCGAGGTTAGACGTTACGTATCTGGTACGTGGTTCATCCGTCTTCGCAACCCCGCCTGGCGCTGACGCTAACGCTTCCTGCCAAGCGTAGTATCTGGAGGCAAACCGGTCGCCGCCACGTGTTACGTTATGGATGAACAATATGGTTCTCCGATGTTTTCTCTCTCATCCGACCTTCATTCGTTTGGTGCTCGCCTTCTCTTTCTCCACATTATCTGTTCCACTCGAGCCTTCATTTACTTCTTAGGTTCACGCATATTGCTATCTTTCTTTCTTCAAACCCTCATCGTCAAATGGAACCGCTGTTGGGGGAATATAGCGTTGCGGCACATGTACGGCGCATTGACTTTTAGCTTCTAGGTGCACGCGTCTAATCTTCTGTCTCAGATATACAAGCTATCGCAGAGCTCCCTCGCCGAGCTGGCTCGAAACTCTGTAAGGCAGAGCAGATTCGAGATGGAAATAAAAAGGCGTTGGCTGGGCCATGAGTGGTACCTCCCTGGTGCGGCTGGAAACGATATCCACAAGGCAAGCACTTCGGCCGCTACTTACGACTTTCTCTTGAACCTTAACTTGATTTTAGACGAACGTCCCAAATATCAAACTCGCCTATAGGCACCAGACCCTCCTGGGAGAGCTGGATATGATTCGCGGAAAGGTGGTGTCCGAGTCGAATACGGGGTATCATCATGGTACGGGGCAGTCGAGCGTTGCTGCACAGAGTCCGCGATTGTTTTTTGGGAGTGTTTTGCCCACACCGGACGCGTGGCTGCGAAAATAATGGCGAAAAACGTTCAAGTATTTCTAGCGTTTGGAGCCTTGGTTGAACTATGCTTGGTTGAGCTTGTGACGCGCCAGTTAAATACTTGGAACCCGCTGCATATTACCAACTAATGGATGCATTTGCTTTCGAAGTCTTGGAAGATGCAAAGTCCTGGAATTGGCCGATCGTAAAGCGCATCGAACAGAGCGGCAACCAAGGCAAAGCTATAGTTCCAAATTTGCTGTCTTGTTTGATAAAGGAGTCTCAGGCCCTTGGTGGTACGGTACTGGAAGAATTCTGGGAAACGGTTGGAAAATGCAATGACAAGCTTCAGGATAACAGTGCGTCAAATTCTTTCGCTTCAGAACGTCAAGGTCTGACTTTTATATACAGTTAAAAATGTCACCTCCGTTCCGCCGGGTCAGGCATCGGCAATACTATTTGCAGGGGTCAATAAAAAGGACATTAACCTAGACCCATTATTCGACATGGCGGCTGAGTACTTGACACATCTCGCCGTTGCATGTGCGCATCCGGTGATTTTCTGATCATTGGACACCTCAAGACTAATTCCATCGTAGTTTTGTGCCCAGAAGGACTCAAAGCATGGACCAGCTCGCCATGCTCAGTCAGTGATATCATATCGCTGGAGACGGACGAACTGCGCGCTTTGGCTGACCAGGAGGGTTTTCGTAATGCGAAAGCAAGAGGCCCTCACGCGTTTGGTATGCTCTAACGTGGTTTTGCCGCTCACACCTCTGACGGTATCGTGACACAGGCTTTCGAGCGCGATGGTACACGATGTGTAATGACAGGAGCGAAGTTCCATGAGACGCTCACAGACGTTAACGATTTCCACCCTAATCTGGCCCATATAATCCCCAGCTCGATTCATGGCAAAGTCTGTTGTATTATTTTAATGGCGCCCATTTACTAACATGCTCTCCAGCCGGACACCATGAAATGTCTTGCCATGTTCGCCGGCGGGTCGGCTAGCGATTCCGACCTCAAACATATGAATGGTGTTGGAAATGTCGCGAATTTTCAATCCGATGCACACTGGCAGTACGATGAATTGCGATGGGGGATTGAAGCTCGAGAAGAAGGTGGAAATGTACGTGCTTAAAGCCCCCCGCTTGCGATGCACTTCAACCCTTGATTTCAGGTCAAGTACATCTACAGAAGGGTTCCGTATTGCTCTGATGTTGGTCCGGTGGGAATTGATTTGCGAGACGGTGACGAAATCCAATTTGGAGGTGGTACCAAGGGGGAGAGGCTTGGAAGAGGACCGCTTCCCCTCCTCTGCAACATTCGACTTGCCATGGCTCGTGCCTTGCACATGAGCGGAGCTGCAGAGGTGGTTATGCAACTGAAAGTGGATTCTGATGATTCTGATACCCCTCATGCATATGTTGCCTCTGACTACTTTCTGGATATTCTAGATGCAAAGTTACTCCTCCAGAGTATTCATGTGTAATCACTATTCAGACAGTTTCATTGTGAAATATACAAGTATATATATATGATCCACGTATGCGGGACCATAGAACAACTTCTTTCCAATAGAACGACGTGTGTATGGCCGGAAAACTTGGCCCGGGAGAGATCCAAAATTTGAATTTGCTTGCCTCTGATACGAAAAGCCGTGAATAATCAAAATTGAACATAAACACATCGCGTAAAAAGATTTTTTCTCTTGAGATGCATGTTTGATCGCGGTGCATTTTCATTCCGAGTCCAGTGGAGAGTTTTTGTGAATGTCTAATTTTAGCGCGTCACGCTGAATCGTCGCTGATGTAATGTGCGAACAAAGCGTGCATAACAACGTCCGTTTGCCTAATTTGCACTGCTGCCACTGCAAGCCCCTTCAGCCAAAGGGTTTCGTGCCAGTGTTAGTGCTGCTTCAGATGGCTGACACTGACTCTGGCATCCAGTCTCGAACACCGCTTTTCTGGGCGCCCGAGGACTGTGAAGCTCTGGGAACCCACCTCCGAAGCACAACCTTAAGTTGTGGAGAACTGTCAACTGGCGGCGTTGCTTCCAAGACTGAGCTCCACGGCCTCATGCAGTTACTCGGATCTGCTGGTAAACATCGTCCCAGCGTTTCGTGTGCGGTACAACAGCGCTGTACAGCGACTTGCGAAACATTCTCGGACAGGTCTTGGGAGCGCTGAAGGAAGCGTGCATATTTGTGGGGTTCTCTCATGCTGTGTATTACAAGACTACCGGAGTCATGTTCTCGCCTCCGAGATGGCCTACGTAACTGGAGTGGGACTTTTTTTTGCATAACTAGTCTCTGTCGGTGCTGTTTCATATCATTATCATTATGCTTCTCGGACGATTAGACAAGCAAACAACATCAGAGACATTCATGTTACGGCGCTTGCTGTGTGGGGGCTCAGACGACCGGACTTTACTTCCTTCCTTGGCCATTGTGGGTGTGCCATATATAAACAATTGCGCGAGTCACTTCCATTTCCCTCATCCTTCCCTCTTCCCCTTCATCTTGAGCGCTTTGCTATATGATGGACTCTTCCACGAGGAAACCTCGTACACTTGTTTTGTGCTTTGATGGAACCTCTAACGAATATGATGAAGATGTGAGTACATGCGCGTCCGCTTCTGCGTGTGAAATGATCTGATTTCTCTTCACTTCGCGGTTAATAGAATACGAACGTGGTGAAGTTGTTCGCACTGCTGAAGAAGGATGCTACCGATGAGCAGCTGTGCTATTATCAGGTATGTTTTGAGCCTCCCTCCACCTGTTCGGGTGAGACTGACCACTTTGTCAGTCCGGCGTTGGCACTTGGTTTCAGCCTGGTGTTGTTTCGCCACTTTTCAATTGGGGAGCGAAGATCTTGGATCTCGCTTTCGCTTGGTAAGTTCTGTAGTAATCGTTCAAATATAGACCAGCCCTTTAATTGAATATCTAGGTATATGGACGCCCATGTTCTCGAGGGCTATAAGTTTTTGATGCAGAACTACCGAGCGGGGGACAAGATCTGTATTTTTGGTGCGTCCTTGTTTTGTAAAACCTAATTTTCTCAGCTAACTCGAACACAGGTTTCTCTAGAGGTGCATATACTGCGAGGTACGCTCCAGGTCTCGATCAAAACATCCATTTCTTATTGGATATCTAGAGCGTTGGCTGGTTTCCTTTACAAGGTAACTAAGCATTGGAAATAGTAGCTGTATGCGCGTTGATTCACTCTCCTACGTAGTGTGGCCTCCTTCCTCGCGACAATGACTCCCAAATGCCGTTCGCCTACAAGCTCTATAAGCGCACAGATACAGCGGGGCTTCAGCTCTGTGCAGGATTTAAGCAAACTTATTGCCGTAATATCACAGTCGAATTCGTCGGCGTCTGGTGCGCACTCCCTTCTTCGTCTTCGCTCAGGTTTCTGAACCTATATTAGGGATACGGTAGCCAGTGTCGGCGTCCTCGCCGGTCGCACTCTTCCATTCACCAACGCAAACCGGGGAATCAAGACCTTCCGACATGCGTTATCCCTTGACGAGGTACGCCTGTCTCCGTCTTCTTTTTTCAAAGTCAAAGGCGCTTATGTTCTTTTATTTTTCCCAAGCACCGGGCAAAGTTCAGACCAAACTTCTACCACCGGCCTGTACATACCGAAGCGCTCGCCGCGGAAGAACGCGCCCAGGAAGAAGCCGTGGAGAAAGGGGTCGTGGAAGCATTAGATGAGTTCGATAAAGCGTCGTCCTCTTCTGCGGCTGGGTCCATCGACAAGAAGAAGCGTTTTTCAGGTCGAAGTGTCCCTTTCAGGAAGAAGACCGTGGAAAGGAAGGCTACTGGAAAGTCATTTGCACCCGAGCTGGAGGACGAAATTATCCCCGCAGATGTTTTGGAAGTTTGGTTTTCTGGGTGCCACGGCGGTATATCGTCTTTCTTGATCTCGTCTACAATTCACTCATTTTTTCCTCTTTGTCCAGACGTTGGAGGAGGCTCTGTACCCAACAGCGCCTTCGAATCTCTCGCCAACATCAGTTTGAGGTGGATGGTGCGCGAGGTGATCGCATCTAGGTGCGGTGTGTTGTTTGATCCTGCGTCCCTTGCTCGCGCTCGAATCGATATCTCCCCCGAACGCACTCCGCATGAAATGGAAATGGATGATAAAGATTCCTTGGAGCCTATTGACGACGAATTGGTCAAGACAAAGATGTGGTGGGTCTTGGAAATATTACCGTTGCATTTTACATGGCAGGATGCGGATGGAAATTGGCACACGGATTTTGGGTGCGTATTTTTGTTTGAGTTGGGATTGAATTTGAGGTCCTCATCCTTTGCCGTAGTTGCCACATGGGAAGGGGGCGACGTATTGTGGACCCTCACCCGAATTTCCATGTGACGGTCCAGAAACGTATGAAGAGCGCCCTAAAATATAAACCTAAGGCGGCTTGGACGGCGGGGACGGAAGTATACGTTCATTGATTTTTCTAATGAAGGTATGAAAGTAATGTTAATGATTGGTTAATGATTGGCCGACGAGGAGACGACTAAATTATGATTATTGTAGACGTACTTTACGGTTATTTGACGACTCAGCTTGTTCCGCTATATGTTCTTTACGATGTTTTATTACCATAATGACCAGTACAATAGCGATTTTTAACTTTTGACTCATGAGAGGCATGAAGTTGGCGGCCAAGTAAAGACACCGTGGGAATACTCCGCCTCGGAATTGGCAAAAGGGATCTGGACGTGACAACTGGTTGCGACAAGCCCTCATCGTCCTCGAGTCTCCTGATCCCCCATTTCCTCAATTTTTTGTCGTATTACCCGGGCAACTCGTCTCCGGATCGACTCGTATCCTTTGTTTTGGCTATGGCGACTCCCATCCGGAAAAAGAGGAATTTCAAGGCTCTGCAGCTGCAGGTGGCTGAGAATGCGCCAGCACCAGCAGCTCCGAAGGAGCCTGACCCGATTGCCATACGTACAGCACCTACCGTTTCAGGAGCTGCACCAGGTTTGAAGAAACGCCCGCCACCGATGACGCTGAAGGCGCCAAAGATACCAACATCTAGCGGCGCGGTGTCTGCTGTTGAGCAGGATGGCAACCTCCTCACGGTAGGCAGTGGGCCAAATTCTGCCCCACACACTTCTACGGCCTCTGTGAAGCGAAACACGTATCATGCCACGTTATCGACCACACTTGCGAACCTAGATATGAACGCGGAGATCAAGTTCGACTTGCGGAATGAGGATCTGAAGGACTTGCAGGAGCTTGGGCAGGGTAATGGTGGGAGCGTGAAGAAAGTCGAACACGTTCCAACGAAAACTGTTATGGCCAAGAAGGTTCGTTATATCACCACTTTTCACTTGTGGCTTTGGTCATGGAATTGCTGCGGTATAGATCGTTCTCATCGATGCGAAGCCCTCTGTACGCAAGCAAATTTTGCGCGAGCTGCAAATCATGCACGACTGTCACTCCAAATATATTATCTCTTTCTATGGCGCCTTTCTCGCCGATCCGAACATCTGCATCTGCATGGAATTCATGGATAAAGGCTCTCTCGATGGGATATACAAGAAAATTGGCGCTATCGATATCGATGTCGTCGGCAAGGTCGCGCTGGCAGTTTTAGAAGGCTTGACATATCTCTATGATGTCCACCGCATCATACATCGGGGTAAGTCTCTGATACCGTTGATTGTCCACGTCACGTGATTTGCATTTCTTACTCCTTCATCGTCATAACGATTCATGCTGATTCTCCAATTCCCAATTGCCGCCATGCAGACATCAAGCCTTCAAATATCCTGTGCAACTCAAGAGGGGAGATCAAAATCTGTGATTTTGGTGTGTCAGGCGAGCTGATCAATTCGATCGCGGACACATTTGTGGGAACATCGACGTATATGAGCGTGTGTAGCTTTCCCGTTATTTCCTTGACAGCCCTTATAATCTTTTCCTGTCTTCAGCCTGAGCGAATACAAGGCGCTCAATATACCGTCAAGTCTGACGTTTGGTCTCTTGGGATATCGCTGATCGAGCTTGCTCTCGGTCGATTCCCCTTCTCCGAATCTGTTTCCGATGACTCGGACCTCTCAGACTATGAGGGGACACTCTCACCCGCTCGGCCGGGATCTATTTCGCTGTCGGGCCTCCCGCCAGCGAGGATCAAGAACAAGAGGAATAGCACGGCTAAGAAGGACAAGAGGAAGAGCAAGGGGGTCAGCTTGCAGGGTGGCGCGATGACCATGAGCATTTTGGAGCTGTTGCAACATATCGTGAATGAGCCAGCGCCACGGCTGACACCTGAGGGTAGATACCCGAAGGAAGCTGAGGCCTTCATTGATAGTTGTTTGCTGAAGGACCCTGATGATAGGAAGACGCCCAAGGATCTGCTGGTACGTTGTCCTTACACTATCAAATTCACGCCTTGGGACTCATCGCTTCTTTTCTTCGTTGAATAGAAAGATGAATGGATAGAACATGCCAAAGTATCGGACATCAATCTAGAAGAGTGGGCCAGCACCTTTTAAGCAAATTTTCCAAGTCCCAGCAGTACCGACCGCCAGCACCCTGCTTGCCCGTCTTGGCCAACCATAAATCTCGTTGGGCCCGGCGTCCAATCATGCACGATCCGATGACGCTCTTTACTTATTCACGACCCCCTCCTGCATTTGGACTCGGACTCCTTTTGCAAGAATATGATATCCCTGACCACACCCACACCTTAACCTACGCCCCGCATCGTATTTTTATTTACAAGACCACGGTTCTCATACTCACTCACTCTTTATTTCTCGCCCCACGTTCTTGTTCATGGTTATTTTGTTTTACGTTTCCTTCGATTTGTTCTGAGGGCGCCAAAATGATAAATGTATATTATTAGAAGATGCGTAGAGTCAACCCAGTCTCTGGTGTGCTTGATCTGAGAGGCGTTCAAATTCATCTTGATTTTGAGTTGCGTGCGAAACTTTGGTTGAATTCCGCTGAAGCCCGACGGTGACACTGGACAACTCATCTCCTCTACTTCAACTATCGGTCCTCGGAGTCCTTGACAATGATGCGCTTCGCAAACTTGTTAAGGGCTACCAATAACATTGAACGTCCAATGCTGCAATGCCTGCAAACGGGATTCCAGCAGCGGCTGGTAACGGGACTTCACTCATACTCTCCTTATGCGATTCTGGCTCGAGCTAAAGAAGAACAATCCAAAATCGGATCGGTATGTCATTACAAGCACTATGCAAGTGTGAAAGGCGCTAATTGAAATTCGCTCCAAAGACGCAAGCGAGAGGAAGGCCAAAGGCTGTGTGGAGGAACCCAGTATCCACGTTCAATCAACATAAGTTATTGCGGAGCGATCACATCGACGTCTCGAATTTCGCTCGGCCCATAGTCAAGCTCAACGACTCTGAGCAGCATACTTGGCAGATGTCCTATCGAGAATTGCGGGGCGAGAGGGTGCAATTCCCTTCAAACTCCCGCGGGTTCCTGTACTTCCATCAACCTCAAGGCGCACCCCTACTTGCTGGCGAATTACGCTTCCGACTCACTCCCAGCGATCTTCCCAAGAGCTTTAGTCAAGGTGAAGATTGTATGACCCCTGAGGGGGACGTATGGAAGATACCCCTCTTCGTCCTACATTCTTTCCCGTACCATCGGCATATCTATCAACGGCTTCGCAAGGACGGGCTCGTTTCTGACGCGTTGCATTTGAAGCTCGCGGATGTCCTCAAGACTTGTCTCTGTCCGAGGAATACGAGCGTCATCTTGCATTCACTTGATCAAGTGTTCCCCGTCAACTTTGCCGTCCGGAGTTTAAGGTTCTTCATAGTGGGCGACTCGTCTTGCCGAATGGTCGACGTTCGTTTCCCCTTTGAGATGCAGGTTGTGCGACATGAGAAGGGGACTCCATTTACAAGTGCGAATAAACTCTATTTTTTTTTTTTGAACGATTTTGAATTGAGACTGATAAGTGAAACTTTAGGTAAGGGCTTGGTGCGCTTTGAGCTTTCGAGGCTACCGGAACATGAAGGAAGCAGAATGCTGGTGATGCGTGTTGTCAAGTTGTTGGGAGATCTGGGGTCTTACCTTGGAGAAGATCGGCCAGTAGAGAGGGCTCTGGTGTTGCGGCATAACCCTGCTGGAGGGGAACCCAAGGTGTTCTGTTTGAACATTGATCGCGATACACCCGACCACCGCACAAAAGGCTTTTCGCATCCTGATGCGTTCCCTCTGCTTCTCAGAAGTTCTCTTGGGGACGAGAGTTCCAGGCCATAGTCGTCCCCCGCCTGTTTCACTCACGCTGTTTTCTGCACAACGTCAATTTGGAACGCAATGGCCTGCGTGACTTATTCTTCGTTCGCCGATACAAGCGCCGCGTGAGGAACATTGAAGTCATTCTCTAGGAGTTTTATTACACAAGTGCGGTGATCTCTGCTCAGTTTACTTGCTCTCTCTGACGTGCAGTTTTACGGTCAACAGAGATCTGGAAGTAATCCGTTCTGACCATATCACGCACCCCCTCGGCAATGCCAAAGTTGCCAAAGTTGTTCCACAAGCATACAATTCTACGGCCAGTGGGTACGGGCATGTAGTTCTATGAGACGAAGCCCACTTTCCGAGGGTTAGGGATGGATGTTACGAAGGCAGGAAATTAGACCCACGTGAACGTGAGCTGGAGCCCGCGAAACTGACCGCTTGAGGACAAACAGCTTCATAGATGTTTTTGGGAGGAATTGTACTACTTACAAGACTACTTACTTGCACCTTGAAATGTTCCTTTGATTCTGATTTCGCGTGCGAAATTTCGGTTTCGATCGCTGGTCGCCCCTGATCACAACGCAACACACTACCTCTAAGTACAACGCGACGCCGTACCACCTCTCTAGTCGGTTTATGTCGGCGGGCCTTGGGAACATGTCAAGGACTATCAAGAAGATCGAACTTCGAATACCACACTGCACAGTAGGATTCCGACAGAGTCGATGGCTCCCAGTCGTTAGCCTCCTCCGTTCATACTCCCTTGCTACGATTCCGGCTGAAAAGGTTGATGGAATATATAAAAGTAAAGCGGTATGTCATTTCACCCCTTCAAGGATGATAAAAGATGTCTGACCCTTGCACTAAAGAAGAGAATCAGAAGGGCGGCAATATCCACCTTGGACCAACATAAATTACTGCCCAGCGATTTCATCGACATTTCCAACAGGTGCTTCCGGCCTGGTATCAGGTTTCAGAACGATACATCTGTGTATCCTTGGCAGATGTGCTACCACGATGACCAAGGCAAGGCATCGCAATTCCCTCCAGACTCGGCCGGATTCCTCTACTACCATCAACCCCAAGACGGAACCCCACTTGCGGGCGAGCTGCGCTTTCGACTCACCCCCAGTAACCTTCCTCAGAGTTTTAGCCGAGGCAAAGATTGTCTCACCCCAGATGGAGCTGTCTGGAAGATGCCGCTCCTTGCCCTGTATCGTTTCCCATATAATAGGCGTATCTATCGACAGCTTCAACTAGACGGCTTTATCTCCGACGCGTTACATTCAACGGTCGAGAACGTGGTTAAGACTAGCCACTGTCCTCACTATACTAGCGTCATCTTGCACTCACTGCACCAAGTATTTCCAATCAATTTTGCAGCGTGTCGTTTCAGGTTCTTTGTAGTGGGCGACTCCACTTGTCATACGGTTGACATTAACTACCCCTTCAGGATGTCCGATACAGAGAATAAGAGGGCGTCTCCTTACACAAGTGCGGATCATTTTCTTTTGCTTGGTGCCCAGAACTGATGAAGCTTTTAGGTAAGGGTTTCGTGCGTTTCGAGCTTTCAACGCTACCCGAGCACGCAGGGACGAGAACAGTGGTGATGCGCGTTGTGAAACTAGTCGGAGATCCGGGGCCGTATCTGGGGCACGATCGACCGGTTGAAGGGGCGCTGGTACTTCGACATAGACCTTTCGGGAAATCCGAGGTATTGTGTTTCGACGCTGATCGCAATACGCCTAGGAATGGCGTGAAGGGTTTTTCGCATCCTAACGCGCTTCCTCTGCTTATAGACAATACCTTTGGGGGCAAGCACTAGGCCATAGTTGTTCCTCGCCTGTTTCACCCATGTCTTTGTGTTTCACAGCCCACCTAGGCTTGCAACGACTTATCAGGTCGGTCGCCATTACAAACACCACGGATGTTCCAGACTCCAGTTGAGGCCGTCGTCGACGGACAAAGCCAATCCCTGCGTGGTTGCTGCCTACCCGTTGCGCCTTCGGCTGCCCTCAGTCGTGATGGTTTTTTCTGGGGGGGCTTACTCTTCTGATGGCATGCCCACGTCATTGATGAAAAGATGCGCAAAAGAATTGAAGTAGGCTCGCAATACACTGCTGCGCCGCAACGTGACTGGGGGCTTGAGAAACGGAATGGGAATCCGACTTGAACATATGTCTTTTTTCGAGGGAACAAGGTTGTGATCATAATGACAATTCTCTAAACTACTTGGCCCATTGTCGAAAGCCATGCACCCAGCTCTATGCTTATTGCAGAGGTCACTTGTGTGTCGACAAGTACCTCGTCCTTGTCACTAATTTCGGGCGCAAAAATATCGGCAATATCGAGAAAAGAAATACTTGATGAGTACACGTAGACGAACGAACTTCATGAGTCTCATTGATTTTGAGAAGACAACAGTGGGCTCGGGTATCTGATGGGGTACCTAGACGGGGGCTACATATGTTTAAGCCTCTATATTTTAGTTGTGATGAGGGAGAATTGTACGTGGGACAGGAGGCCAAGCAAGGGAGTAGACGTAGCGTCCCTAGTGGTGTCTGTAAACACGGCAAATGATAAGCAGCTTCGTTGCAGGCCCAGATCGGTCACGGTGCACGAACACATGGCAAGGCATAGCTACGGCTTAAAATGCTCGCCCCGAAAGGTATTTTCGAGAAGCAGAGGGAGTGCATCAGGATGCGAATAGCCTTTCAGACCCTTTTCGGGTGTTAAAGCCAACACCCTGGGTTTCCCGCCGGCAGGCTTGTGTCGCAATACCAGGGCCCCCTCTTGTGGCCGATCTTCCCCCAAGTAAGGCCCCGGATCTCCCACAAGTTTCACAACGCGCATCACCACTGTTCTGGTTCCTGCGTGTTCAGGCAACTTTGAAAGCTCAAAGCGCACCAAACCCTTACCTAAAAGGTCACCAATCAGTTTCGACTGGCAATTTTTCCAAGAAAGAGCTCATCCGCACTGGTGAATGGAGACACTCTATTGTAGCCTATGACTTGTGTTGCAAAGGGGAAGCGTAGGAAAACCCTTCGGTAAGTCGAGTCGCCAACTACGAAGAGGCTCAAAAACCACGTTGCGAAATGTACAGGGAATACTTGGTGCAGTGAATGCAAGATGATAGCGCTATGCCGAGGACAGGGGCAAGCCTTGGCGACAGTCTTGAGCTTTGAATGTAATGCATCAGAGACAAACCCATCCAGCTGAAGCTGTCGATAGATATTCTGATGACCTTTATGACCATGAACAGAAAGGAGGGGAATCTTCCAGATGTCGCCATGTGGGGTAAGACAGTCTTCGCCTTGGCTAAAACTCTCAGGGAGGTTATTTGGAGTGAGTCGAAAGCGTACTTCTCCAGCAAGCAGAGGTGCGCCTTGGGGTTGGTGATAGTAGAGGAATCCGGATGAGTTTGGAGGAAACGGGGTTGGCTTGCCATTCATGTCATGGTACCTGAATCTCCAGCGGCAGGCGGGAAGAATGCCAGGAGTCTTCGAGCGAGGATCTTTAAGCTTATCCTTAGCTACGTTCAACAACCAAACACAAGGCTGGGAACGATTGGAGAGGTGACTGAGAAAATCGCTGGGCAATAATTTATGGTGGTTCAAGGTAGATACGAATTTCCCGGATACAGCCTGGCACGGGTTACTTCATATATTTTTTGCAGTCTTAGCGTATTGGAACGACATACCGTTGTTGTTTTAGGTCTTTTTCCATACCTTTGAGTCGAATTCGTGGCAGGCGAGTATGGTTGGAGGCCCTTTACAAGAGATAGACTCCGCCGAGATCGCGTTCGTGTGAAATTTAACACCAGCATCCAGAGTTCAACCTATGTATACTTGATGGCACTTGACGCGTTCCGATAGCGCGCCAACACCATCAGTTGGCTAGAGATGTGGTTGGGGTGTAACAGTCGAGTTGACTTGTTTATCACTGGCACGTCGATTGTGTTTGTTGCTTGTTGACAATCACCTGAAGCCATCATGTTCGAGGGCAACGGACTCCATCACCTCAAATAAGCCTTTCACAAAAGAACGATTATGTCTATGCAATATCTCACAGCCAAATTTGCTCAGCAAATGAGCTGACAGTGCCTCTGAGTTGCAGAGAACTGAGCATAATTCTGTAGATCGATGAAGAGCTCATGAACTCTGTTGGCCACTTCAGCCTTGACCAATGACCAGGTCAGTAGCCGTATTTTTTGACTTTCGTAGGTCTGACGAATGTCCCTCACGTTGTCTAGTTGATGGAGTTGTCTGGATTGGCCTGTGCCTAAGCCCTGGCGTGTGGGCCTGGAAATCAAGGTATGTCGTTCTGTCATAAGGGCAACATAAGGGACGTATTCCTTTCATCATCTTAAACCTTTATAGATGGGGATGGGCTCGTAGCAGCGCGTCACCTCGGTATGTGACGTAGCGGGATGTTTGGGTACAAGCCTACAATTTTGAATTTACATGCCAAAGGTGCATTGCTATCTTACTCTCAGATGGTTCAATCGTAGTCTGACGCCGACCCAGCCTGGTTCGAAAGATATATACAAAGTAAACTCCCTTCGTGCCCTGTAGGGCAGCTTTGATCTCACCTGCCTCCCACCGCCTTCAAAAACAATGCGACAACATGGCCATCTTCACGCTCCCTCCCTCAGATACCAAAGGGATTAATCTTCCGATGGCACCCCCACGTCATTGCTTGATGCGCAAAACAAACGAAGTTGGCTTACAAGGCACTGCTGCGCTGCGTGCTAATCTCGTTGATTTTGAGACGACAACAGCGGGATTGGGTATTTCGTGCATACCTTGCTTGTTATGTGGGGCTACACAGTTTCAAGCCTCTGAAAGCATCCCGAGTTCTTTTGAAGGGTTATAAAATTACGTTGGACAGGTAGTAGATCTTCAGTAAATATGTCCATTGAGAATGATAACCGCGATTATGTCAGGAAGAGGCCAAACAAGGGAGTAAACGTAGCATCCCCAGTGGTCTTTGTAACCGCGGCAAATGATAAGTAGCATCGTTGCAGGCCCAGATCGGCCACCTTGCACAAGCACATGACAAGGCATAGCTACGGCGTAGAATGCTCGCCCCGAAAGGTATTTTCGAGAAGCAGAGGGAGTGCATCAGGATGCGAATAGCCGTTTGGGCCATTTTCGGATGAGCTGGGATCAACCCTTAAACGAAAAACCCTTGGTTGCCCGCCGGCAGGATTGTGTCGCAATACCAGTGCCCCCTCTTGTGGCCGATCTTCCCCCAAGTAAGGCCCCGGATCTCCCACAAGTTTCACAACGCGCATCACCACTGTTTTGGTTCCTGCGTGTTCAGGCAGCTTTGAAAGCTCAAAGCGCGCCAAACCCTTACCTAAAAAGTCACTAATCAGTTTCGACTCAATTTTTTTTCCAGAAAGAGGTCATCCGCACTGGTGAATGGAGAGTCCTTCTTGTAGCCTATGACTTGCGTTAAAAAGGGGCAATGTAAGAGAACCCTTCGGTAAGTCGAGTCGCCCACCACAAAGAGGTTCATGTGAGCTAATGCAAAGTCTACAGGGAATACTTGGTGCAGTGAATGCAAAATGACAGCGCTATGCCGAGGACAGGGGCAAGTCTTGGCGACAGTCTTGAGCTTTGAATGTAATGCATCAGAGACAAAACCATCCAGCTGAAGCTGTCGATAGACATCCTGATGAGTTTTATAACTATGAAGAGAAAGGAGGGGAATCTTCCAGATGTCTCCATGTGGAATAAGACAGTCTTCGCCTTGGCTAAAACTCTCAGGGAGGTTATTTGGAGTGAGTCGAAAGCGTACTTCTCCAGAAAGCAGAGGTGCGCCTTGGGGTTGGTGATAGTAGAGGAATCCGGATGAGTTTGGAGGAAACGGGGTTGGCTTGCCATCCATGTCAAAGTACCCGAACTGCCAGCGGCAGGCGGGAAGAATGCAAGTATGCTTCAAGCGAGGATCCTTAAGCATGTCCTTAGCTACGTTCAAAAACCGAACGCCAGGCCGGGCACGATTGGAGAGGTGACTGAGGAAATCGCTGGGCAACAATTTATGTTGGTCCAAGGTAGATACCATCAGGGATTTTCGCTTTGCAGCCTGGCGCGGGTTACTTAGTATTTCCTTGCGGTCTCGACGTGCTGGAACAACATACGGTTCTTGTTTTCAGTCTTTTTCCATACCTTTCAGTCGAAGTCGATGCATGCGAGTATGGTTGGAGGCCCTTCACAAGACATGGACTCTGCCTAAGTCGCGTTCGTATGAATTTGAACACTAGCATCCAGAGTTCAAACTAGTTGATGTTTCTTGACGCGTTTTGATAGCGCGCCAACACCATCAGTTGGCTAGATGCCCGCTACGTAGTTAGCGGGTCTTATCCTACGAGCCACCAAAGCTCTTGCGTGGGTAAGTTTAGCCATGTTTGCCCCCCGGTTCAACCCGTGTTCCTCCACCATGTCCTTTTGTTTCCAGCTCGACGGCTCTCCCGTTTCTGTTGAGCTTTCGTCTGGTCGATCCTATGTGTCTGTCGCTTGTTCGAACCGTTAGGGCTCGTTTTTCTTGCAAATCCAAGGCACACAGCAAAGCCACAATGACTAGGAGGCCACGAAATCAAGATTAAGCAGAAAAGTCAGACACCCCAGCACCCTCAAGCTTTCGCGTAAAGGTGTAAAGCCGCCGATGTTGGCACTTGACAAGGGTCCCATCAATCGGTCGTTCATTTAGAACGTGGCTGGCCCTCCAAGAAGCGGAAGTATGCTCACCTGGGGGAATTTTGAATCACTTGCTGAATGGGTTCAAAAGTGGAAAAAGTGAGTGAATCAAAAGCTTGAACATTCTGAACCAACCCCTCGCATTCTAATCTAGTGGGTTTTTTGTGATATTGAGTGAGTTTGTCGGACTGCCAACCTCTGTGCAGTGACACGCTTACAATCGTACTCAGGAGAAGGGGAAGTGTTACATCAACGATTAGTGGCGTGATGTTAGAGCATTGAGAAACAGCAACGGGCTTAGGGCAAGCTGAGGGGAAGCCTGTTCCTCTGCGGCTTCTCATTGGGTAGGCTTGATTCAAGTTGTCGGTCTCTTTCCCTTTTCTTCTTTTCCTTGCTTGCCGAGCGATGAGCAGCGTTATTTGATTTATGTATCATAACATCACTATAATTATAAACAGATTCAACGATGTGGCGGAGGTTGGGAGAACCTCTAATTTATGTGTCTACCGCTGCGAGGAGCTGGCCGAAGGCCGAGCGACGAGCAGCGTTATTCAATTTATGTAACATAAAACAAAACCAATAGTTTCGAGCGGTCGGCGACGAGCAGCCAATACCAAACAAGTAGATGGTCACTTTACAAAAAAATCCATTTCCTTCTCCAATGTGAAATGCTAGCGCTCCTTGTAGCCATCAGACGGTCACATAAATGAACTTTTTCTGTAACTCCCGCAAAGGAAAGTATTATTTGGATTGGTCAATGAAATTTAAGTACCTAATCGCGGTAGCGGGCTTTGCGCCCGAAGGCGCGCTGCGGTGGTTATAGATGGTTGGGGTGTAAGAACTTGTCGTTGACAGTCGAATGTATTTGTTGCTTTGCTTGTTGATACCAAAACAACAAGGACTCAGTCACCTCAAACCGAGCCTCTCACAAAAGAACGACCATGTCGATGCGATATCTCACAGCCAAGCTTGCTCAGCAAGTGAGCCGACAGTGCCTCTGAATTTCAGAGAACTGAGCATCATTCTGTGCTCTGCAGATCGACGAAGAGCTCATGAATTCTGTTGGAGCCTTCAGCCTTGACCAGGTCAATAGCCTTATTTTTTTGACTTTCATAGGTCTGATGGATGTCCCTCACGTTGTCTAGCTGATGGAGTTGGCTGGATTGGCCTGTGCCCAAGCCCTGGCGACGGCGTATAAGAAGGAATCACATCCGCGTGTGTTGGTTTGCTGTGGGCCTGGAAATCAAGGTATGTCTTTCTCCGTTATGAGGGACGTATTTGTTTCATCATATTGGACCTTTCTAGGGGGGGATGGGCTCGTAGCAGCGCGTCACCTCGGTATGTGACCGCTAATTCGTGTAATGAACAAGCAGCTCAACATCGGTTTTTAGGAATGTTTGGGTACAAGCCCACAATCTACATGCCCAAGGTGCATTGCATATGTTATCCTCGGACACTTCAATGGTAGTCTGACACCGTCCCAGCCTGGTTCGAAAGATATATACAAAGTAAACCGCCTTCTTGCCCTGAAGCGCAGTTTTGATCTCACCGGCCTCTCAGCGCCTTCAAAAACAATGCGACAACATGGCCATCTCCACGCTGCCTCCCTCAGATACCACCGCCGACCTCGAGCAAGCCCTGCTCTCAACAGATGTCATCCTAGATGCCATCTTTGGGTTCTCGTTCAAGCCCCCAGTCCGAGTCCCATTCGATGCCGTCCTCCCCCTTTTGACAGCATCCAAGAAACCAATAGTCAGCGTTGACATCCCGAGCGGATGGGACGTGGAAGCGGGGAATGCAAGTGGCGTTGGACTGGACCCAAATGTCCTCATCAGTTTGACAGCCCCGAAAGAGGGTGTGAGGGCTTTCAAGGGCCGACACTTTTTAGGAGGACGATTTGTTCCCAGGTGTGTGATAGCTTTATTTCGATTGTGGGCATTGAAATGATGTTTCCCCCAAAGGGCTTTGGAGGAGAGGTTTCAGCTAAACTTGCCTCCGTATCATGGCTTCGACCAGATTGTAGAATTACCATGGGAAGACTTGCAAGGCTCGGCTCAGCGGCTGTGAAACAACAGAGTTATCCAAACCAAGACATCCACTAGCTGTACACTTGTACATTCACAATACAGGTGGTGATCATGAAATATGATACAAATTCATACTGGGCGGATTTGAGGGTTGACTGACGGTTTCTCCTTCCTATTCTCATCAGCTTCATTAGGCATTTCCTGTCTTCTCCCACTTGCATCTGCTTTCGCCGGGTGCTTATCCAACATATCGTCGAGAGCATCACTCAGCTCTGAAGTGGTTATCTTCCCTTCTCTTTGCTTTTGGGACAACCTCTTGAGAGATCTCCACCACTTTTCGTTTCCTTCCACCTGCGGAGGCGTACGACCCACTTCGCCAGGGTTGACGTCAATGCCAAGCAGTGGACTTTCAGGAAAGCGAAGGTACTCCTCGTAGTGTATGTTCATTGCCATGGTACACCGGTCATGTGTCGCAAACCGGACAAGGACGTCTTTCTCTACGTCGGAACAAGTCCGCCCAGCGACCTTGTCCATAAAGTCGCAGATGATCTTCGAATACTTCTCCTTGTAAGCACTTGGTCCACCTATCATCTCTTCCACTGTCCCATTCATTGCCTCATGAAGGTCCGTGTTGCGCAGAACTGAGAACCGCTGTCTCTCCTCCATGAACTTGGGTGTGTCGTGCTTGATCTCCCGGTCGCAGAAGAACGCTGGTGCGATTTTGAACGCGGACTCAAGCCCACCGTGTTTGGTGTACGGCCCCACGTCAGCAACGACCTTAGTAAAGTTGAACACGTACATGCACCCGTCGAAGAAGACGTCGCTCCCTCCCAGCGTGGTGAAGTAAATCCAATAATGGTCGTTTGGGTCCTGCCCCTTCTGGAAGGAGTTGGTCGTAAGGTAATGTGGCCCGTGACCGACGCCGAGCCCTTCATGATGCCAAAATCCGACACGGGAGACCTGTGGTAGTGTAGTCGATGCGAGGAGCCGCTTGGCCGCCCGTATCGTTGGTGGAGATATAGGTCGTAGTGTATATCTCGCTGAGGAGCGCCAGGCATACCCCCAGCACGTTGGGGAGGACCCAGTCGGAGTGGAGGATGCGCGCCTTTAGCTTACTACGCACTGTATCGGAGACGGCTGTGGGCCATCATTTTTCGGTCCCATTCAAGCCTTCGGATAGAGGAATCTCCTCTCCTAGATGGATCAGCAGCGCAGTTGTGCCGTCCGGGCAATCGATGATTTCGTCAGAGTCGGGATTGGGAGAGTTAATGATTTTGTGCCGGAGAGCGTTGTGTGTGGGTTTTTGGGCGTGGAGGTGGTTGAGTTCGGAGAGGCATGCGAGGAAGGGGTAGAACGCGTTCAGGTCGATGCGATGGGTTTTTCCTAGGGTGCAGGACCGTGAGTGCGATGTCGGACATTGGATATATACTATATACCCACCGCAAGAAACCTTATGTGCTTTCCAATCTGTTTGTTGGCATTCTTTGGAGCAGTAAATGCGCTAAATATGGTGATAAGTATTGTCTCATATGTTGAGGCCGTAGTTCATTACTTCACCGCAACCGGAGCACAAAAGTAATCTTGATTTCCGCTTGCTGCATTGTGAGCATTTGTCAAGTTTCTCAAGAGGTAGATAAACAGTCTCCTTGTGTGGTGGCATCCAGCTGCGTCGAAATGGTGAGGAATTCCGAGAAGACGAAAATCTTGAAAGCGGGTCAACGAGTCAAAAATACAGATGTGTGACTCCATATAATACTGCTCATAGTATTACTTTGTCGAAGCAAAGATCCCGATCCCCATATCCATACAACAACTCAACCTTCTACTTCTCTCCTCCGCCTCTCATTTTCTTCCGATATCTCCTTCGATACTTCATCCATCCTCCCCCTCTCACTCTCCCTCCCCTCCTCCCTCTTCAAAGCATCCGGCTCCCTAAGTTTGAACCCCAACTTCCTCTTCACCTGCCCAACGTATCCCACCTCACTGACCCCACGCGAAATCCAATCAAGCCTTCTTTCTGCCCGCGTCATCTTCGCTAGGACATGCGCCGGGGGCCCTTGATTCTTCCGCTCAATGGTGCGTTTCAAGACCTCGCCTCGCCGCTCGCGTTGCCGTTCTCGTGTTTTGTTGGCTATTCTTTCGGTGCGCGCGCGGACGATCTGATCAAGCATTTCCTGGGGAAATGGCCTTTGGGAGCGTTCTTGTTCGAGGGCGTATGATTCTTGGATTTCGGCGAGCCGGTCTTCGATAGGCGATACTATTCTCGTTCTCAGATACAGATAATTGAGGCATGTACGAAGAAATAAGCTCACCCCATTCTCTATGAGCCTTTCCGCTGAATACTGGCTCGAACCCGGCCGGGTTAGGCGATTCCGCTATCAACCCTGCTTCGAAGTCTCTTTCTATTTGAAGGGCATTGATGTTTTCCAAGAGCTTGCGTTGTCTCTCCATCCGTTTTTCGCGGGCCTTCTTGCGGCTGACAATCATCCCTGTTACGTGAATTGGCTGGGGCTTCATTCGGGGGAGGGGGCCGTGGTAGAGTGTGGGCCGCATCAAACCCCCTGTTAAAATTGTGCGGTTGCGCAGTTTGTGCCGCCATACCTGAAAGAGTTGTAGGTCAGATTTAGGAATAGCAGCGGTTAACGATGTACCATATCCTCGTAAACAAGTGTTCTCATGTATTCTTTCTCTCTTCTCGCAGCAATGAGACGAGAATACCTCGCTAACACGTTTTGAAGGTGCGTATCTCCTTCCTTCGCTTTCGTGAATATATCGAGCCACTATTCCAAAGTCACCTCAACCCAAAGTACAGTTAAGCAAAACACACCTTATACCCTCTTGTAAGATACATCTTTGTCGACTCTGTTCCTGTAAGCCCCTTGTGCTTCCTGAACAACTTCCGTATACGGAACGTAACCTATGTCTTGCATGTCAAGCTAAGCAACCCATGAGCGATGAAAGATTGAAGAATGTACATCTTCGCTCGGTGAATTCCTTAGCAGACCACGGTAGAGAGACCATAACGTGGGTATTCGATGTGCTGGGAGCTGAAAGAACGGTGTTCGAGATCGGACGCGGCGGAGGGGCGATACAAGTTGCGCGAGGTTGGCGCGAAATGCTAAAGATGTTGTTGGCGGCACCAAGTCAACCGCCATTCTCACTTTCACTGGAACAGCGCTAATAATAGCAGTATGTCACACTCGTGACCGTTCGTGATTTCCACGTCACGTCTCTGAACATTGTTCTGTCAATTAGTTCTCTCTTGTTTTCTGCCACTACGATCCCCAGAACATGGCCCTCGCTGACGATCCTATCGAGCGCCTTTGCCAACGGCAAGAGACCATTGATTCAGCTAAAGACATCTTTCGCCAGGCCAAAGTCAAGACGCGTGACGGGTCAGGGTACCAGCTTGGTTCGAGCACAACTGGCTTGCCTGCTATCTGCTCGCTCATCGCGTCTGAGAGGTACGAGACAGCTTTATATGTTCGAGAGCGATTGGTTATATTGAAATGTAGATTAAAGAACGGTGACGTCACGCCAGAAGCTGCGCAAGTCGCGTCGTGCTTGAACAAGAGGGCCTTTTCGAAGGCACTCAGCATTGTCAAGGCAGCGTTGGGCGTCACGGCGAAGAAGAAGGTTGTCGTCTCGTACCTTGATCTCATGGACCAATATCGCGCAGAGACATATAAAACTTGGCTACCCCCATATTTCCATCATGCACAGAACGCGTTACAATTGATAGATTCGCGATACAAGGAAGATGATCCGGCGGTTAGGTGTGGAATATTCTTCTGGGTGTGCAACACTGTCAAAGTAAGTCCAAAAATGTCGTTGTTCTTGCCCAAGTCAATTCTAACCCTGCACGTAGGTTAAACTCCCTAGCACCACGGCCTTTGCCAAAAACCATGAGCTGTCCCTGAAACTATTCACTTCTATCGTCTCCATTTTAAACGAGAAATGCTCCCAACTCCAAACGCGCATTCTTAAAGCTGGAGCCAATGCCACATCCCCAATCAAATCCACAGCTTCTGCTTCTACTCCATCCCAGCGTACTTCTCCCCGAAAACAACTGCGGGAGTTACCATCGAAGGAAACTCCAAAACGAGCACCAGCCCAATCCGCCGTGGCTGCCCCTTCACAGAAACCCCTCGTTGAATTCGTCGGATACTCTTCAGAGAACGAAGACATTGAAATGGCAGTCCCAGAAACTCCTTCGAAAAAGCGAAAATTGGAGATTGTCCCGAGATCCATCCTCCGATCATCTCCCGTCAAACCCCTCGTCTTCCAAGCGTCCTCTTCGCGACTGACGCTCGACGGGTCACCCACAAAAACGCCCACTGCAGCATCTACCTTGAACACACCTTCAAGATCTGTATCTACGAAAAAGCTGCGCGAGTTGCCATCGAAAGATAGCCCAAGGAAACGTGTGGAGTTTGTTGCTCAGGAGCCAGAGATTGAGGGGGTAGTTTCAAGAGCACCAGCACCTCCAGCGGCAGAAAAACGCGACAACGAGGACGTGGAGATGGCAGCTCCAGAAACCTCCAGAAAGAGGCGGAAATTGGAGCCTTCAATGCCCGTACCTGTCGCAACGCCGACCAGACCTGTCACCCGTAGCTCACCCGCCAAACCTTCCTTGCCTTCCACGCGGTCCTCCTCACGCATTGACGCGTTGAGGGGGCAGGTGGTTCCGGAAGTTCCGCGTACCCCCACCAAGCCCAAACCTAAGACATCAACCCGCACATCTACCTCTACAGTCGTAGAAGTATCAATCACGCCCGTCAGGCGCGGTCGGCCCCCTAAGAACCCTCGGCCCATACCTATGGAGGTAGACCAAGCCCTGGACGCGCCTTCCAGTGAGGATGAAGAAGAGGAAGAGGAACCGCGACCGCGCCGTTTCCGCCCTGTTTATCTAGAGTCAAAACAGTGGTATAGCCGCGATCGGAGGCTTGCGAGGATATGGAAGGCGGCGGAGAAGTATAAGCGGGGGATGGTGGAGCTTTATGGGCATCCTCTTGATGAGTTGAGGGATGACGACGCGGACGACGGGATGGATGAGGATTGACCTTGTAGTATTCGAATCTTCCGTACAATGGGCGAGGTATATATTGTTATTAGTACTAGTGGAATTTATGGACTTTGATGTGGTCTAATCTTCAGAGAAATTCGCGAGTGATGTTGCAACCTGGTGCAACAACCCTCACTAAACACCTCACTTTGGACTGGTCCACTGACTGTACCATCAAAAGAATCCGCCTCTGAGGTCTCCTGCATCCCCTTTTGAGTTCTAATCATACTCAACCGCATCCGGCTCCGCCATATTACCCCACCCAACACCAGCCATGGAACAACAGATACGTGATGCTCTCTCTCTCCCTGAACCTGTTATCTCTGCCTCCTCCCTCGTGAATGTCATCAAACAACCCACAGCGGAAACCGTCGCATGGCTTGCAGAGTTGTACGAGTCCCTCGCCACCGAAAACCCCTCCCGAGTTGAAGCACTTGCCGAATCTCTTGTCCTCCTTCGTGACTCCCCAGACATCCCAACCATTGCGAAAAACGAAACCCATATCAAGAATCCAGTCCTCAACCTGTTTCTGTATGAAGTCCTATCCGCCGCGGTATCAGGGCCGAGGTCAGACCTCGTCGCCATTGCACCTACAAATGAGTCGTTCCTTGTCGGATCCGTCATTTCCACCACAGCAACGAAACACGGCTTGTGCACCTCTGCAGCGCGGATCGGTGCCATCGCTCGGGGGATACACTTCCCCGGCTCCGAGTATTAATTGCATTCCAAGCCAAAGACATGGGAAACATCATCTCTTGGAGCTTGCTTGCAGCTCTTGATCTCCGGGTCCGTATTCTGTAACGATGGACAGCTTGGAAGGAACAAGGAACAGCTCCTTCCGTCCATCAAGTCTCTTTTGGCGGGTGAGACGATAAAAGACGCAAACGGCAAGAAGCTACTTCAGGTTGGTACAGCTGCAATCCTTCTTGTTATGGCTCCGTTGTTGATGGCTGGCTTAGGTCACGATAGAGCACGCAGTGAATGGATTTGTGTCTGATATTTCGTCGGGAGAGGCTTGGAATATTCTGTTTCCTTCTGCTACTTGAAATGAAAGCTTAGAATAAATTGTACTTGATGTTGAAATGGGAGATACAGCCGCGTCGTTTCCGCCCTGTCTACCTGAAGTTGAAACAGTGTTGCGATCGGAAGCTCGCGAGAGGATGGAAGGCGGTGGTGCAACGTAAGGGGGGATGGGCATCCTCTTGATGTGTTGAGGGATGAATGGGAAGACGGAATGGAAGGGTTGCTATTGCTCGTCTTCATTCGAGTAGGAGCTGATCTCAAAGATATCCAAGTCTTCTGCTCGGTGGATGTAGGTAGATATTTCAGAGGTGTATGGGCCGAATTCATGGACGTTGATGAAGTCTGTGAGGATACTGATGAAAGATAAACGGGAAACGTGTATCAGTGAAAGGTAAAATCGTTGAACAACTGCTTGTCGAAAATCAGGAAGGGTGAATACTGGGTACTGGATTCGGAGCCGTCGGCGGACAATGGCTAAGAGCCGAATTTTCAGTAACGCTGGCCTGTGGCATAAAAGTGGCCCGTCGGAAGCGATGTCAACGAAGGAGATGTGGCAGCAAGTTCGAGATGAAAGCTCTGCAAGCTTGACTTGGGCTCCTCGGCTGTGAGGTTCACATTGGCGAGGGCGATGAATGGGGACACAGCTACGGGCTAGACTGCTTGTCGCCAAAAGTATTTGCGATAAGCAAAGGCAGCGCATCAGGATGCGAAAAGCCCTTTGACCCATGTGTGTTCCGATCAACATTGAGAGTGAGCAACTTGGATTTCCCGCCGGCAGGATGATGTCGCAATACCAAGGCTCCTTCTTGTGGTCGATCTTCCCCCAAGTAAGGCCCTGGATCTCCGACTAATTTCACGACACGCATCACCAGCGTTCTGGTACCTGCATGCTCTGGTAGTGTTGACAGCTCGAAGCGTACCAACCCCTTACCTACAAGCAGCCGCAGTCAGTTTTGACGAAAGGTTATCCCATGAAAAATTAAACTGCACTGGTGTAGTAAGATCCATTCCCGTACCCCCGAACACACAGTCGGAAAGGATTGCTGATGAAAACTTTTTGCAAAGTTGAGTCTCCCGCCACGAAGAAACTGAAAGTCATTGTCGAAAAATCAATAGGAAATACTTGGTGAAGCGAATGTAGAATAACGCTGGTGCTCCGGGGACGGACAGAAGTCTGAGCAATGCTCTTGAGCTGTGAATCAAGTGCGTCGGAGACGTACCCATCTACCCGAAGCTGTTGATACACATTCCGATGAAATGGAGTATGATGCAGGACAAAGAGGGGGATCTTCCAAGCGTCTCCTTCTGGGGTAAGACAATCGTTGCCGTGATTGAAACCTTCGGGAAGATTGTTGGAAGTGAGGCGAAATCGGAGTTCTCCGGAAAGAAGAGGTGCGCCTGGAGGCTGGTGATAGTAGAAGAATCCGGAGGAGCGTGGAGGGAAAGGTAATCGCACGCCTGACGATTTGCGATAGCACGCTTGCCATTCACGGTGAGGATTCAGCTTATGCCGAAACCTGATATAGGGTCGGGGTATGCCAGATAGATCGAGCCAATCGATGAGCGATAGTTTACGCTGATCCAAGGTGGATACCGGTGGTCTCTTGGTGTATCCTTCTCTTTCTTGGGACGGTTCCACCTGTAGCGGCCAACAGTTTTTTCAGCATTTCCAAAGTGCTGAAATGCGTAAAGAAGTAACTTACCGGTCTAGTTCCAGACCTTTCGTCATTCGTACGACTTGAGCTCACACTGGCATGAGAGTATGGCCGCAGCCCCGTTACCAGCCGTTGCCGGAATCCTGTTCGTATGCATTTCAGCATCTGATATTCGAGGTGATTGGCGCGTCTTAACGCGTTGGAAAAACATGCCGCCATTATCGACAAAAAGTCGAAAGGCGAGAGCCTGAGGCTTGAAGCTTGGACGCCTATCAGAGATGCGTCGTCCCAGAATGAGCTCAGTCAACACATTTCAGTGGGCAAACTTTAATTTCGCACGCTTATGAGAACTCAAACATGGAATCACCACAATGGTATTCATCTACGGAGACAATATGCTAGCAAAGTGTACAAGTATATGTATAGGGTAGAAACCATGGCAGATAGCAATTGTCCACAAGGCGGCACATCACCGAGTACCAAGTCTCCTTACATCCGTCAGTCCAAACTTATGAAGGAGCGCAGGAACAGCATTGCGCATTAATGACAGGGCGTGTTGGCGTCCCGGCCTTGGAGTCGTGGAATTGGACGACGCAGACGAACAGGGGAAGTATTCGGCTGAGCAAGTTGTGCTTAACCCAGGGAGGGGCGAGGAGAAAACTCTCTATATGTATATCCCATCGCTCGGTTTGGGCACAATATGGTTGTTGTTTAGGAGGAACTTGTCGTAGAAGTGTGGGGTATGTTCCAAAGGTGATGGAACCACAACAGACCGCCGATATGCGATGCGAACCACAAGAAACAGTAACACTTCCCAGTGATTTTGGCCTCTGGCATAAAAGACGCCCGTCGAAAGCGACGCTGAGGAAGGAGATGTGGCAGCAAGTTAGATAAAACCCTTGCAAATCCTGACTTTTAAGCTTCACACTGGGGAGGACGATAAATGGGGACACAGCTATGGGCTAGACTGCTTGTCGCCAAAAGTATTTGCGATAAGCAAAGGCAGCCCATCAGGATGCGAAAAGCCCTTTGACCCATATACAGGTGTATTCCGATCAACGTTGAGAGAGAGCAACTTGGGTTTCCCGCCGGCAGGATGATGTCGCAATACCAAGGCTCCTTCTTGTGGTCGATCTTTCCCCATGTAAGGCCCAGAATCTCCGACTAATTTCACGACACGCATCACCACCGTTCTAGTACCTGCATGCTCTGGTAGTGTTGACAGCTCAAAGCGGACCAACCCCTTACCTACAAGCATCCGCAGTCAATTTTAACGAAAAGGTTGTCCCTAAAAAAAAATTATACCGCACCTGTGTAGCAAGATGCCCTCCCGTATCCCTCGACACACAGTCGGAAGGGACGTTCAATGAAAACTTTTTGCAAAGTTGAGTCTCCCGCCACGAAGAAACTGAATTTCATTGCCGAAAAATCAATAGGAAATACTTGGTGAAGCGAATGTAGAATAACGCTGTTGCTCCGGGGACGGACCGAAGTCTGTGCAATGCTCTTGAGCTGTGAATCTAGTGCGTCGGAGACGAACCCATCGACCCGAAGTTGTTGATACACATGCCGATGAAATGGAGTATGATGCAGGACAAAGAGGGGGATCTTCCAAGCGTCTCCTTCTGGGGTAAGACAATCTTTGCCTTGATTGAAACTTTCGGGAAGATTGTTGGAAGTGAGGCGGAAGCGGAGTTCTCCGGAAAGAAGAGGTGCGCCTGGAGGCTGGTGATAGTAGAAGAATCCGTAGGAGCGTGGAGGGAAAGGTAATCGCACGCCTGACGATTTGCGATAGCACGCTTGCCATCGAGGATTCAGCTTATGCCGAAACCTGATAGAGGGTCGGGGTATGCCAGATAGATCGAGCCAATCGGTGGGCGATAGTTTACGCTGATCCAAGGTGGATACTGGTGCTTTCTTGGTGTATCCTTCTCTTTTTTGGGACGGTTCCACCTGTAGCGGCCAACAGTTTTCTCAGCATTTCCAAAGTGCTGAAATGCGTAAAGAAGTAACTTACCGGTCTAGTTCCAGACCTTTCGTCATTCGTACGACTTGAAATCGCACTGGCATGAGAGTATGGTCGCAGTCCCGTTACCAGCCGTTGCCGGAATCCAGTTCGTATGCATTTCAGTATCTGATATTCGAGGTGATTGGCGCATCTTAACGCGTTGGAAAAACATGCCGCCATTATCGACAAGAAGTCGAAAGGCGAGAGCCTGAGGCCTGAGGCCTGAACGCCTATCAGAGATGCGTCGTCCCAGAATGAGTCAAGGGGGCACCGCCCGAACAATCCGTAAAGTCAACCCTCCCACCACGCCGTGAGAAAAGGGTCGTAAGATCAAACCCTGGTCAATAACAGTATTGGTAGTCTGGTATAGACTTATAGTTGTCGTCACATCCTTCCTCCTTTGCTCTTTGGTTCCACCTGTGATGCAGTGGATAAGTATGTCGAGATCCAGGCATCCAAGATACCTCCACTTTGGGATTGCAAGCCTTGAAGATTTGAATTTCTGGGATCATTGTACCACTGCATAAAGTGAGTGTGGCGGCAGGAGGCTTGAAAGGTGGAGCATGCATATAAACTTGAGAAATCTGCTGTGATTCACGCCATGAGTGAAATTGAGAATTGAGGGAAAGCTCTCAAAAAGCTCGGGAAGGTGTTGATGTCATGAATGTTGCAATTGCACAAAATTAAGGATCGGTCATGACCTCATAAGGGCCTTCAAAGTTGCTATCTCAGAGCATCTTCTGCGTTTGATAAAGGGGCAAACTTGAAGATTCAGAAATGGAGATGGAGAGCAATACAGACTGACTCGCTTCATACGACCAGGGTTTGATCTCACGACCCTTTTCTCACGGGGTGATGGGAGGGTTGACTTTAAGTTTTACGGATTCAAATTGTTCGGGCGGTGCCCCCTTGGAATGAGTTCAATTTCAGTGGGCAAACTTTGATTTCGCACGCTTATGAGAACTCAAAACATGGAATGGCCGCAATGGCATTCATCTACAGAAGAACTAGAGACAACATGCTAGCAAAGTGCACAAGTATATGTATAGGGTAGAATCATGGCAGATAGCAATTGTCCACAAGGCGGCACATCACCGAGTACCAAGTCTCCTTACATCCGTCAGTCCAAACTTATGAAGGAGCGCAGGAACAGCATTGCGCATTAATGACAGGGTGTGTTGGCGTCCCAACCTTGGACTCGTGTCAGAGTTGGAATTGGACGACGCAGATGAACAGGGGAAGTATCCGGCTGAGCAAGCTGTGCTTAACCCAGGGAGGGGTGAGGAGAAAACTCTCTATATGTATATCCCATCGCTCAGTTTGGGCACAATATGGTTATTGTCTAGGAGGAACTTGTCGTAGAAGTGTGGGGTATGCTTCAAAGGTGATGGAAGCACAACAGACCGCCGAGATGCGATGCGAACCGCAAGAAACACTAATAAGTAGTAAGAGACAGGGAAGTAAGATACTATCACCATCCATCGTTAATTAACGATCAGCTGACAGCCACTCCGAAGGGCAAGAAAGAAGGAGCAGATTCCCAGTAATTCTGGCCTCTGGCATAAAAGACACCCGTCGGAAGCGACGCCAAGGAAGGAGATGTGGCAGCAAGTTCAAGATAAAGTTCAAGATAAAAACGTGGCAAGCAAGTTCAAGATAAAAACCTTCCAAATCCTGACTTTTGAACTTCACACTGGGGAGGACGATGAATACGGACACAACTACGGGCAAGACTGCTTGTTGCCAAAAGTATTTGCGACAAGCAAAGGCAGCGCATCAGGATGCGAAAAGCCCTTTGACCCATATACAGGTGTATTCCGATCAACGTTGAGAGAGAACAACTTGGGTTTCCCGCCGGCAGGATGATGTCGCAATACCAAAGCTCCTTCTTGTGGTCGATCTTCCCCCATGTAAGGCCCAGGATCTCCGACTAATTTCACGACACGCATCACCACCGTTCTGGTACCTGCATGCTCTGGTAGTGTTGACAGCTCGAAGCGTACCAACCCCTTACCTACAAGCACCCGCAGTCAGTATTAGTGAAAAGGTTATCCCAAAAAAACGCACTTGTGTAGGAAGATGCCCTCCCTTGCCCCCTAAGATGGAAGGGAAAAATGAAAACGTTTTGAAGAGTTGAGTTCCCCACCACGAAGAACCTGAAAGTCGTTGCCGAAAAATCAACGGGAAATACTTGGTGAAGCGAATGTAGAATAACGCTGGTGCTGCGGGGACAGACAGAAGTCTGAGCGATGCTCTTGAGCTGTGAATCTAGTGCGTCGGAGACGAACCCATCTACCCGAAGCTGTTGATACACATCCCGATGAAATGGAGTATGATGCAGGACAAAGAGGGGGATCTTCCAAGCGTCTCCTTCTGGGGTAAGACAATCTTCGCCTTGATTGAAACTTTCAGGAAGATGATTGGAAGTGAGGCGAAAGCGGAGTTCTCCGGCAAGAAGAGGTGCGCCTGGAGGCTGATGATAGTAGAGGAATCCGGAGGAGTGTGGAGGGAAAGGTAATCGCCTGTTTGCCGTGAGTCTCCGATAGTACGCCCTCCATTCACTGTCACGATCGAGCTTATTCCGAAAACTGATAGAGAGTTGCATACGGCCAGATAGATCAAGCCAATCGGTGGGCGATAGTTTACGCTGATCCAAGGTGGATACCGGTGGTCTCTTGGTGTATCCTTCTTTTCGTTGCGACGGTTCCGTCTGTAGCGGCCAATTTTTTTTTCAGCATTTCCAGAGTGCTGAAGTGCGAGAAGAAGCAACTTACCGCTCTAGTTTCAGACTTTTCATCATTCGTAGGACTTGAACTCGCACTGGCATGAGAGTATCGTCGCAGCCCCGTTACCAGCCTTTGCCCCAATCGAGTTCGCATGCATTTCAGCATCAGATATTTGAGGTGATTGGCGGGTCTTAACGCGTTGGGAAAACATGCCGCCATTATCGATAAGATAGTCAAAAGGCGAGAGCCTGAGGCCTGACGGCCTGTCAGAGATGTGTCGCAGACTCGCAGCTCAATCAACACAGTTCAGTATGGCGGTTGTTCTGCACATTTAATCCCCGCACGCAACTTTCCGAGCGCGCACGCAACTTTCGACCAGCGCGCAACTTTTGGATGCTAAATTCGGTTGTTTGGTCTAGCATTTCTCATGCAACGTCACCCAAGCAATCCTCAACATCGTCCCGAAGTCTCTCATCGTCGTTGAACACGGCAAGCTCACATAATGTACATCTATTTATTGCCTAAATCTTCTTTTCTCTGTTTCAATTTTAAAATAGTACGTAGAGTATCATTGCAGAATCTATTGTATCAAATACTTTGCATTGAAACTAAGGTACGAGCTCATTGTGCTTGACAGCGAGCGGCATATGTCCGTCAACGTGTGACAGTGTAGAAGGTTGACGTTGCAACATGAGAAGCGATCAGGCGGAGTCTCAATATCCTTCTAAGGTAAATTCCATCATCAGGATCGGAATTATCGGCTTGATCATTGCCAACTACCAAATCCGGTACTGGTTCTCACCATATCCCCCGAGCCACTGTTACTCTCAAGCATTTTGTTATTTATGCTGTAATTTAGTGTGTCATGTATGTTATTTGATAGAAAGGTAGTATAATAGTATAGCAATGAGAATATAGGGGCACTTTACATGGGAGATGGTGCATGGAGAGGGGTGGAGGAGCATACTACTCATCAGTTACATCACCAGTCTTGCCAGTAACCTTCATTACTACGTATAACAACTGATTCACATGCTACAGGATACCCTTTGGTCAATTTGAAGCAAGCAGATGGCCTGGGGATGACTATAAGAATTAATATGAAGGAGATGAATAGAAATCAGTGAAAAGTGCGAAATTGTGACCTGGTCATTTTAGATAAAAATTATATGAAGTGGTAGAAGGTAGGGCTGGGGTAGCTAGAGGGTGGTTCAAAAGGAATTACATGGAAGAGTTGATGCCTTTACATAGTCGGAAGTTGCGCCGTGCGGTCAAATTTAGCATCCAAAAGTTGCGCGCTGGTCGAAAGTTGCGTGCGCGCTCGGAAAGTTGCGTGCGGGGATTAAATGTGCAGAACAACCGCCATAGTTCAGTGGGCAAACTTCGCACGCTTATGCAAACGCGGAAGAAATACTTGGAGACGATATGTAATATGCTGGCAAAGCGCACAAGTTTATGCATAGTATAGATAGCAATTGTCCACAAGGCGGGCACATCAACAAATACCAAGCTTCCTTACATGTAGCTCGCTTCCGTCAGTCCAAACTCATACTAAACAGCGTTACGCGTTGAAAGCAGGGTGTGCTGGCGTCCCGGCCTTGGACTTGTGTCAGAGTCGAAACTGGACGACGCAGATGAAAAGGTAGAATGGGCAGTATCCGGCTGAGCAGTTTGTGCTTGACCCGGGAAGGGAAACTCTCTATATATTTCATCGCTCGTTTCGGCCACGATAAGGTTATTGTCTTGGAGGAACTTGTCGTAGAAGCTTCAAAGGTGATAAAACCACAAGCAACCTTCGAGATGCGATGCGAATCGCGAGAAACAGTAATACTGACAGCAGAGGGAAGTAAGATACTATCACTGTCCATCGTTATTCAACGATCAGTTGCTCCCAAGGGCAAGAAGGAAGGAGGGGATTTTCGTAATGCAGGCCTCTGGCATAAAAGACGCCCGTCGGAAGCGATGTCAACGAAGGAGATGTGGCAGCAAGTTCGAGATGAAAGCTCTGCAAGCTTGACTTGGGCTCCTCGGCTGTGAGGTTCATATTGGCGAGGGCGATGAATGGGGACACAGCTACGGGCTAGACTGTTTCTCGCCAAAAGTATTTGCGATAAGCAGAGGCAGCGCATCAGGATGCGAAAAGCCCTTTGACCCATGTACAGGTGTATTCCGGTCAACATTGAGAGTGAGCAACTTGGATTTTCCGCCGGCAGGATGATGTCGCAATACCAAAGCTCCTTCTTGTGGTCGATCTTCCCCCATGTAAGGCCCTGGATCTCCGACTAATTTCACGACACGCATCACCAGCGTTCTGGTACCCGCATGCTCTGGTAGTGTTGACAGCTCGAAGCGTACCAACCCCTTACCTACAAGCAGCCGCAGTCAGTTTTGACGAAAGGTTATCCCATGAAAAATTAAACTGCACTGGTGTAGTAAGATCCATTCCCGTACCCCCGAACACACAGTCGGAAGGGAACATTGATGTGAACGTTTTGGAAAGTTGAGTCTCCCGCCACGAAAAACCTGAAAGTCATTGCTGAAAAATCAATGGGAAATACTTGGTGAAGCGAATGTAGAATAACGCTAGCGCGGCGGGGACGGACATAAGTCTGAGCAATGCGCTTGAGCCTCAAATCTAGTGCGTCGGAGACGAACCCATCCACCCGAAGCTGTTGATACACATGCCGATGCAATGGAGTATCATACAGGAGAAAGAGGGGGATCTTCCAAGCATCTCCTTCTGGGGTAAGACAATTTTCGCCTTGATTAAAACTTTCGGGAAGATTGCTGGAAGTGAGGCGAAAGCGGAGTTCCCCGACAAGAAGAGGTGCGCCTGGAAGGCTGATGATAGTAGAGGAATCCGGACGAGCGTGGAGGGAAAGGTAAACAATGGTCTCCCTGGGCCCCGAATCTGCGATACCACGTAAGCCATTCATTGAGCTTATGCCGAAAGCTGAGAGACGGTTTGGAAATGCCAGAGAGATCGACCCAATCGGTAGGCGATGGTCTCCGCTGATCCAAGGTGGATATCGGTGCTCTCTTGGTGTATCCAAGTTCTCTTCCCTTGCGACGCGGTTCCGCCTGTAACGGCCAACAATGTTTTAGCTTTCCGAAGGTGCTGAAATGCGAAAAGAGTACTTACCGATCTAGTTCCAGACTTTTCGTCGTCCGTACGACTTGAACTCGCACTGGCATGAGAGTATGGTCGCAGCCCCGTTACCAGCCGTTGCCGGAATTCAGTTCGCATGCATTTCAACATCTGAAACTCGAGGTGATTGGCGCGTCTTAACGCGTTTGACAGAAACGCCGCCATTATGGACAAGATAGTCAGAAGCCGAGCTCCTGAAGCTGAAGCCTCAAGCTTGCCTGAAGGCCTATGTGCGTCGTCTTCTCTGCCAGTGAACGTTTAGTGGGCAAACTTCGCACGGTTACAAGCACTCTTACATACAACTAACATAGAATCCCCACAATAGGGACGTTCAGAGTCCTTGCTTTCGACGTGCTTTCGACTTGATTTCGATTTGCTTTCAAACTTGATTTCGGACACGGCAGCTCCCGAAAGCGCCATTCAACTCTGATCGTGAACTCGAAAGCAAGGCGAAAGCAGGCGAAAGCAAGCCAAAGCGAAATGCCAAGCTCGTCGGAGTCTGAATTTAATTATGACGTGTACAGAGGTGTACCACATCATCCATTCCGATATGCCTACGTGTACAGAGAGACAACAAGCAGAAAACATAAAATAAATGGCTATACTATGTGCTGGATGAAGAAAGGTGAGCCATGAGAATATCTCATTCAGACTGGTGTCGGATGTGCAGCAACGTCAACAACATACGTGTCAAGCTGATTTCGAACTCAGACATGCTTGGCATTTCCAATTTGGGTCGCTTGCGACGGTACAGCTCGGTATGGACGGCGCCCTCCGGGGGTTACCGCTCCGAAATCAACTTTGAAAGCAAACTGAAATCAAGTCGAAAGCACGTCGAAAGCGAGGACTCTGAATGTCCCTAATGGCGTTCATCGACGGAAGAAATAGACACAATCTACTATAGGCTAGTAGTATATACTGGCGAAGTGCACAAGTATATTGCATAGGTAGGAACTATGACAGATAGCAACTGTCCACAAGGCGGGCACATTACTATTCAAGCCTCCTGATATCAAAATTCTCCAACGAACAATGGTCCTCGAGCTCATGGACGTCAGTGTATTCTAAGACAGAGTCGGCTTCACCAGTACAACGGTGAGGGCGATGCCACAGTCGGAGGTTTAGAGAGAGAGGAAGCAGCGTTTTTGGAATTGGAACTTTGATGAATATGACCATTAGGTTAAGTTGATATTTGGAGCAACTGAGACTGGTGGATGTCTATCCTTATGACCTTTCAGTCGTTGAAAAGCATTCGAAAGCAACTTGGGAACTCAAAACTTAGGGCATTGATGATGAGGCATTGCAAAACTCGTCCGAATACTAACAGATCCGCTGACCGTGGATGGGCATAAAAATAGGTCGGGACAAAGCTGCTAGACGTGTGTCGTATTTTTTTCTGATGTTCACTTTGGCGTCCCCACTTCCGTGCGTCACATTTGTCAAGAACCAAGGAACCGCAGGCCAAATTCAGCGGCCATGCATGAGAACATCGTTGGTGGAGTAGGTGATGTAGACTATGGCCTTTTATGCTTGTCACCAAAGGTATTAGCGAGAAGCAGGGGTAGCGCGTCAGGATGCGAGAACGTCTGTTCGCGACGTTGAGGTGAATCGCGATCAACGTTGAAGCAGAGCAGCTTGGATTCTCCACGAGGATTATGTCGCAACACCAGCTGCCCTTCGACCGGCCGGTCTTCTCCCAGGTAAGAGCCTGGATCCCCCACTAATTTCACAACACGCATGACGACCGTTCTGGTTCCTGCATGTTCACGTGATGTTGAAAGCTCAAGACGCAAAATACCCTTGCCTGAAGAATCGTTGATCAATTTACAAAGAATAAAATTATGGGAAAAAAAAATTGCCGCACTTGTAAAGGGTGTTCCCTGCTCACCAGAGCGACGGAGGCCAAAGATGTGGCAAATATCAACCATTCGACAAGTTGAGTCGCCCACTACGAAGAACCTCAAATAACTTGATGCAAAATCGACAGGGAACACTTGGTGGAGTGAATACAAGGACACAGTGACCGTGTTCCGAGGGACAAACTCAAGAGCTGCGAGCTTTGAATGCAATGCGTCGGAGACGAATCCATCCAGGCGAAGCTGCCTATAGATATGCCTATGGGATTCATAATGATGTAGAACAATGAGGGGAACCTTCCAAATGTCTCCCTCTGGAGTAAAGCAATCTTTGCCTCGGCTGAAACTTTGAGGAAGGCGATCGGGAGTGAGCCGGAAGCGTAATTGGCCCATGAGCAGGGGTGCACCTTGAGGTTGGTGGTAGTACAAGAATCCGGAGGTGTGGGGAGGGAAGGGAGTAAGCCTTGTCCAGATGTTGCTGTAGTGCGGACGCCAAGACTGATATTTGCCAACGTTGTCTGGCACGAGTCGTAACCTTATCACAGGCAAAAAAGTGCGAGAAATGTCGATGAAATCACTGGGCAACAGTTTTTCCTGGTTCAAGGTGGATCCTCCTTACTCTCTTGACTCCTGCTTGCGAGGGTTGCGTCTAAGACGTATTAGCATTTCAGCACTCTTAAAGTAGGAAAAATGACATACCATTTCAGATTCATCATCGTGCCTTTGGGCTGAAATTGCGACATTAGAATATGGCTGAAGGCCCCATTGCCGGAATCCCGTTTGTTTGTATCTCAGCGTTAGAATTTTAAGATGATTAGTAGCTTTCGTTACGGCTGAAAGACTTGCCGTTAACATTGATGGGTATTCAAGTTGGAGAGATGCGTTCAAGCCAGTCAATCAGAAATTGCATCCGGACGTTGAGGTAAAAGAACAAGCCATTTCTGAAGTCAACTCGGATCGCGAAAACGATTCGCACGCACACAGAACTAATGAGAAAATATCAAAAGATTCGTACAAATTCTACAGACGAGAAAAACAAAGATATGCATAGGGTAGTAAGTAGTAGCGATAGCAAAAACTCAATTGTAACAATACAAATACAAAATCTCATCATATCCTTTCGAAAGTCAAGTCAAAAACATCTATCTAGGTCGACACAATGATCAACCAGAGCACATCAAGCAAGCATCCTTATTCTCCAACGAGCACTGAAGCTTGGCGTCCTCAAGCTCGCGGTCGCGCTGTCGTTGAAGAGCAGCAGCGAAATCAGGATCAGCCTCAGCTGCCTTGCGCGTCCTCTCATCCAACGACGCCAGCAAGTCGGTAGGGGTCTCTACAGACGATGATGAGGACGACGACGCTGCAGGTGCAGAAGGGGTAGCCAGCGATGGAGTGACTGGCTCTTGTTTGATGACAACGGGTTTGACTGGGGTGCTGGGTGCAACAGGAGTCGACGATGACGACGAGCTAGCCGTGGGGATGCCGTTCGCCTGAGCCTTCACTTTGGCCGCATCCGTTTTCTGCTGCTTAACCTCCTTCAACAAGCTCTGGTCGACAGTGAATTGGATAGCTGACGCAGCAGGCCTCGTCCTCAAGTAGTACATGCCCGTCTTCAACCCTTTCTTCCAGCCGTAGAAGTGCATGCTAGTCAGCTGGCCGAGCGTTGGCGCTTGCAGATGCACATTGAGACTCTGGCTCTGGCAAATAAAAGCGCCACGATCAGCAGCAAGGTCGAGAACCTTCTTCTGGCTGATCTCCCAAACGGTCTTGTAGATGGCTTTGACGTCGTCGGGGATAGTGGGGATGTTTTGCACAGAGCCGTTGTGTGCGATGATCATGTTCTTCATGTTGTCATCCCATAAACCGAGGTCGACAAGTTCACGGAGGAGCCAAGGGCATACGACTTGGAACTCGCCGGCAAGGACACGCCGTGTGTAAATATTGCTGTAAGATATGATCAGCTTTTGAACAGACAAAAACCCAGGAGTATGAGATACCTGGTATATGGCTCAAAACACTCATTGTTTCCAAGAATCTGACTGGTGGAGGCAGTCGGCATAGGCGCAACCAAGAGCGAGTTTCGTAAACCAGTGCGAGCAATCTTCTCTTTCAACGAAGTCCAGTCCCACAAACCGGTGGGCGTTACACCCCACAAATCGTATTGCAATTGGCCCAATTGAGCAGGGCTGCCCATCCAGGTCTCATAGGGACCATCTCGCTCGGCAAGTTCAGAGCTAGCCTCAAGAGCACCATGGTAGATGGTCTCAAATATCTGGATGTTGAGCTCCTTGGCAGCTGGAGAGTCGAAGGGCATGCGCAAAGCCATGAAAGTATCTGCGAGACCTTGCACACCAACACCAATAGGGCGGTGACGCATGTTTGAGAGACGGGCTTCGGGAATTGGATAGTAATTGACATCGATGATTCTGTTAAGATTGTAGGCAACAACCTTTGTGACGTCGTGGAGTTTCTGGAAGTCGTATTTGCCGTTTGAGATGAAGGTGGGTAAGGCGAGAGATGCGAGGTTGCAGACGGCAGTCTCCTCTGGGGAGGAGTACTCAATGATTTCCGTGCAAAGGTTTGACGACTTGATGGTGCCAAGGTTCTTTTGGTTGGATTTGCCTGGAGACACGGAGTCAAAATGTGGTAAATTTCAACATGAGTGAAACGACGAACTGTTTGCGTGATCTTTATAGACCATGAAAGGACCTCCAGTCTCGATCTGAGCTTCTAAAATAGCATACCACAACTTCTGAGCAGGAATGGACTTGCGGGCACGACCTTCCTTCTCGTACTTCTCATACAAAGCCTCAAATTCGGCACTATGAACCTCGCCAAGGCCTGCTGCCTCGTTAGGGCAGAACAAGGACCAGTCTCCGTTGGCCTCAACCCGTTTCATACTAGGACGGAGGACGTCAGTGGCATGAACTGAACAATCCACGATCAACGCTCACAAAAGATCCGGAATCCATAGGGCGTAGAAGAGATCACGGGCGCGGACTTCTTCCTTTCCGTGGTTCTTCCTCAAATCAAGGAATTCGAAGACGTCAGCATGCCATGGCTCGATGTAGATGGCGAAGGCACCAGGACGCTTGTTGCCTCCTTGGTCGACATAGCGGGCGGTGGCATCGTATGCACGCAGCATCGGGACAATACCGTTGGAGTAGCCATTCGTTCCAGCAATGTAAGACCTTTTAACAGAAGACGTTAAGCATGCTTCGAGCAAGATAATGAACAGGACGAGAGGCTTACCCTGTAGCACGAATACAATGAATGCTTAAACCGATACCTCCCGCCGTCTTGCTGATCATGGCACAATTTTTGAGCGTATCGTAGATGCCCTCTATGGAGTCGTCCTTCATACACACAAGGAAGCACGAGCTAAGCTGAGGATGTGGTGTTCCGGCGTTGAACAACGTTGGTGAAGCATGCGTGAAATAGCGTTCAGACATTAGATTGTATGTCTCCACGACTCGATCAATATCTCTGCCATGAATGCCAACGGCAACTCTCATGATCATGTGTTGTGGCCGCTCCGCTACACGACCGTTGAGTCGGAGAAGGTAGGATCGCTCAAGGGTTTTGAAGCCAAAGCTGGGTAACGTGAGATATGGGTTGTTGTGTAGACAAAAGGATGAACGTACAAGTTGAAACTGAAGTCACGATTGTAGATGATAGCAGAGTCCAGTGCCTCGGCATTTTCACGAACGATTTCATATATTTCCTGTGAGATCATGCCTGCAGGTCGCCTGTTTTTGGGGTTCACTGTTACGCGAAGATGGCTTAGTTATCGAGCTAAAAATCGACATAGGAAGTGAGAGAAAACGTACCATACTCGTAAAGGTCCTTGATAACCTGTGAAAAGTTCTTCTTCGTCTCTTTGTGTAGATTTGAGACGGCAATGCGGGCGGCCAGAACAGCGTAGTCTGGATGTTTAGTTGTGAGGTAGGCAGCTGTTTCTGCTGCAAGATTCTACGCAAAGATCATTGAGTGTCAAAGCCAGGCGTGAAGAGCATCAAAGACTCACATCCAGCTCTACTGTGGTGACGCCATGATACACTCCAGCAACAACTTTCTGCGTGACTCTGCATGATCGCGGTCAAAACCTAGACAAAGATACGCCACTGATTACACACTCAATGGGATCGACAAAGTTCTCGTTGAGGCCATAACAAAGCTTCTGAATCCGTGCAGTAATCTGTATGGGATGATGAGACGTGAAGTTGGGCTATCACGCCACTAAAACTTACCTTGTCAAACTGAACGCGTTCCTTGCGTCTACACGTCCACCGTCAGTACAAGAACGCGAAATTGACGCGTATCAAAGTCACAACGCACCCGTCTACGAGGTCAATCGTCAGCTTTTCAGCCAATCATCACCAGACAACGATGTACGCACCTCGCTTGAAGACAAAGGCCATAGCAGTCGTAAGTTTTCTTTAAGTAGGTTTTGAGGGGAGGAGAATTGGCGGGAGGCGGAGCAGTGGAAAGGTGATGGAGGTAAGAACAAGAGTGTCTTGCAGGAATTTTATCTGTGTGGAAGATCATCAAATGACTAAGCCAGATGTTTGGTTGCGTTTGGCCGCGTTCATTAATCCACGCATTCTTCGAAGAAAGTTGGAAGAAAGACCCTTCAGAGAGATATAAGATAATTTGTATTTCTTTAGGACGTGTTGGGAATTGAAACTTCAACATTCAAATTTTTTTCTACATGAAGTAAGAAAGGAAAATGGGACAGCTGGATTGGGGTTAGGGTTAGACGCGTCGCGTCGCGTTATTTGCTTCTATGGACGTGTGTCAAGCGCTCCACCTTGTCGCTCTCATGATCTTTGTCTCCGCCTCGAGGCTGCCCTGACGCATGAGTCTGAGCTACTGTGACACATCGGCCGGCTCTTACGATAGGTCAATGCCAGGATTTTTCATCTTCTAAGACTGCCAAGAGCAAATGCATCCATAAGTTAGCAATAAGTTGGACAGTAGGTACAAGAGTAGGTACTGATAAAATGAAGACAAAACCGAATGGTCATATGATAATCACGACTTGACAGGGGACTTGAAATAATCTAGCAGCTTCAATTTTGTTTCTCTTCCCATCTCTTCCAAGACTTTCTTTCCGGATGTACGGCAGCGCTCCAACATCTTCTGAGTCAAATGGCAAGCCTTTTCCAGTTCTCGATTATCGCCCTGTATGGCATCCTGCGCCATTTTAAGTTTCCCCAATAAATCCAGCGGATGAAGGTTCAAGGAGTTGATGATTGGGATCGCGGAGTTACTGCCCATCAGTTCATTCCAAAAGGACATCCAGTGACGACGACATTCCGACGAGATATCACAATCCTGAATAGAATGGAATTGAGGCGGAGATTTCAGATGGTCTCGCCAAAGCTTGAAAAGTGCATAATGCCCGGATAATAGGGTGTTTTGCTGCTTCAGAGAAAGATTCTGTTTCATATCTCTCTCTCTCAGTATCATCGCATAGTAGGCCAATGCGTGGAGATTGCGGAGTTCAGGATGGGACTCGCTGACACGGATTGCGGTCTTCAAGTAGACCCCATTATTTAGAAGCAACTCCCACTTCGCCATGACCTCCTCAACGAACGGCACACTGTGACTGCAAACCGCAGCAACTTTAGTCAACTCCCCAAACATCTCAGAAGATAGTTCCTTGACTGCTTGAGGCTCAGACTGACTCCCAGGGACCGGTAGTGGAACAGCGCCGAGGTACGAGGTGAGTGTTTTGAGAGCCCATATTTCGATTGAGGCGAAAGAATATCTCTTAGCAATCCGAGCGAGATTGATGAACTTGATTGGATCAATGCTTTCCAGTTTTATTGCACCGATGATGTCGCTGGGGCTGAGACGTCACGAGAGGGAACCCATCAATCAATAACGCGAAAGAAAAAAAGAGAAAGTAATCAAAACGTACAGCGCGTAAAGAGACCAAAGCAAAGCTCGGAATTCGTCTACAGTAGTATTTTTCGACAAATGGATGGGAGACTGATCGAAGCCGTGAATGTCGATCTCTTCTGTATTCCGCTGCGAATCATCGCTGCGGCGCGAGAAAGTTTTCCCGAATGATAATCCAGAGCCCCTGGCCATAACCGACCGATGTACCTTGAAGCGCGCCCTTTGTCAGTCATCGACATGTCAAGACGATCGCGATGACGTACCTTGAACAAAATAGACTCCACCTCGAAAACAGCATTTCCGTCAACGAAATAGTATTCAGAATCGCGGGTCGCAGCCATAAGAACAGAGTGCAACGATAATATGCTGTTGAGTGAAAGAGGAGAGTGATCACAGAAGTGGAGTGCCTGCACCCAAAACCGAATTGATGAGTTCTAAAGGCCAAGTCAGAGACGTTCTTATAGGCAGAACATGGGAAGACATCGTAACACGTACAACAAGGGAAGGCATCCTCGGTCGTATACGTAGAACAAGACTGATGATCCCTTGTTCTACGTACAACTCGACGTATGTCCGTACCTGGCCTCCAGGCGCCTATCATGGGCAGAGGCGCCTCACCCCTGACTGTCTCTTGCTTCAGCCATTGAGCAAAGCGCATGGAATGTTCACCTTGGGCCGGAGAGAGTCATGAAGACTGAGGACGAGGCAGAGGGTCACGTCACAACTGAAAATGATTAAGCTTGAAATTATCGGGAAATTTGTTCCAGGTTGCATACTTGCCTGTCAATGTCACCCTGACGAATGACACAAATTCGACAAGGGTAGTCATCGGGTTTCATGGTCGATTTCGCGACAAGGTACCCGCTGGAGACACATGAGTTCAGGACGAGGACGTCACAAAGGAAGATGGAAGTTGGCTGAAAGCCTGCCACGATCTCAACCCGTTATCGCGAGGTGCATGTAAGCAGTTGGCCAAAACAAGAAGACAAAACATGGCTGGCTCGAAGAACAACGGAAAATCGGCAACAGGAGATGACGTGTTACAACGCGCAAGATCGCGACAGCCAAAATCAGGTGGGCGCTTTCACCTTCAATCACCTCTGCTTCACGTTGGCCTTGAGATTGGGATGCAAAGGAGGGAAAGGTAAAGATGAGGTAGGAAACTGACGATGAGGCAGAGAATCATGTTACAACTGAAAATGATCAAGCTTGAAATTCTCTTGCACGGGAAAATTGTTCCAGGCTACATACTTGCCTGTCGAAGCCTGTCAATGTCACCCTGACCTCGGAATGACACAAAGTCGACAAGGGTAGACATCGGGTTTCATGGTCGATTTCGCGACAAGGTACCCGCTGGAGACACTTGAGTTCAGGACGAAGTCGTCACAAAGGAAGATGGAAGTTGGCTGAAACCCTGCCGCGATCTCAACCCGCTATCGCAGTTGGCCAAAACAAGAAGAGCATGGTTAGCTAAAAGGAACAACGCGCAACTTTGCGACAGCCAAAATCAACCGACTCTGGCTGGCGCACCGTAATCCAAGAGGCGGGGCATTTGCGTCAGAGACGGAGAGGGAAGCTGAAAGTACAGTGCGCAAGATCGCGATAGATTCCACGACGGTCAAACCATCCGAAAGGTAATCGACAGATTGCGGCCGGCGCACCCAATCCGAGGGGGAGGGGGCTCATATTGTTAGCCTCAGTCACAGGCAGGAGATGCGCCAAAACCACACTAAATTCTGGCTTCCGTAATCCATAGTGGTCAAACATCATCGATCATCCTCGAAGCAATCCGCCTCCACCCTAATTCTCTTCAACATCACCCTTGTCCCGATGACAACTGCATGTGCATAAACTGCAACATCCCCCATCTGGTATCCCCTCACTTCATCGGCTCTTCGCCAGAATCACCCTTCCCCAGCCCACAAATTCAGTACGCGGCGCCATGAGCTGCTCTCCCAACCGCTCACGCTCCCTTCCCGAGCGTGAGGAAGTGATTCATCGCCAAAGGACGTGCAGCGGCTTAAACAGGGGGAAATGAGAACCATTCCTTTGATATACGGATCCCCAGGGTGTCGAATGTGCGGATGGCGGACTCGGAGGAGAGGTGCTTTCCATTACTGACGAGTTTCATCCATTTTGACTCCTGAGATAGTCATGTCAAGAAGGGAAGGATATCCGATAGTGGCATAGGACGGCAAGGTGGGCTGTTTCTTCGAGTTTTCCGATCTCCTCTGCTTCGCGTTGGCCTCGGAGTTGAGTGGGAGGAGTGAAGGTGAGGTAGGACGAGGGCATACGAAGCGTCCGGCATTCGGTGCTTGTGGAGTGTCATGGTAAATGCGATTTCATTTGAGCCATTCCCAGATGTGTAGACGAGGATGGCTTGAAACTGGGCCACAAAACATTCATGATTAGAGGAGTGCAGTGCGTACTTGTAAGAACCACAGAAGGGCGCGGAACTCTGAGGTGTCGCTTTGTAGGGGATGGGATGGACATCGGGGCCTGGAGGTGTCGTCTTGGTTCGTCGTTGTTTGTGAGCAAGGCGAGCGTCTTTTCAATTTGAACTTCTCTTGTCGATTCCGTGTGACGATGGTATCGTTAAATTGTTTGGAAGGGGTAGAAACTTCACCTTTCATAATATGTTGAGCAGCCTTGTATTTTGAAAAGCTATGTTGCCGCAGGTCGAGTCTAAAAATACGGAAATCGTAGTGGTACATAAGGTGCTACCAGGGTTCGAACCTGGGTTACGGGAAGCTTATTCTCAAAATCCCGAGTGATAACCACTACACTATAGCACCACATACAAGGACATTGACAAGGCTGACTATAAATCGCTTTCACGCCTTCCCTTGGTCATTTCCAATTTCCCACTGTTCTTGCACCATGGCCACCACCTCAGGCTTCACAGGCACCCACCACCCCCACGGACACACCGAATACGCGCCCCCCGTCCTACGCGCCTCGTCCCCCGCCAGCTCAGTCGGCACTTCCTATGGGCAAGACCAGACAGACCTCTCTGACACTGAGCTCTCTCAAGCCGAGTTTGAAGCAAAGTGGGAGGAGAGGTTACAGTTGAGCATGCCGATGAGGAAGGAGATGGCGGCGGAGGTGGACCCGCTTGTGCCTAGGCCGATTCATGAGGTCGATCGACGAGGTGTGTGTGTATCCCTCTTTGTGCTTTCTTGCTTTCATTCACACAAAGTGTTGTTTTGATACAGCAATGTGCGACGCGATACTCCACAACCTCCGCCTACACATCCAAAAACTCGAAGAAAACGAGATATTCGAAAGGACATTGCTCCGCGGGAGCCAAGCTGCGTTGGAACCCCAGCCTACGACTACTGATATTGATTTGTTGATGAAGGGTATGATGGGGCCTGCTATGTCGCTTCATCGGAAGAAGGCGGGGATGATGGCGCCTAGTTCGCAGGCTGTGACGAATGGGCCGTGGAATAATTATGGTGTGGCGGTTACGCCGAATGTGAGTATGAATGGGGGTGGGGGTGAGGGTGTTAGTGGGACTACGGTTGGGAAGAGGAGTCGTGGGGATCGGAGTAGGACTTAGGTTGGTTTTGCTTCTTTTGTGATACATTTTTTTTTCCTTACGCGACGTTAGTGCCTTATGTCGCTTTCTGGGATTCGGGGAACAAAGGGGACGATTCCTTCATGCACACATATACTCAACTCAGGAGATACCTCACTTCAATCACGACGCCTATACCCAATGACGTGCAGGACTATGTCATCCCCTACCACTCTTCATTCGACATTACATAAATACTCAGGACCATCTATCCCACCAATCTTTTGGCCACCGGTATTCAAAAGTTCCGATCGCATTACGACCGCTTATCTTGACCTCCCGTGTTCTGAATTCTCACCGACAAGAGGAGACGCTCTTGTCCTAGAAGCCGCGTCCATCCTAGGGATCAAGACCAAAGAGGCATGCCCTTCTCTCGGGCTAAAGCCATGACATCACAGCCTATCGTTCTGAAGCCAGGAGTCGTAGGCTCCTAAGGATCAATTTCCACCGATCCGTGGAGCGACAGAAGGGAACAGCGATACCGGTTTTTTAAAATTCCTCAGGCAGGGGATATTGTACCTTGGAATGCTCCTATTGATCCATTCAATCAGCGAACCGTGCATGTACATTATAATCCTTGAACGTGCGCAACCAGTCAGGAGAAATGAATATGTACTATTTGTTGATTTCATTAATTTTGACCCTCCAAATCGCTGTAAAATGAAGTTCTTTCCGATTTATAACAAGTATGAGCGCTATGCTTTCTTTCTCGGTTTTTGTGAGCCTCGGGAGAAGCAGAAAAGACGCTGGCCAGGGGATAGTTCGGCTTGTTATGAATGACAGTCAGTATGATGATTGCAAACGTGCAAGGAGCCGTTTTTGGGCCGGCATTCATAACCACGTTCGACGTACTCTACCTTGCGCTCATACTGCAACATCCTTGGCTTCAGCCTCAGCACTCCTACCCACTTTCTGCTTGTCTTATCAAGTCAAACCTAGCGCTCGTACACACATACACCTCCAACCCGCCGTACTCATCCTACCAGAGTACAGCAAAACCAGGACAGCTCGACCACCAAGGGAGCCTCACCAAGCTCCTTCCAGGTCGTTCCGTCCTCTCCAACACACCTAGCACTGCATGACCTTGCTCCATGACCTATTCACTTCAAGAAACCTACAGGCATTCCAGCGGTCGCTCTCCGTCGATCATACTAGTGGGAATGGAACCCTGCAGAGTACAAGTGCGCCAACGAGCGGAGGGAAGTCATGGAACCGCGCTAGTTCATTGACGTCGGTGAAGACGATGTATGATGTGAATAAGGTTGATTGGCTTGGGAGGACGCCGTTGCACCTTGCGTGTGCTTCTGTGGAGTGCATTGAATATGTTAGGGCGCTGTTGAAGCATCCGGGTGTTAATGTCAATTTGCAGGATAGGGAGAGTCATTGGACGCCGTTGCATAGGGCGTTGTATCATGCCAATTTACCTGCTGCGTGCGTTTCCTTTGCATAACATCTGTCTAGCTCTATCTAATCTTATCGTGAATTAGGTTGTTGCTCCTTCAACGCACGGATATCGATCCCTCGCTGAAGGATTTGGAGGGGTACACCGCTTTCGACCTGTACAACTCCACTTTAAACGGGACGAAACCTTCAGCGTCGGACGATAAGCACGCAGAACTATTCACATGGGGTACCAACCGGTTCGTAGAAAAACCCTTCTTCACCAAACCCCTCATCTTCATCCTTTACATAGAAACGCAGTTCTGGGACTGGGAGACGGGGACGATAGAATTTACCCAGACCAAATTGTAATCCAACCCCAAATCGATGCAGCCGAGCTACAGAAGATGGGTTTAGAAGCGAGATTTTCGCCCATTCACGTACATCAAGTCCAGATGTCCAAGCTGCACACAGGTGCTTGTTGTCCCCTTTTGTTTATTGACTCCCCCGTAACTCACTTGTTTGTGCTGAGCAGCGGTTGTGACGTCTGAAAGTGGTGGAAACGTCCGTGTGTGTGGATTTGGAAGTGGTGGCCGGTGAGTTTTTTTTGCTCTTCTTCTTACCACCCAGCGCATTTTTTGAACACATCCTCACAGCCTCGGCCCAGGCCAACACACGCAATACAGCCTCAAATCTCTACCCCACTTCACACACACCATCGTCTCCGTCGCGCTCGGCCAAGACCATACTCTAGCGCTCACGAAATTGGGGGAAGTCCTCAGTTGGGGGTTGAATAGGTTTTCGCAGCTTGGATACGTCGTAGAGTCGAGACACGAAGAGCAGATTCAGGCTACGCCGAAAAAGATTTATGGACCGTTGAGGAAGGAGGTGGTGCGTGGTGTTGGTGCGTCGAAATGCGCTTCCGCGTGTTGGACGGAGGGGGAGGTGTTTACGTGGGGTACTAATAATGGGCAGTTAGGTGTGTATTGTGGTTGATTGCTTTGAGCGTGCATCTTATTTATTTATTTTGGAAGGGTATGATAAGGCTGCACACCCCGTTCAAGTTCTGCCGAAGAAGATTATAAAAGTGAATCAGCCTGTTATTGCTATTGCGCTTACAGTGGGTATCTCACACTTTTCATTCTCTCCTTCGCACGTTGATCTTCATTTTAATAGGACTCAGCGATGGCATGTCTACTTCGTAACCAACAAGTCGAATGTATCTGGAACGACAGACACTACAGGATCAAGTAAGTACGCCCCCCCCCCCCCTCTCTCTTCTCCTTCCTTTCTTCCTCCTCCTTCTGCCCCCCTTCCTTGCTCACACAATAATACACCCAGCTTCCCAACACAAGCCTTCCCATCCGAGATCCAGCCCTACAGACCCCCTCAAGCTGTAAAAGACGCGCACATATCGAAGATAACGTCGTGCGATGACGTTTTTGCGGCGCTCTCGTCGAATGGGGAGGTGTTTACGTTTTCGGTGCCCATTTTGGGGGGTACGAGCTCGAATGCGATGGAAGGATTGAGTGGGTCGGTGCCGTCTTCAGAAAGTAGGGTTGGTGGTGCGCCGTTTAAACCTCAGAGGGTGTGGGCGTTGAGGAAGAAGTTTAGTGCTGTCAAGGTCAGTTTCTTGACCCTTTAATCGTTCACAAACTTACTTGATTTTTTTTATTTAGGACGTAGCCCTCGGCTCAGAAGGCTCCATCATAATATGCACAGAAGCAGGCCACGTCTTCGTGCGCACGCGTTCCTCCCCCGCCTCCTCCCCTTCCTCTTCTGGCTCAGGCAACAAAAATCCAAATTCAAGCAACTCCGGAAAAACGTTCAAGTTCCAACGCGTACCGTACCTTCAACGCGTCACGCAAGTGTGTGCGAATAGTACGGGTGCGTATGGTGCGCTTCGGGTGGATTATCGGCCTAGGGAGGTTGAGGTGGGGCGGAGGGGGGTTGAGGAGGATTTGTGTGCTGTACGGCCTTTTGGGGATTTGGATGTGAATAAGGAGGAGGAGGAGGAGGGGGAGGGGGAGGGGTGTTTGAATATGAGGAGGAGGAGGAGAGCGGGGAGAGTGGATGATGAGGCTTCGACTTTGACTTTGAAGGCGCTGGACGATGGAGCGGAGGAGGAGGATGATGGGCCTATTCGGCGGGATGTTGGGACTCTGCTTGATTTGGTTGAGGTTTTGGAGCGTGAGAAGGAGCGTGGAGAGGGAGGAGGAGTTGGTGGAGTCTTTCCTCATGGTGCAGATACCATCCTGTCTACCACCAAAGAAGGGACAGTCTTTATCGCTCACCGAGTGATCCTCGCTGCGCGTTCGCCCGTGTTCAGGAGGGTGTTGGCTGGGAAAGGTGTTCATTCTCAAGCAGGCATCACGCTTCGCCTTCTCTCAACCACGCCTACGTCAAAACCAAAAGCAACAACCCACTTATCCATCTCAGGCTGCCACCCTTTCTCCATCCTCATCCTCCTGCAATACCTCTACACTGATGACCTTCTAGCCATCTGGGACCGTCGTGTGTATACGGTCATTGAAAAGCAGCTAGTTGCTGCTGGGATCAGCCATGCGCAGGTCAAGGTGGAGTTGAAGGCGCTAGCGGGGTTGTTGGAGCTTCCTTTACTTGCGTATGCATTGGAGTGGCCGTCGAAGAGGGTTCCTGGGCCGAGTTTGAGGAGGGACTTGGGGAGGGTGTTCGATGAGGTTAACTCGAACTTGGGTGGCCTTAACGAATCTGACGTGGACGAATCACAAGACCCACTTGCGCCTGATGTTGTTCTGGAATTGGCGGATAGGGACGTGCGTTGTCATTCGTTGTTCCTTCGCGCACGATCGGAGTTGTTTGAGAGTTTTTTTGAGGAGGGGGAGTGGACTGAGAAGCGGTGGAGTGATGGTGGTGTTGTTAGGATTGATTTGAAGCATCTTGATTGGGGTGTTATGGAGTATGTGTTGAGGTATATGGTGTGTGGTGTGGAGGAGGGGTTGTTTGAGAAGTTAGGTGTGTGTCCTTTCTTTGCGTTTTTTACTTGGTGATGATGTTTTTTTTTAGAGTTTGCGAGTACGGTTGATAATGTGCTCGATTTCATGTTTGATGTTATGGGTGCAGCTGTAAGTTCCCTACTGTTCAGTCATAAGTGCAGGTTCCTCACCACCTTTTGTAGAACGAACTCCTCCTCGACCGATTAATTCTCCTTTGCTCAGCCGTGATCCTGAAATACTTGAACATCCACAACGCATGTTACATCTTATCAGATGCAACGCACTACCACGCCACTCAGCTCGTGGAGAGTGTTCAAGGGTACATGACAGCCAACATGGAGTCCCTCCTTGAAAGTCGAATGCTAGACGACATGCCCTACGCGCTCGTCAAACAGCTAGCCAAGTTCGCTCGTCAACAGCAGCTTGAAAAGTCACCTTTTTCGCGCTCGGGTGTGTTTGTTGAGAAGGTTATGGAGAAACATACAGAGTGGCTGAAGTTGCAGGATTTACCTGAGCCTATTGTCGGTTCTCATCATCATCATAAAAATGGGCCAAGGAAAGAGGCTGCTGTGGGCAGGGTTAAGCTGTCGCCTCCTGGTTCTGGGTCGAGCAAGAAGTCTGTTGAACCGATTGAACGCCCGAATCCTACGACTCCGCAGAGGACGCTGCGTCGTCCGCCTTCAGGGGATGATGTGTTTATTATGGATGAACCGGACTCTCCTAGGGCTGAGTCGATCCCATTGACACATCAAGCTCCTCCTCCTCCGACTTCGCCTCCTGTGTGGAAAGCTGCGACTGTTCCTCGGTATGTTCTGTTGCTGACTTGTGATTCTTCGAACTCAGAACGTGTTGATTAGGGTGGATATGAAGACTGTCATGGTTGAAGCTGCTTCGATGTCCAGAACACCATCTAAACAAGGCCCATCGAACCAGAAACCGCCATTACTGAGTACTGGGAGTGGTAATTGGAAGGTACCCTCATCCGAGCCTAGGAAGCCCTCTTCATCGTCATTTGATGGACCCAGTGGTTTTCCGTTATTGGGCGAACCGTCGCCTTCGAAGGGCTGGAGGAATTCTGCTGATCAACGGTCTACGCCTTCTGTTGTGTTACCCAGCCCTTCCCGAGTAGGTGGAGGTGAAAAAAGTGGGTCTCGGGCGCAAGTGCCTCTGCCTTTGCCTCTGTCTCTGGGACGCACAACACAGCATGCGGTGCAAGGTCTTGGACCTATGATCACGCCTACCCGACAGTCCCCGGCATCCAAGTCGAAGCCCAGTACGATCCCAGGGTCTCGTAGCGTTTCGTAAGTCATTTTATCTTTTCCTCCTTTAAGAAAAAGACTTACTAAAAGTACCAGTGGAAACGGCAACACGAAAGCATGGACGCTCCCCCCAGTCCAACCCGTCGTCGCTACACCAACGACGACATCCAATATATCCTTCGTCGCTATCCAGCATTCTCAGGCTGAGGCTGAACAGGGTGGGCCTGTGAAGGATAAGCGGTCTTTACGAGAGATTCAGGAGGAGGAGAGGTCGTTGAGGGAGGAAGCGGACTTTTTGATGTGGTGGGGTAAGGAGGAGGAGAGGGTGAAGAGGGAGGTGGAGGCGCTTGAGGGGTTTAGGAGTGAACGTGAGCGAGAAAGGGAGGGTGGGGGTAAGAAGGCGCCAAGGAGAAGAGGAGGAGGAGGGGGTGGGAGGGGTAGACAGGGTGGTGGTGGTGGTGGTGGTGGGGATGATGGACAGGCGCAGTGTTCGCGGAGGGCCAGTGGGCACCAACCTAAGATTTATTCTTAATTTTATATTCGTTCATCTATGGCTACTTGTAGACTCTTTTTGTTATGCTTATGTTCTTCGCTATAGGATTCTGATATGTTGGACGTTTCGACGATTATATAAAATCTGGTTGACAAAATGATATGGGGAGTAGAACCGAAACCTGAGCCGGCGGTGTTCCCTGGGTGTTCCAGAGGCGTGTGCCAACGGTTCAGGCCACGAGAAATCAACATGATCTGAATCGTCAGTGAAGTGATCCTCTGCCTTCTCACCCCAATCACGTCGAATGTCAGATGCTGAAATGCATACGAACTGGATTCCGGCAACGGCTCAGGGTAATAGGGCTGCAACCATACTCTCATGCCAGTGCGAGTACAAGTCGTACGAATGATAAAAAGTCTGGAACTAGAGCGGTAAGTTGCTTCTTCTCGCATTTCAGCACTTTGGAGATGCTGAATTTTTTTTTGGCCGCTACAGGTGGGACTGTCCCAAGGAAGAGAAGGATACACCAAGAAAGCACCGGTATCCACCTTGGATCAGCGTAAACTATTGCCCACCGATTGGCTCGATCTATCTGGTCGCATGCAACTCTCTATCAACTTTCGGAATAAGCTCAATCGTGACTGTGAATGGAGGGTGTACTATCGCAGACCTGCAAACAAGCGATTACCTTTCCCTCCATGCTCGTCCGGATTCTTCTACTATCATCAGCCTCCAGGCGCACCTCTTCTTTCCGGAGAACTCCGCTTTCGCGTCACTTCCAACAATCTTCCCGAAAGTTTTGATGAAGGCGAAGATTGTCTTACACCAGAAGGAGACCCTTGGAAGATCCCCCTCTTTGTCCTGCATCATATTCCATTTCATCAGAATGTGTATCAACAGCTTCGGGTGGATGGGTTCGTCTCCGACGCACTAGATTCACAGCTCAAGAGCATTGCTCAGACTTATGTCTGTCCCCGGAACACCAGCATTGTTCTACATTCGCTTCACCAAGTATTTCCCATTGATTTTTCGGCAACGACTTTCAGATTCTTCGTGGCGGGGGACTCAACTCTTCAAAATGTTCTCATTAATTATCCTTTCCGCCTTGGGCGGCAAGGGAGGGCATCTTCCTACACAAGTGTGTTTTTTGGGATAACCTCTCCACTAAAACTGACTGTGGGTGGTTGTAGGTAAGGGGTTAGTACGCTTCGAGCTGTCAGCACTACCAGAGCATGCAGGTACTAGAACGGTAGTGATGCGTGTCGTGAAACTAGTCGGAGATCCAGGGCCTTACATAGGGGAAGATCGGCCGCAAGAAGGGGCGCTGGTATTGCGACATAATCCTGTCGGCGGGAAACCCAAGTTGCTCTCTTTTAACGTTGATCGGAATACACCTCTACAAGGGTCAAAGGGCTTTTCGCATCCTGATATGCTGCCTTTGCTTATTGCAAACACTTTTGGAAACAAGCATTCTAGCCCTTAGCTGTGTCCATTCATCGTCCTCGCCGGTGTTGAAGCTCACAGCCGAGGAGCCCAAGCCAAGCTTGCAACTTTTTATTTATTACCGAACTCGCTGCCACATTTCCTTCCTTGGCATCTTTTCCGACGGGAGTCTTTTATGCCAGAGACCAGCGTTACTGGGAATCCGCTCCTTCCTTCTTGCCCTTCGGAATAGCTTATCATAACGATGGACAGTGATATTATCTTACTTCCCTCTTTATCAATATTGCTGTTTCTTTTGCATCTCGGAGGTCCGTTGTGGTCACGTTCCACCATCACCTTTGAAGCATACCCCACGCTTCCACGACAAGTTCCTCTTAGAAAATAACCTTATCGTGCCCGAACCGGGATATACTTATAGAGAGTTTTCTCCTCACTCCTTCCTGGGTCAAGCACAACTTGCTCATCCCGATGCTTCCCCTCTTCATCTGCGTCGTCCAATTCCAACTCTGACACAAGTCCAAGGCCGGGACGCCAACACACCCTGTCATTAATGCGTAACGCTGTTCCTGCGCTCCTTAGTAAATTTGGACTGACAGAATGTAAGGAGGCTTTGTACTCCGTGATGTGCCGCCTTGTGGACCATTGCTATCTGCCATGGTTCCTACCCTGTGCATATATATACTTGTGCACTTTGCTAGCATATTGTAGATTGTTTCTACTTCTTCCGTAGATGAACACCATCGCAGGCCATTCCAAGGCCCTAATTTCTTGGGCCATTCCATGTTTTGAGTTCTCATAAGCGTGCGAAATTGAAGTTTGCCCACTGAAATGTGTTGACTGAGCTCATTCCGGGACGACGCATCTCTGATAGGCGTTCAGGCCTCAGGCTCTCGCCTTTCGACTTCTTGTCGATAATGGCGGCATGTTTTTCCAACGTGTTAAGACGCGCCAATCACCTCGAATATCAGATGCTGAAATGCATACGAACTGGATTCCGGCAACGGCTGGTAACGGGGCTGCGACCATACTCTCATGCCAGTGCGAGTTCAAGTCGTACGAATGGCGAAAAGTTTGGAACTATATCGGTAAGTTCCTTCTTTACGCATTTCAGCACTTTGGAAATGTTGAAAAAACTGTTGGCCGCTACAGGCGGAACCGTCGCAACGAAGAGAAGGATACACCAAGAGAGCACCGTTATCCACCTTGGATCACCGTAAATTATCGCCCACTGATTGGCTCGATCTATCTGGCCTTACCCAACCCTCTATCAGCTTTCGGCATAGGCTGAATCGTGACCGTGAATGGCAAACGTTCTATCGCAAATCGTCAAGTTGGCAATTACCATTCCCTCCACGCTCGTCCGGATTCTTCTACTATCACCAGCCTCCAGGCGCACCTCTTCTTTCCGGAGAACTCCGCTTTCGCCTCACTCCCAATCATCTTCCTGAAAGTTTCAATCAAGGCGAAGATTGTCTTACCCCAGAAGGAGATGCTTGGAAGATCCCCCTCTTTGTCCTGTATTATACTCCATTTCATCGGAATGTGTATCAACAGCTTCGGGTGGATGGGTTCGTCTCCGACGCACTAGATTCGAAGCTCAAGAGCATCGCTCAAACTTATATTTGTCCTCGCTATGGCAGCGTTATTCTTCATTCGCTTCACCAAGTATTTCCTATTGATTTTTCAGCAACGACTTTCAGGTTCTTCGTGGTGGGAGACTCAACTTACCAAAGCGTTGTCGTTAATTATCTCTTCCGAGTGTGTGTTGAGCCCCGGAGGCCATCTTGCTACACAAGTGCGTTCACATTTTTTTGGGATAACATTTTCGTTAAAACTGACTGCGGGTGCTTGCAGGTAAGGGGTTAGTACGCTTCGAGCTGTCAGCACTACCGGAGCATGCAGGTACTAGAACGGTGGTGATGCGTGTTGTGAAATTAGTCGGAAATCCAGGACCTTACATGGGGGAAGATCGACCACAAGAAGGAGCTCTGGTATTGCGACATAACCCTGCCGGCGGGAAACCGAAGCTGCTCTCTTTCAACGTTGATCGGAAGTCACATGTATTTCGGTCAAAGGGCTTTTCGCATCCAGATGCTCTGCCTTTGCTTGTTGCAAATACTTTCGGAAACAAGCATTCTAGCCCTTAGCCGTGTCCCCTTTCATCGCCCTCGCCGGTGTGAAGCTCACAGCCGAGGAGCCCAAGCCAAGCTTGCAACTTTTTTTATTTATTACCGAACTTGCTGCCACATTTCCTTCCTTGGCATCTTTTGCGACGGGAGTCTTTTATGCCGGAGGCCAGCGTTACTGGAAATCCGGCTCTTAGCCATTGTCCGCCGACAACGGCTCAGAAATCAAAATGCACAAGTGGACGAGCATAGTACCCACCGTTCACCCTTCCTAATTTTCGACAACAAGTTGTCCAACAATTTTACCCTTTACTTATATATGTTTCCCGTTCATCTATCATCAGTAACCAGAAGAAATAGGGAACTTTCTGAATACCCGTAGCCGCCATTGTCCTGGCCAGAGGAAGGCTGAGTCCGGGGTAATGGTTTGTCATTGCCTCCTGTCGCCTATCATGTACCTTACTCTTTTATTGATTAGATCACCTCGTCTCCCTGGAATTTGCCTGAATCCTCCCAAGTCTGGATACATCTCAACCCCTTCTCGAACGACGTGCTCGCCCTTCCGCAGTGCGCCAGGACTGGAATGGGCGCCTGTGGTTGGCCCACTTTGTGGGGTCTGGGTCTACTAGCTGGGACGCACAGTGCAACATGCGGTGCAAAGTTTTGGACCTATGATCACGCCAACCCAACAATCCCCGGCATCCAAGTCGAAGCCTAGTACGTTCCCCGGTTCTCGTAGTGTTTCGTAAGTGACTTCATCCTTTCCCCCTTGAAAAATAAAGACGAACTAAAAGTACCATGACTCGCCAGCGGAAACGGCAACACAAAAGCATGGACGCTCCCCCCAGTCCAACCCGTCATCGCTACACCAACAGCGACATCCAATATATCTTTCGTCGCGATCCAGCATTCTCAGGCTGAGGCTGAATATGGCGGGCCTGTGAAGGATAAGCGGTCTTTACGAGAGATTCAGGAGGAGAGGTCGCCAAGGGAGGAGGCGGGCTTTTTGATGTAAATAGTTAAATCTCGATCTTGTATCCTGACTATAGGCAAAGTGGTACCTATTCTTTCCTCGTCTCATAAGAATTTGACTTGACCATCCCCATTCCGCCCCGGACGCAGTACTTTCGCCTAAGCATTGGACGACCTACCGACGATTCTCGTTGATGTCCTTCCGTCTGTCACACGTCTCCCAGTACACTGCCTTCTTGTCGCATCCTGGTTGTTCCGCAGTGGCCCATACCTCCTAGAAACTTTTTTCACTGTCACTCCAAAAGAGGTACGGATCATCCCCCTTTTTCGTCGGTCTCATCTGATGCTTCTTTCATCTAAAACAGCACACAGACATCTTGCAGTACCTAAGGTGCTAGTCAGCTTCTATGCTGCTCGCTAACAATGATCAAATTGGCATTATGCGACGTCCAAAGCGTGGTTCCAGCGCACCTCACATCCCTGTGTACTGATGTCGTGGATAATCGTGACCGTTAGCCAACAGGGTCCCACTGTCACCTTTCCGTTCAACGACCTACGGGGTCGTGTAACTCCAACGTTTGGACAGACAAACGGCGAGCGAGGCAACGTGCAACGTCTTGTGTTGGCAATATCTGGATTGGCGGCGGAAAGGTGAACTGTCGAACACGCCATCGGAGAAAGGGGAGGGTGGACGGCCGTACAGGTGACGTATGATTGTGGACACCAACTTCCGGAGGGTGTTCAACGGCTTCATGAGGCAAGAATTGTTGTGTGGGGGTTGGCTCAGACGAGACAGCCTCAGCATGGTTTGTCTGCGTCGTGGAGCGGTGCGGAATAACGACGGAACGGATGAGGGGGGGAAACACGTAAGCCATAGCAGGCTTGAGTTTCCTCCACAATACGCCATACTTCTTATGCAGTGAAAGGTCAATATTCAGTGGCCATGATCTGCGGCCGAGCTCAGTTGTCCCGAGTTTCTGCGGTAGTGGCAATTAAACAGGATCCCCCACCCCGACTGCGAGCCAGGGTATTGATTTGGATGGAAAGCATTGCGCAGGTCTGTGCTTTTGGGGAGAGATTGGTCGTCGATAGCAAGATAGGGTCAGGAACTCGTCGAAATGGAATATAGTCGTAGTCACATGACCACAGGACACTCCAGCAGCGTGGCAATTACGAGTCGACACTCACCCTTCTTGTTATCAACCATCATCTTGAACGCAAACACAACTATCGGTATCAACGACACAAACAATATGAACATTACTGGTTTGAAACCTGTGGGAAACAACCTTCTGCAAGCTATCAGCAGACTCGAGGTTGTCGCGGCGTCTTGCGACACCTTTCCACCACTGAAGGCGGCTATTGTTGAGGCATTAACCATCATCAGAATTGTTGGGGTGTGTGTCCTTACTTCAATCATCTCGTCATATCTATCTACATGACAACATCAGGGTTTCAAAGCCAAAAAGAAAGATTGGGCTGCTTTTTCTGAGAGTCTCATTGAGAAGATTGAGGAGATTGTTCAGGCTACCTGTGAATACAAGGTCCTGTTGACTTTGCAACCCCATTTTGAGAATCTGAGTGGGTGTGTGATTTTAATGGTGTTATTGTGTATACTGCCTGGATTTAAGTCATGCTCTAGCATTTTGTACCATTTGAAAGAAGATGTGATGAAGATCCAACAACAGAACAAATGGAAGATATTTTTCAATTCTGAAAAAGATCAAAAACATATGGCAAGTTTGCAGGTCAAACTAAATGCACTTGTGAGCATGTTTCACATAGCTTCGCTGTTCTTTATTATCTCATTGATTTACTTATTCAGCCCAACTTTCAGGCCTCTCTCAAAGTTGAGGAAAGTTCACAAGAAACAAGTAAGTTGAGTTATAAATATCTAACTTGGTATTATTCTCAACTTTGTACAGATGCTGTAATGACTGAGTCCAACAAACATGATAAGTCTATTGAGAGAAGGAACATTGGTAAAAGGACTACAACTACAAGAGCTGGTATGTACAAACCTATTTTCTGATACAACTTTGTGATAACTTTTTTATTTACTTTATTCATTAAGTACCTCAGGTAAATGTGCTTACTGAGGCACATGGTTCTCAATTCAATAACTGTGTCTTCTACTGTGCAAATACTGTGAGTAATTGGCTTGTTTAAAGGGCCCCTTCACAAGGTCATTGACATTTTATAGATTAATATCAATAGCACATCACTTGAAGCCAAGATAGCAAATGTAGTAGAAGAGTCAACTGTAAGTCATATAATATGGATGGAACTATCATCAGCTTATATCATCAATAAACATTCCAGGTAGAACAGTGGCTGCTAAAGCTCGGAGCTCCATCATATTCCAAAGTAAGAGACAGGTGCATGCCTGGAACCAATAAGGATGTGCTTACTCTTATTAACATATGGCTTCATGATCTGAATCAGCCTAATATTTTCTGGCTTTCTGGCATTCCTGGCTCTGGAAAGACAACAATTGCTTCAACTGTGGTTGCTGATTTTGACTGTTTCTCTGGAAGATTCTTTTTCTGCCGAGATGAGTTTGAGCTTCGGAATCCAAACAACTTATGGGGAAATATTGCTTTGGACCTTTCTCAGGGATGCAATGATTTCAAAAAGTCTATAGCTCTGGCATTGAAGACTTAAAAAGCTAACATCAGAGGCTTTGATATTTCTATGCAATTTGAGCATCTTATTGCCAAGCCTTTGCAGCAGGTCTTTGGGACCTCTGTAGAGCCTCTTCTTATTGTTGTTGATGCCCTTGATGAGTGTGATTCATATGAGGAACTCTTGCCTTCATTGAAATCCTGGTCTTACCTTTCCAAATATTTCAAGCTCTTCATTACAAGTCGCCGTTATAATGATATTCGGAGTTCTCTGGGCTCTGTCAGTATTCATTGTGATATGCATACTGGAGATTATGTATCCACTGCTACTGTTGATGAACTTGAAAAATACTTTATTGCAAGATTTGATGAGGTTGGTCTGCATCCATGGTGGCCTGGTCCAGCCAAAATTTCACTTCTTGTGAGAAAAGCTGCTGGTCTATTTGTCTGGGCTAAATCTGCCATGGACTTTATCTTGTGTAAGGGAGGTGATCCTGAAGAGAGGCTAAATATTATGATTGCTGACTCTGGGGGAGGACTCGATGCTGTTGACAGCCTGTATTATCAGGCTATTTCTGTTGCTCTGCAAGGTCTCAGACAACCAGAGAAAACAGCTTTGAAGTTAGTTCTGGGTTCAATAATTGTTGCAAAGAATCCACTTCAAATCAGAGATCTAAGAGAGCTTCTGGGAGTAAAAGATGCATTGCTGAATTCAATAATTGATCGGCTCAGCCCAATTTTGTTCATCAGCAATACAAGCTATTTGCATATTTGCCACCGATCAGTGGCAGATTTTCTCCTTGGTTCTGAACACTCTCAAGACTTCTGGGTTGATCCTCAGCTCCACTTTGCTGGGCCTTCCTTGAATACAAAACTAAAGTCTAACTTTGATATAAAGAGATCCTATATTACAAACCAAGACATAGCATCTTTGGTGGAAGATGGGACTGGTAAGTGTAGGTTTGTATTTTTGTTGCTGGTTACACTTATCAATCATCTTCCATCAGCCATTCTTCGTATCCTTAGTGCTACATTGGATCAGAACAGTGAGCTGCGAGACCACCTCAAGGCCTTTCAAAATGCAAATTTCCGAGTAAGGTCTCTTCTGGAGGGGGCTGACAATGATCCAGAAAGGGCAGCAGATTACATAGCTGAGGCTAGGGTGGAGTCTGTGGGATTAGCATCTCAGGCACTCCTGCTCCCTCATCCAGTAGTATCATTGTCAGAGGTGGAGAGTTTTAAGAGGAGCTTAAGGCAATTTGAGGCAGGTGGAGAAGTTAGAGTTAGAGGCTTGGAGCAGTCTGGAGAAGGTTCTAGTGGAGGGTTTTAGAATAGGCACAAGCTTGCTTGGACTTTCAGAGTTAGTTAATTTTAGGCTTTTGTTTTTTTTGTTGCTTTTTGTTTGTTTTCTAGTTTTGTTTTCTTGCCATCCAATGTTATTGTTGTCATAGATTGCAGGAGGTCATAAGAGTCAGAGCTGGTTCTTGAGGTAGGTAGGGTGAAATTGTTGAACAAGAAATTTGGAGTTGGTGCATGATTAGTGTTCGCAGGTCCAGTCTACAGGACTGAAAATATACATAGGACTGAACTGGACTGAACCACAGTCCGGTCTTTTTCCAGTTGCAGTTGCCCACATTTGTGGCCAGTCCAGTTGCCAGTTGCCACATCCAATTACGCATTGGACCTTACTCACACACATTTTTCCTTAATTTTTGTTCCCTCAATCATCAAAAACGGTCAAGAATTGGTTGAGATATGGCCAAAAACATTTTTATATGCAATTTGAATGTATGTTCTCTCCATTTTCACCATATCTCAGTCAAATCTTGACTGAATTGCTTCAAATCTTGGCCAGTTTATGGAGAATTAAATTGTCTATCTACACATGCAATGTACGTGAGGTAACATTTAAAATATCTGGCACAATAAAATTTTCAACAAAAGACGGGTTGCAACCAGTCTGGACCAATTAGGACCGGTCTAAAAGGGTGCAGTTTCGGTCCCTTAATATCTGGATTGGTCTGGACTGGTTGCAGTTGCCGGTTGCCTCGTTTTGAGGTAAAAAAACTGGATTTAACTGGACTTTAGAACACTATGCATGATGTACTGATTCCTTGCTGATTCCCAAGTGTTGTCCTCAGGTTACTGTGTGTAGTGATGTTCCAACAACTTGATGTGAAATACATTATGAAGTTGGCCCATTATAGAAGGGTTGTGAGGGTTCAACTGTGTCTAACATCATGCAACCCAAAAGTCTGACAAGCTGAGGTGTAAAGACCCACTATGGAGGCATTCTCTGTCTTAGAGTAGTTGGTGCAGGATAGTGCTTGAAAGTCTGGTCCAGTGTAATCATGGCATGATTATTACAGTTCCCATACTGTATCATATATAGGATGCACTGGCTGAGAATATAACTTCTCAGTTATTCTGCCTTTTGGCTTAGGTGGTCCTTTGTGCATTCTAGGGACTGCTTACATCCAGTCCAGTTTTTTGGCCCAAAATAAAAAGACTGAGACCAAGACCGGTCCACACAATTCCTAAAACCTCAAAAGACCAGACCAGGACTAGAAAAACCAAGACTGCAGTCTTTTTCGGTCTTTGGACCAGTCTTGGTCCAAACTGGTTACAACCAGTTCAAGACTGGTTTTTCAACTAAATATGCCATAAAACTTGCAATTGTGAGTTGGTGATTTTATTAACATTCTTTGTAGCTTCTAAATGAGTGCAAGAACATTAAATTATGTTGAGAATTGATGTATATACAAAGATACTTAAGTACATCTACTATTTTCACAAAATATTTTACAGTTTTGTATATATCTCTGTCAGTTTTTGGCCTAAAAATATGATCTTAGGTGCATTTTGAAGAATTATTATGTAGCTACAAAAGACTGGTCTTAACCGACAAACAAGACCAGTCCACGTTAACCGGTCTTTTTGCAGTCTTGTGATCTCAAATCTGAAAGACCAAGACTGCAGGTCTGGTCTTTTGCAGTCTTGGTCTGGTCCAGTTGTGGTCTTTTTGCAGTCTTGGGACTGGACTTCCAAGCACTAGTCCAGGATGTGAATCGAAACCTCTGTCAACCTGGTGATTAGTCAAAAAACCAGGAAATTTATTCTGTTCTATCTTAATGGGGTCACCCTCAGTCTTCTTGTAGTCATGCACTACATAGATAAATAGTTGTTTGTCTCTTTAATCTGTTTTTATGGCCCTTGTATGTTAGGTCCTTCACATCCCACCTAGAGGCTAGGGTTCACCTAGTGCCATATTCAAATGTTTGTGATTACCATCACCATTGACATCTTGTTGCAAGTCATCGAACCAGAAACCAACACTAAGTTCTGGGAGTGGTAATTGGAAGGTACCCTCTTCTGAGCCTAGGAAGCCAGTGGTTTCCTGTTATTGGACGAACCATCGCCTTCATTGTTCAAAGGGGTCAACTTTGCAGTAGTAAGAGTAGTTGTGCTGATCAATGATCTACGCCCGCTGTTGTTGCAGTACCCAGAACATCCGAGGAGGCGGAAGTGAGAAAAGTGGGCGTCGGATGCAGGTGCCTCTGCCTCTGTCCCTGGGAGTTGATAGATGTACAAAAAGAGCGAGAGGACGATTCCATCGAGCACCACCCAGTTCGGGCACAATAGAGTCATTGTCTAGGAGGAACTTGACATAGAAGAATGGGATAGACATAGAAGTATGAGGTATACTTCAAACGTGATAAAACCACAATGGACCTTCAAGATGTGATGCGAACTGCAGCAAACTGTAATACTAATGGAGAGGGAAGTAAGATGCTCCATCCTGATCAGCTACTCTGAAGGGCAAGAAGGAAGGAGCGACTTTTCAGTAATGCTGGCCCGTCGGAAGCGAGGCCAAGAAAAGAGATGCAGCAGCACATTTGAGATAAAAACCTTGCAAGCCCGACTTGGGCTCCTTGGCTGTGAGCTTCACACGGGCGACGGCGATGCATGGGGATACAGCTAAGGGCTAGAACCCTTGCTGCCGAAAGTACTTGCGATAAGCAAAGGCAGCGCATCAGGATGCGAAAAGCCCTTTGACCCTAGTACAGGTGTATTCCGATCAAGGTTGAAAGAGAGCAGCTTGGGTTTCCCGCCGGCAGGATTATGTCGCAATACCAGAGCTCCTTCCTGCGGCCGATCTTCCCCCATGTAAGGCCCTGGATTTCCGACTGATTTCACGACACGCATCACCACCGTTCTAGTACCTGCATGCTCTGGTAGTGTTGACAGCTCGAAGCGTACCAACCCCTTACCTACAAGCAACCCACAGTCAGTTTTAACGAAAAAGGTTATGCCAAAAAGATTTGACCGCACTTGTGTAGGAAGAAACCCTCCCGTGCTCCTCAACACCCATTTGAAAGGGGTAACTAATGGAAACGCTTTGGAAAGTTGAGTCTCCCACCACGAAGAACCTGAACTTGGTCGTTGCCGAAAAATCAACAGGAAATACTTGGTGAAGCGAATGAAGAATAATGCTGCCGCGGCGGCGGGAACAGACATAAGTCTGAGCGATGCTCTTGAGCTTCGAATCTAGTGCGTCAGAGACGAACCCATCCACCCGAAGCTGTTGATACACATTCCGGTGAAATGGATTACGATACAGGAGAAAGAGGGGGATCTTCCAAGCGTCTCCTTCTGGGGTAAGACAATCTTCGCCTTGATTGAAACTTTCAGGAAGATGATTGGAAGTGAGGCGAAAGCGGAGTTCTCCGGAAAGAAGAGGTGCGCCTGGCGGCTGGTGATAGTAGAAGAATCCGGACGAGGGTGGAGGGAAAGGTAATCGCTCGCCTGATGATTTATGATAGCACGTTCGCCATTCACGGTTACCATTCAGCTTATGCCGAAAGCTGATAGAGGGTTGGATAACGCCAGATAGATCGAGCCAATCGGTGGGCGAAAGTTTACGCTGATCCAACGTGGACACCGGTGCTCTCTTGGTGTATCCTTCTCTTCGTTGCGACGGTTCCGTCTGTAACGCCCAAGATCTTTTTCAGCATTACATACTAAAGTGCTGAAACTTTGCGAGAAGAAGCAACTTACCGCTCTAGTTCCAGACTTCTCGTCATTCGTACGACTTGAGCTCGCACTGACATGAGAGTATGGTCGTAGCCCCATTACCAGCCGTTGCCGGAATCCAGTTCGTATCAGCATCTGATAGTATCCGAGGTGATTGGGATACTAAGAAGGTGCAGAGGAGAAGTGTTGGAGGAGGCGGTGGGAGGGGTAGACAGGGCGGCGCCGGTGGTGGTGGGGATGATGAACGTTCAACAGGTGCAGTACTAGTGTTCGCAGAGGCCAGTAGACGAAATTTATTCTAAATTCTATGTATGTTCGTTCATCTATGGCTGTATGCTTAGGCTCTTCATTGCTTAGCTTATAGAGCTCTGGACGTTTCGACGAATAAATATAATTTAATCCAAAGCCACAATCATCCCCAGGCTGCTGATACGCTCCTCCTCGCCGCAACCTTGCAGTCATGATGCATGGATCGATTTGTGGTTGGATTACGATAGTTGGCCTGGGTAGATTCTGTCGTTCCCGTCTCAAACGTTGAACGTTGAATATCGAATGCTCGCTCACACAGTGGTTACTTTTCAAGGCAGATACTTATTCTCAATTTTGGCATGTTCGTCGTTCATAAACTATGAAGTTCGTGTTTGACCAACGCCAACAACACTAACACCCATCCCCATCCCCACCATGACCCTCCCCAAACAAATCCGGCAAAGCCTCCTCAATCTTCCTAATACACTCCGCAATACTCCTCCTCGCCGCAATCCTACAATCATGATGCATATACGTAGCCGTCGAGCTCCCAAGCCGATCATAATCCTTCTGTATAACCTTCAACCTCCCCAACACATCCGCCAACCCCTTCCCTAGTACAACGTCTCCCCTAGTTTTATCCTTCCAGAACTCGACCCATGATTGGTTACACCCATGTTGATGCCATGTTGCGCCGCAGGAAGGGGCATGTTCGAACGGTGGGGGTGTGGTGCGTAGGGATTCCCAGATTCGGGTTAGGCGGTAGTACCCTGATAAAAGACGGAGTTGTTGAGAGGGGGTTATGAGGAGACGGGGTTCCTTTCTGACTGGGGTTGTTGAGGAAAAAGTGGATGTGTTGGACGCTCCCAACCCTCCGAATCCTGGCGTGGGTTTGGTCAGATCAACGCCAACAGCCGTGACTACCGTAGCCTTTTGCATTATCTCGAGGTACGCTGCGCCTTTGAGGGCTCGTATATCCAGTTCGTCGGCTAGCGTCATGGCTAGGTAGGCATATTGCAACGACGACGTCATCAGCTGCGTCAACAAATCGATCATTGTGTCTAATAACGCTTGGTGTCCACACAATTGCGCAAGCCTTATCAATCGCGTAAGTTGGTCTGTGTTCGCTGCTGTGCCTTCTACAGCGCTAGCACTGGCGTTTTGCGCCGGAAAAGTGTACGATGCAGGCGGCGGTATAGCCGACAAAATCGGACACGGTTTTCGGTTCACATACACCTGAATCGCATCGAGTGCCCACGTTTCGAGTGTTTTGAACGCGTATTTGTTGCTTACGCGCGCTATGTCGATGAGTTGGCTTAGATCTGCGCTTGGGGTCGTGACGATGCGGAGTTCGGGGGGGAGTGCGTATAATGCCCAGAGGAAGTGGCGGAATTCGGAGGGGGTGTCGCCGTGTAGGATTATGGGGTTGTTGTCTGAGCTGCCTTCTGAGGGGGAGGAGGAAGGGGGACCTTGGGGTAGGGAGAACATTGCGCTGAATGAGGAAGAGTCTTTGCTCAAGATTGAGCGGTGGACCTATATATATGCGTGTGTTCAAAAATGAATAGAGAAGGAGGCAAGGACAAGGGGACGAACGTTAAACAAGGTATTTTGGACTAGGAAGATACAACTCCCGTCTTCCATGTAATATACCTCGTCCCGCACGGGCTGTGTGTGTTCCACGTCGGAGATGGAGTATTCGTTGGTGTCCATGTCAGAGCCTGTGTCCATTTGCTGGATCTTTCCAGGGGGACCTTGGGGATCTGAGGACCGGCCTCGTTTTCCGAGTGCTGAAGGTTTTTTGGTGATTTCGGTCATTGGAAATCTGGTGTATGGGGTGTTAAAAAGATGGAGTGGTGTGCACGGTGAAAGGCTTACTGCTTACTATTGAAAGTTGAACCTCGTTGTTACCGGCAGCGTCCTATATAGAACAGAGATAAATCACATACCTGTTGCATTTTTGTTGCGTTTCCATGCTATGGCTGCTCTCCTTCTTCGACGGTCCCGACCCGACGTCGTGGTTGCGTTGAAATAACTTGAAGTGGCAAGTTTCTCACCTATCGGGTTTTTATCTGATAAGAGTCGTATGATCAGTTATCAAATCTATCCGGGGATAGTCGACCAAGTAGTCGCTTCAAATCGTAGTTACCGACGAAAGAACGAAAAGTCAAGGTCGTAGAACAGGTACAAACGAAAGGAAACCCCGTGTAAGCATTCATATGACCCCAGCATCGTGTGCACCTTCCTAGACATCAAGTTCGCGTTTGCTTATAAGTACGAACGACAGATGGCGTATTCGCAACCCTCTCTTCTACTCGCATCATGCCTTTCGAAGAGATATCGCTCAACGACGGAAACAAGGTCTTTCTTTCTTTCACAATTATAACCCAGTGAATGAATATCTGTCCGCCGCACATACTTAGATCCCTGCAATCGCGTTCGGCACAGGAAGCGTGAATAAAGGAAAAGATATCCACGCGTACATCGAACAAGCTATCGACGCTGGGTTCTCCCATGTTGATACTGCGCAATGTACGTCTTCTCCCCCCTTCCCCACTCTTTGAATTGACACGACGAAATACGTACAGACTACGGCAACGAATCAAGCGTCAGCACGGCCCTACGCGAAACGGGCCTCGCGCGTTCCGAGTTTTTCATCACTACAAAGTATGCATCTGGAGACGTTCAAGAGGAAGTGAGGAATAGTTTGGAAAAGGTACGCACGCAACGCCCTTACGCGTTCATTCATGCCATCTTTTTTGGACAGCTGGGACTCAAACAACTCGACCTATACCTCATCCACTTTCCCGACCCTACAAAGGATACAGTAAAGACATGGAAGGAATTCGAGAAAGTTAAGGAGGCGGGGTTATCAAAGCACGTCCACTTCCCCCTCTTTCTTTCTATTTCGTGGCTGACCTACAACACCAGGAGCATCGGCGTAAGCAACTTCACCATCCCCGACCTCGAAAAACTAGCCAAAAGCGGCTTAACAGTCCCAGCCGTCAACCAGGTCCATCCCTCTCCTCTCTTAGTACCCCCTTGTCCAACCCAACTAAATAAACTGCACACACATAGATCAGGCTACACCCCTACAACTACACACAACACAAATCTCTCTTAGAATATCACGCCCAACACGGCATAATCACCGAAGCGTACGGTAGCCTGTCGTACGTCCCTCTCCCTCCCCCCTCTTTTCCCTCATCTCACACGCCCTACCCCAACAGACCAATAACAACATACCCCAACGGCCCAGTCGACGCCCCACTCAAAAAAGCAGCTTCCCGCCTAGGCATAACACCCACCCAAGTCGTCTTTGCGTGGGTCAAAGCAAAGGGAGCCGTCATCGTCACGTTGGTCCCCTCCCCTCATTCATCACTTATGTGGTGTTGATGAACGCTTGATCAATACAGGACCAGCTCCAGCAGACAGCACCTCGAAGAATACCTCGCTGTTGGGGATCTATGTACGTCTTTCTTGCTTTGCAACGTCCAATCTGACTTCCTTTCTCTTTGCAGCCCCTCTCACGCAAGAGGAGATTCAAGCGATAGACGAGGCAGGCGCCAATGGTCCCCCTACTCGTGTCTCCATCTTGGACAAGTGTTGGTTCGCTTGCCGACAGTGGTTATGGGTAGTCGAGTTTCTTTTCCTCCTGGCCTTGGGGGTCAATTTGATGCGTATTGCTGGGAACAATGTGTTCTACTCCACTGCATCCTTTGAAGAATAGATTATTCTGTGAATTGAGACAGATGGCGACCTTGCTTTGACTTAACATCTCACAAAATGCGGCAGCAGGAGTGTCACACAGGCTCTAAGATTCGAATACAAGCTAGACATCTAAAAGCGAGAACACTGCGTGGTGGTACAAGTACAAGGGTTACAGAAAACATCGAGTCCGTCTATAAAGAATATCTGAAGCCTATTTGCAGAGACGAAATTCACTCTAGTTGGTTTCAGCGGTCGTATTCGGAGTCCTGGCCAGACCAACGCGGCTGTTGGTCGTATCGTAGACGCTGTAGTAGCGTTGTAAGAACCCGAAGCCGTCTGTAGCGAAGAAGATTAAAGAGTGTTTCAAGGGTATCTGAAATGTGTTGCTTACTGATGAAGTCAAGGCCACTACCGCTGTTACTCCCCAAATCAGCGACAATGAGATAAATTTGGCCGTCTTGGCCTCCAATGCTCGAATTAGATTGACGAGGCCAGATTTGAGCGTTCGGAGTCAGCTCGTAGGTTTCCTGGAAAAGAAATGAGCAGTTAGAGGAGCTTGATAAAAAGGGTTAGACTTACAGAGCCGATCTGGAAAAATAGACTTTCCAGCTGAGCGAATTGGTCGTCCGTGATAGTGAGGAGACCAGTGGTCCTATTATCAACTAGTTTATAGCAGAAAAACGGGCGAATAGAAAAGACGCACTGATCCAGTATCGCCTGAGTAGCCTGCTGATATGCCTGGAACGCGTCAGTGGCGATCAAAACCAGGGTGGTTCCAGTGTCCACGATTCCTGCAGCACCCTGCAAAAGAGGGGTGCCATTGCTGCCGTACGTGAGCGTTTGATCGACGCCCCAATAATGACTAGCTGGCGAAGTCGCTGTGATGGGCACGTAGTTGATCGAGCCGTTGAACCTTGTACGACTGTCAATCAAACATAAATGTCATTGCTCATACTCACTTGGACGTGTCAGTCGCTCCAAATGTAAGTTCGCCATTGGTATCATCACCAGGACTTGTCGTCGGGTTGAAGGAAATCGCGATGCTCTCGGTTGGAATAAGCCCCTGAGAGTACAAGGAATCGGTTACGGTTGGGACGCTTTGGGTACCCTTCACAGTTCCTACGGCGATGATGAGAGGGGAGCGAGCAACAGAAAAGGGAAAAATCCTATACCAGTGGTAAGGTCGACTGGCCCGATTCTGAAAAATTGAAGATCAAATGATTCTCAGGAGAAAGGGTCACGTCGCTTAGTTACCCCAAGATACCATCGACACCGTCAAAACCTTTCGCCTTGGAGGCCACGCCGATAGACTGGTTCTTGAGGGTGAGATTTCCACCGAGACTAACTTGATCCGTGTCTGTGGATGGGTAAGTATACCTTACAAAACGGAGGATAACGCGGGAAAATGCGCATACATTCCGTTCCAGAGAACGAGCCAGAGCCATAGGTAACGGTCTATTGTGAGGTTGAGATCATATTTCAGATGAATAGAAGATGCGGACTCACAACCGTTTTACCGGTACTTTTGCTCGTTGATGTGGGCTTATACTTCTTGTCGGCGCCAACCCATCTGCAAAGATGTCAACGACATCGTTGAATATACAAGTGGAACAGACTACGTATTAGAGCTTCCTGTAGGTCCAATTGATGTGAGAATCACAGCATAAAGCAAAAGATGCATTCTGACCTGTATCGATGATGAGGGTGAATGTTTCCTGGCCAACTTTGACAGGCAGAGTGTACGTCACGGCTTACAAGAGAAACTCAGATATTGATGCGCATATATTGGCAGAAGATAGGTTGCGCACCAGCATCAGTTACGTCAATAGAGTTGTGAGCGGCCGTAGGATCTCCAGCGGGAGGTACTGCCGCCAAATTTGCAAAGTGCTGGGCCTCGCCACTGGGATGGTGCAATTTTCGTGCGTGGAATGCGCGTGGCCCATGAGGGTGTAAACCAGCGAGGAGCTTCTGTGCACGAGCTCGGTCGCGAGCGAGAATCTCTTTCGCGTCGCGATGGATGCGAGTCTGAATTGGGATGGACTTGATGATGACGTGGGACATGGTAGTATTTCGAGTGCAGGATGATGGAAGCGGGGGAAAAGGAAGGATGAGGTGCTGGCGAGTTGTCTTGACCTTTTTATACTGGGTCGCAATGTCTCACCTTTCTAGATGTCGGCGATAGGTACCTCCGCTACACACCATACCTGGTGAAGAGATATAAATAGCGGTATGGTTTAGCAGATTCGAAAATGACGCCTTTAGAAGATTGCGCCTTTCCACTTCTAGAATGGTATGAGCCTGGTGGACGCAACAAAAATAACCTCAAGAAAATGCAGAAAAGTCCGTAGATACACAGTGGCCGTTATTCAAAGCATCCCTTTAGCTAGAACGAGCACAGAAAGTACAGGAGTCTCCATTCCGAGTCTCGATTATGGAAAGAACGCACGCTGAGGTCGCTCAAACTGGAATTTTCGCAAGATGCCGTTAGGCGAAACGAAACACTCAGATGAGAGTTTGACACGACAAACTGAGGTAAAATCCGCATAGTAGGCAGCCTGCGCTGAGGTGACAGTCGTCTCGCTAGATCGTTGACTTCTTCAATGATTGTGAAAATGGCACTAGCTATAGCAAGGTTACAGCGCTGTACAGATCCAGGGGTCAGCTGCCCGGGCGTTGGATTCCAATAGATTAGGTCCACGACAGAAAATGCGGGCGCCAGGGCTAGTACCTTGCGCTTAGATAAACTTGAACAACAAGAAAGGTCACCATACACCACTTGTTTGGTTTGACATTCCGAGTCGATTCTCTTTTGGTGAACGGTCGTCATGTAGATGTAAGTAGTATGGACCATGGTTGTCGCCGCCGTTCAACTTGTCGGAGTCGCTCCAAACTCTAGTTGACGCGTGTAAGGATTGAATTCGTTCATCTTGAGAATTTTATAAATCTAGCATCAAGATTGAACGTTTAGAACGTTAAATCAACGTTAAATGACTCGGACTTGGAATGAACAGAGCATCGATGTTTGTTGACCGTTGTTGACAAAGTCACTCATGACCTTCACAACCTAATTTCAATGACTTGGACACGACCTGACACGACCGTGGTCCGTGGCGACAACTTTGACGCTCAGGCTGACCTGCACAACACGACCGGTACAACACTGGGCGAGATGGCGAGGTTTCGCCAACAACACTACCACCATTATACGAGTTGCCTATGGGAGACTACATCAACGAACTAGGAAGCAACTTATGTCGTCGTGGTGAAGTTTGGCCGCGTGGCATCGTTTACCCCCTCATTGGTTTCTTCCTTGCCCAGGGGGCGCCCTTCGGGTTGCTCGTCGCCCATGCCTACGAAGATAATGTATGGCCTGTGTGGCCATGGCTCGTGTACGAGCTGCAAGCGGACCAACTGGCGTACTGTTACCTCACATTCTTCACGTCGACGATCTTCATCGTGCTCGGCGCCATCTTGGGAATGCAAGAGGATCGCCTGCGACTCCTCGCCGCCACCGATGGTCTCACAGGCCTTTTGAACCGCCGCTACTTTACTCTCCGCCTCTCGCAAGAGCTTGCCCGCGCCAAACGCTATCAAACTCCGCTCTCGCTCCTCGTCATTGACCTCGATGGGCTCAAAGCCATCAACGACGGCGCCGGCCACGATGCAGGCGACCGAGCAATATGCGGTGTGGCATCGACCCTTTCGCGCGCGTTGCGCGTAACCGATGTTGCCGCACGCTATGCTGGGGATGAGTTTGTGGCACTCCTGCCACAGACTTCGGCGATTGAGGCGATGGGCCTGGCTGCCCGCATCAAGGCATGTGTGGCAGAGCTCAACCACGGTCCCGAAGGCGCGCCGCTCTCCGTATCAATTGGCGTGGCCGACCTCGAAGGCGCTGCTAGCGGCACAGCCGAAGATCTCTTCGCTGCCGCCGACAAGGCCCTCTACGCCGCCAAAGCGGCAGGCCGCAACAGCGTGATGGCGGCTCCCGCCCCCTAATTTTGATTCACCTGCCGTGGGTTGTCAGTGAGCACTGTAAGCTAGCAGATGGGGAGTATTTACCTGCTCAACCTTCTTCGCAGGGACATCAGATTCGTATAGCTGTCATGATAATTAGACACCAAATTGAGCTCAAATTTCCATCATGCCTCTGTGATTTGGTCTCAGTAAAGCGGAAATCGCGAGACCCCTTAGAGTTGGTTTGTCTCGGCGAACGCCGTGTATATTTACCCTCACACCAGCCATCGTTGATTTTCTTACAGACATGACAACACTTGAGCAGAATGTGGTTGACCTCGTCAAGCCTTTCATTGAGGAAACTCGACCTGCCTTGGAATCGCTACTCGTTGATACAGAGCAAGAGATCCCCATATCATCGCTGCCACCCGAGTTGCTTTCAGAAATATTTATGCTCTGCTGCCAACCCAAATACAACGCCATCGGAGGAGTGGATAGTCAGGCAATATGTCCTTTGCGCCTTGCTGCCGTCTGCAAAGCATGGCGCGACCTGGCATGGACTACAAGCCGCTTGTGGTCCGTTATCATCTTAATGTGGTCACACCCTTGTGCTTTCCATCTTGAGGGAGTTCTAGATTCATGGATTAAACGAGCAGGAGCTCAACCCCTTTCCATCCGTTACGAAGCACAAAGCAATAGCCTGCTATCCCGTCTCATCCAAGAAACCTCTAAATGGATGAACGTTACAATCAAGTGCCCCCCTTCAAAGTTCTGCTCCGCCATCGAAACATACAACTATTTTCCACTCCTCGAACATCTCTCCATTCGCGTTCGAGTCGGTTACTATGATCCTGCCAGTTCAAACCCATTGCACTGTCTGGACGATCTTGACATCTTCAACTGTTCAAGTCTGCCCAACATAACTCGTTTGCATGTACCGGGTCACCTACAGTGCTTCAAACCCAACTTGATGTGGTCGCAGCTCAGAACGTTCTCCGTGAGCTGCATTGACAGCGAGAACCTGTGCAATATCTTAGATCTTGCTAAATTCCTTGAAGTTTTCAGTGCGACGTTTCTTGACTGGGCATATACCAATGGTGATATTCTGCAGACTGTCAATCACTCCTACCTCCGATGTCTGGTTTTCAAGGAGGTACCTTCAGGCAAAAGTTTGAATGAACTCCTAAGCACACCAAGTATCAGCACTCCCAACCTCGAAGATCTCACAATCGAAATGAACCGCGGGCATGAACGTCCCGACCCAAACTCCACTTTTCTATCCAAATTTATCACCTCTTTGCATCAACTCCGGCGAATCAAAGTGAAATATTATGATACTCATGATCCAAAATGGGTTTTTCAATGGCTTCTAAATATTCCATCCCTTACAGAACTGGATGTTCAGGCATCCCCAAGCGCAATCGCAAACATCGTTTCTGCTTTGGGTAATCCCGCATCTACAGAGACAACAACTGAATATCTTCCTTTGCTTGTTAATCTTACGATTACTCAATGGGACAATCTCATAATGAAGGACATTCCAGAGATGCTGGCATACAGATCCTCTGGAGTTTCTCCCTCCATCTCAAGGCTCAAAAGTGCTTCGTTACATCAGATCTCTGAGTCCTTTTCTCAAGAGGACTTTGATGCCTTCCAGATGGCATCCCTTGGTGACCTGGCGTTAAAAATGATAGACCGAAAAGGTTGTCTCAATCTTGGTACACCTTACTCTTCTCATCAATTTAATCGGCAGGAGCTCACCGCATCTGAGCAAAGCGCGATGGATTTGTCTGTTGAGTTACCAGAAAGATAAAAATTGCTTGGGTGTCAGAGGGGGAAAAAGGATATCAGATATGGACTGCCTGGAAACTTTCGTAAAAAATAGTACACAGAAGAGAACCGAACCTGCTCGAGTAGTGTTATGAGCAAGAGTTGGACGTGGGCGGCCACGTTGCTTGGCACTACTCGCGTCCTTATTTCCGTCGTCTCTCAGGCTCGCGAAGCACATTGTACGCAATGCTTTCATGGGTTGCGTATTTGAGATATTGCCTTCAATAGAGCCATGGAATTTGGCATCGTTGCGGAGACATACAGTGTATACGAATAATGACACACTCCCCAAATCGGGACAGCGACACATAGGGTGAATTGCCGACACATTGATGTGTTCCCATTCTTTAGTGTGTCGATTGTACCTGTGTTCAACACATTCAGATGTGTCGAACATAGATACGTGCATACTGATCTGGCCAACTTCAAATCTTCTTTTTTTATTTTTATACAAGTCCTTCTGTACTCGGGTAAATGGCAGTATGATATATATTCCTTGTCTACGAGAAAAACAATAGCTACTACGTAGAAATAGGAAGGAAGGAGCGAGGTATGGACACCTCCCTTTCAATAACAACCCCTTGCAATCAAAAGATCCCCGCACTACCCTGTCCAAGCTGCATGCCCTCTCCCCGATACTGAGACCTCGACTCCCCGCACTGATGGCGAACAGTGGGTGCATGTCGTGTCGTGGCTCGCTTCATGGACGTGGACGTGGTGGGGTACTCGCGTTCGGGCTGGTGTTCGTGTTTGGTTCACAGTCGCATTTGGGCGGGCATCCGCGTTTGGATGGGGATTTGGGCTCGTGTTCGGGTTGTCTTCGTATGTCGGGGCTGGTTGAACATGCTGGCGTTCGGCTCGTCACGTTGGTGTTGGTCGTAAACGCTGGCGTTGGGTTATGTTGGGTCGGCGTCACGAGGGTTTTCCGCTGTGGCTGCTAATATGGGGTATGCGACCGTGGCCGTTTGTCGAAGGTGGTGATGACCATGGCCGTTCGTCATGGCGGGCACTGGCCAGTCATTGATCGTGGTGACGGGCTCTTGTGGCCATTTGTCGATCGTGGTGGTAGGCCCGATGGATGTTAGTGGGCGCTCAGCGTCGTCCGTCGATCGTGGTGGTGGGCCCTCGTAGCCGTTAGTGGGCGCCTGTCGATCGTGGTCAATCGTCAGAGCTCGTGGTGGGCCATCATCGCTGTTCGTCGATGGTGGTGCTGAGCGCCCGTGGACGTTCGTGTGGATCGTGGCGGTGGGTCCTGGTGGCCAATCGTCGATGGTCGTGGTTGTGAGAAGAGAGGGGTAGTGACGTGTGACATTGCGTTCGTCACCTCACCAATTGGGATGTGTCCAACTGAGTTGCTCATCCTCTCATCCTCGACACAGTGTCGAGGATGAGCCTTATCCCCTTTCGGGGAGTGTGCCGCCGTACGTATATCCTCGGAGACATACGACTTTACGAAATCGAATCACTCGGGGGATCAACGTTCAACGTGCAACCACCACTAGGCGTTCCTATTGCCCAATTATAAGTACATGATTGAGGAGCGTGTTGTTAGCTGTGATGCAGAATTAAGAAGTTGAAGAAAACGGATCTGCGTTAAATAATTGCCTGGTTCAATCAAACTTCAAGTGACGATGATGGCGGAATGATCTCAGCTGGTTGATCCCGCTTCCCACATGCTTCACGTCCCTGCAATCCAACTCGACGATGCTCGAGAAGAACGGGGCTTGGGAGGCGCCGAACGCGCAAGATTTCTCATAAAGACGGCCAACTTGCTTTAAGGCATATCATCGGGTCGCGATGGCAGTATCCAATCCACCAAAAGCACCCACAGACCAGCTGCGCCTCGAGTGCTTTAAAATGCTCTCAAGGCTCCAGCTCATCTTGGAATTCCGGCCATGGCTCGAATACACGCGAGATCATATACCCAGAAGAGTTGACTCGCCCTTCCTGCTCCTCTGGGACTGCTTTTCGTTTGGTGCGCCGTTGAGCACGCTCCTGGAGCTTCTAGGTTCGCCAACACCTCGACATATGGTCGTCTCGGCTGAGTATTTCGATTTCAATCTTTCGATGGACGACCGCAAGGAATTTTTCGTTAACTTTATCGATCGCGTTCATGTGCTTGAAGAGCAAGGGAGATTGTCATATGGAGAAGTGGTGCGTGTGGATGATTTTACTAGTGGTGGTTTCGCGAAGGTGAGCACTTCCAGTTCTGCTACATCATTGACCTAAGAATACGCTTTATTCAGGTAATACATGCCGCCAACCGTATCATAGTCGCACTCCAAGCGTCGTTCCCGGGTCTCTTCGTGGTTCCTCGCGGTTCTCCTGCCAGAAGGCTTAGTTTAGTCAATCAATTGATGGAAGCTGAGCGGTCTCATGTTTCAAGACTTGCGCTAGTAGCGGTGAGTGGGCGTTACGCTTGTCAATAGTAAACCTCCTAATGGTTTTGTAGGATGCTGCTTCACTGCTATACGAACAAATGGATGCGATGGACGCGTCACTGGAAGTCTTTATTGTTAACTGTTCCAGGTTGATGCCGTACCATGACCACGTACTACAGTCTTTGACTGGAGCGAAAGATGCAGGGCAGGAGCAATGGGAGGAAGTTTTTGCCTTCACTGTCAGCAACCGTTCCTCTCCCATTTCACCTCACTGAGCGACCATCCATGTCACAGAACAAACTTTTCCGCACGAAAATTATTGCGTCTTACCGGTCGATCTGCGCAAACTACTTGGGATTCATGGCTTTTCTAAAGCATGTTAAAGCCAAGGTACTGATATGTTGCTTTCTCGTTGTAATCCACGCGTCGCTCACAAGGTGTCCCATAGTCGGTCCATGCTGAACACGCAGGCGACATCATTAACAACCTCTCAAGTATACTCAGTCGCATCTCAGAATACAGCATATTACTCAAGGTTCTTCACTCCTTCATCTCTCAAAAAACATAGCGTTAATCGTAATCTAAGGCCATTTTGGATGTAACGTCCCCAGACAACCCTTCCTCCTACGACTCCCTTTGCGCTATGGCGTTTGAGATGCATGACATCTCGGATTCTATCGAAGAAGTTGGGCGCGAGTTGCGCACTATGGCATCCATCCCAGCCCTAAACTCTCGTATAGGATCAGCAAAACTATTTCCAAACGCGGAGGCGCTCGGTGCTGTGATTCTGGACGATCATTTAATGGGTGATCCCGCAACAGGGCTACACTTCTCCGTCTTCCTATACGAGACTATGATGTTTTGCTGCGTTGAGAAAGGGCTTTCTGGTAACGGTGGGACCCATACGTTGTACCCTATCAAGCCTTGGGAGTTGGGTCCCGCTCTATCTCACAACACGCAGCTTGCTGTATCGTTTGTGATACGAACTGCAAGCCTCAAGACGTTACATTGCATTGACACAGGTGAGTCTACCTTGGTCAGTTTCAAATTGTCACCAACTCCATACTATAAAGCCTTCTTTGAAATTACGTGGTCGCACTCGCCAACGGAAGATCGCTCGGTTATATTCTACCCGATGATGCCCCTTCAGTACACGCAGTGGACTTCACAACTTGAGATGTTTGTAAGCCGCGTGTATCATTCAACGTCCATCCCCGTGGATACTAGGGCAGGAGCCGAAGGCGATAACTTTAGCGTCCTCTCCTCCGCTATGTCTCTCATAGTCACTGGCGATGAGACCATACTGGGCCGACGCAGATCGACCGCCAGGCCCTGGAGCATGATTGGCAGGAAGGGCCCTCGATCTGATAGCTCATCTGTAATACAGAAGGGCGATCAAATTTCCATCCTTAGCCCGACCCTCCTTCCAACGCTTTTTACAAACAGTTCTGCGACTTCAAAGAGTCCCACCCGGTCTGGCTTTAGCGTGGACATCCCTCCTTTGACGCCTTTGTTGGCTACTTTTTTCTCCGAGACAGATGAAACTGTGCCCAACCTGACTGGAAAGATTGTCAGGGAGGGCCAATACCCCATCGCACATGGAGGGTACTCGGATATCTGGAAGGGCGTGTTACAGCAAGACGACTCACGGGAGCTCAAGGTGTGTGTATTCTTCCTCACTCACCTTTCCATCTTGATCGTTTCAATAGGTCGCTGTCAAAGTTCTCCGAAACACAACGAGTGACCCGGTATTGAAAGCGAAACTCGTAGAAGTAGGTTTAATTCCCTCAACGTTTGATATTGATATTGACATCGTGTTCTCTTGCAGCGCCTCAATCGTGAGCTCAATATCTGGAAGAGACTCTCTCATCCACGCATCCTTGAGCTATGCGGCACCGTTTCCAATTTCGGTCCGTACACCTCGATGGTCTGTCCGTGGATGGAAAACGGAAGTGTCAGCCAATACATGGAGAAAGCTGGGGACCTGTTGTGTATCGCAGAACGACTAAGATTGGTTGGTCTAACACAACAGAAGATTCTACCAATGATCATTGACAATCTTACGATAGATTGACGAGGTGGCCGATGGGTTGTCATACCGTAAGCCATATCACCTTTCCTGCGCCGCAGGTACTAACCAACATCGACTTCCACAGTGCACAAGTGTTCCGTTATTCATGGCGACCTTACAGGGGCGAGTTGTACACCTCCTTGCTTTTGTCCTGTAATTGACTCATGGCTCTCGTTACCAGTCTAACGTATTGATTGACTCTGACCGCAAAGTCTGTCTTTGTGATTTCGGCCTCTCCAGCATTGTCCAAGAACTTCAAGGGCCTCAGTCGTATGCCGCCTCCAACCTTGGAGGATCCGTTCGTTGGGCTGATGCCCATTTTTTCTCAAGTGGGGTCTACGAAGACGATCAACTTCCCCAAATGACAACTGCAAGTGATATCTACTCCTTTGGGAGCGTCATGCTCGAGGTTCGATAATGCTAAACAAGAGTCAATCCCTGTTTTTTACTAATCTATTCGTATTCAGATTCTTTCGGGTCGTATGCCCTATCATTACCTGCGGACTGACGCTCAAGTCGTTATGGAGCTTCACCAAGGCGTCAAGCCACGTCGACCGGCACCATCGTTTGTGGATGATGATCAATGGTCACTCATCCAACGATGTTGGACAGATCCACCCTCAAGTAGACCTGACATTGGGGATGTTCGGGAGAGTGTTCAGGACCTGATGCAAGGGTGTGCAAAGTGCGAGAACTGTGTTGCACTTGTCGAATGATCCTCTGGTGAGTTTGTCATTGGGTCGGTATAGAGGTAATGCTCATGCCTCATAGGTACGCAACCTACCACGAACGCAGTGTAGATGACAGGCTTCGACATACGACTCCCATGCCACTAATGTCGCACCTACAAGGATGGGTAGTCAATCCCCATATCCTTGTGAACCATGTCGGTCTCTCCATATCTTCCCGCGCACTATGAACGGTCGTTTTTTGTTTACAATGTGACCTACAGAAGCAGAGATGATAGTCGGGACTGCTAATCAATGATGTATTAGCAATGTCCAATTCATCGATGCGATGGTGGACTGAGCAGGACTTTGGGATTTAGTAGCATTTGCTCCCTCTTGTCTCAAGACAGTTGTAGTATTCAAATGGACTCGGAGGGCCTGGATGAATGATCGCACATAGTTGAGAAAGTCTGCGTCGTCAAACCTGTCCTTTTCACCCTGATTTTCGTATGGACAATTTCGGCCTTGTAAAATTGCAATAAGAAACGGTTGGGGGATAATTGAACTACGCAACTTTGCCTTAAGTTCGTGTTGGACGAGTTATTTGTTTGGTCGGTGTGGTGAAGAGAAAGACCCACCAAACAGATTTCTTGCCAGCAACCACCACCTCGCACGAACTGGACGGACGCGCGACGATTTCGCGAATGCAACGGAGGTGCGCATAATGCGCTATAGACTAACGTTGACACCGGTGCGCCAACTGTTTCTCTCAGTTATGCAAAATTCTGAAAATTCGAAGGTCTCCTGCTCTCCCAAGCTAAACCTTTGGAGGACAATCTTAGACCAGCCTTGGAGACTGAATAGCGGTCATGAAAGTTATTCTCAGATGTAGCACCATGCCATTATCCGTCTCCGTGGTTGCCTCCTTCACTCGTCTCAAGAATTCTCGAGGGGTCTTTAGGGCGTTACATTGGGGCCAAGTTCGAAGATCTCGAGCTGCTTTAAAGCACAATGATCCTTTACGACTTGCAGACTTGGATCGGAGATTCTTGGAACCCCTGCCGACTGCGTCATCCCCGAGCATGTGCACGGAACTTCACCACGAAATATCCACACTTGACCCAAAGAGTCTGAAGCAAGCTGACTACATCGACGTCTCGAACTATGACCGGATCTCTATCCACCCGTCATCAGCACCATATCCAGCCCTTCCACCTGGCACATTCCGTTCAATGCCGTCCTCCTGCAGAATCGAGTACGAGCCTACGGTGGTCGCGACCCCAACTGGGATCTTCTTTTCTTCCTCTACATTTCCGCCGGGCACCTCCGGCTTCCTATACTTCTATACGCCCTCAAATGGAGTCGTCATAGGCAGTGAACTACGTTTCAGGATCACTTCCAGCGACGATCCCCATGCCTTCAAAGACGGACAAGACCTAATAGCACTGGATGGAACAACGTGGAGAATACCACTCCTCACGTTGTGCCGACGGCGTTTGCTCTATGGGTTATACCAACGAGCGCAGCTGGATGGGTTTATCCCTAAAATACTGGTCCCCCGACTTCGCGACCTCGCAGAACGGTGTCCTGTCAACCGCAGGAGCATAGTGCTGCACTCGCTCAGGCAGCCTTTTCATCTATCCTTTGACACGACTGTGCTCAGGTTCTGGGTCGCGACTGATAACGGCTGTATCAAGGTGTCCATTACAAATCCTTTCCATATCGGAGCTCAACTGCCCCGTCCACCATACACCGGTGAGTGCTCTCCTTCTTAACCCCCCGCGTAATATTGATGATCATTGCGTTAGGCAGCGGCATCGTCCAGCTCGAGCCCTCCTCTCTCAGGCGACACCAGCACTTCCGGAAACTCGTGTTACGAATCCTAAAAATCACAAAGGACGAAACATACAAGGGTTTCGACAAACCAAAGGAAGGGGAGCTGATGAGGAGACATCACCGCCTTGGCCAACACAAGATTTGGAGCTTTGACGTTGATTCACCACCCGAGTCGGTGCGACACCCCGAGGCGCTCAAGTTCCTTTATCAATCGTCTTAAGCCGCGGGGGTTCAACCAGGCCTTTTTACGAGCATGCAGGTCGATCAAAACGTCCTCCGTATCTCCAAACCGTCGCCTTCAACATGACGAAGACGTCGAATGTCGCATCGGCAGCACGAACGTCGATGCACACACAACATCCCCTTCTCTCCGGACTATGATTGCATGTTGGTCAGGGTGTACGTTCTCCTTCCCAAACAGGCAGTCGTTTTGGACAGAACGAATAACCGTATACGCACTTGCCCAGGAGCCTCTACGGCTTCCATAGATTTGGAAAACGATTGCAGGGCTCGGTCAGAGGTTAGGATGTGGTATGAGGGCGGCAGTCTCGAAGCGGAAGATGAATGAACAGAGACAGCTCTGCAGTGACTTTGGGCTATCCTTGTGGTCCTGGAGCGCGTTACCTTGTCGTCGGCTCATCAGCCTTTGACTGCATCAACATGACCGTCCTAATGTTCAAGTAGATATACTTACACGTAAAGACGTTTTCCACCACTCTCAAGTTTGCACATTCGATATTTCGCAATCAACAGGACAGCAATCAGATCGACCTGACCAACCCATGCAAGTAGGAGAACTTGAACAAGTTCACCGAGGCATCTTTTACGACTCCTTCCTTCAAGACCGGTGGTTGAGCTAATTGCATCCACATCGCCAATCCATATCTCAATCCAAAAATATTTATGAACACCACGATGTTTGGTCCATCTCCGCGTCAGCGATGCTGCAGGCTGCATGTCGTTTTGGACAACGTAGTATGGGCCTAAAGATGACAGCTGCTTTCTTGCCCATTGAGTCTTTGAATCATAGGAGCTCTAGACGCCAGTCCCCACAATCAATCTATCGAAGCATCGTCCATATCCTATCCTGCCAGATCCTGCCGAATTTCAATCCCTGCCCCCTTTTCGGGAGTAGAATACATCTACCTTGCAAGCTGGAGAAACTAGCTCAACTACAACGAATCTACATAACACTCCCAACAACCAATCCATCGAAAGCATCGTGCAGATCCCAACTAGCCTATCCAGTCTAGCTCAATCCCTACTCCGTTTTGGGGACTTTGGCGGCCGGCCCAATACAACTACCACCCTACAAGATGGGGAAACTAGTTCAATCACGACGAAACTGCCCAGGCATATCACCTTACGAATGGACCGAATGGGGCGCAGATTAATCCTCGACAACAAAGCTCCCGTCCATCTGGATCGCAATCGTGATCTCGGCCCAAGCAGTTCGCGGAGTCAGGCACAACCAAGCGTTGCGCAAGCTTGCTTGCCGTTGACCGAAATGGCCCCTCCATGGCAGCGTTCAAATCACCCGCGTTAAGAAGGGCGTTCTCCGAGGAACGAACGAAGTTAGGGTCCACATTGGATGGTGCTGCAATGACGGTACCAGCAATGGCGAGGAGGAAAGCAAAAGAGACGGGTCCTTGCATTATTTGGCTACCTTGATATGCTGGTGAACGGCTTAGGGACGGGGTTAGTGATCAAGGTGAGGTTGGCTTTTATATAGCCAAGGCGCTTCGAAACGCAATGGACGTAACTGACTTGCCAATTACCTTAAGACGTGTGGTTGCTCCACAGTTCTTGATTCTCCAAGTTGACGAGGAAGGCAACTTGACTTGTATACAAGCAGTGGATAACCTTGTGGCCATTGACTCTTCCTGATTCTACCGAGCCCTCAATCCATCAGTAATAGCTTGCTGAAAGTTGGGTGAACGAACCAAACTGGTTCTCTGCATCGAAATCGCGGAAGTTCGCTCACTAGCCGCTTTCTAGTTGGGGTCTGTTTATCGACTCAAATGTGCCCATCCCATTTCTCAAGTACGTTAAGCGCAGGAGTACAATGGATTATCGAAACCCTGTTCCGACCCTTGGTTCATCGCGACCCACAAAATTTTCCGTTGACCTCTACGGCAGTCCAGCGCTGGCTCAACTTTAACTCTAATGCCCAACGAGAACACATGTGCCTGGCTTGTGCCTCAAAAAAACGAAAAAGAAGAAGAATCAGTAAGGCGAAACCAACGAGTAACGAGAGGACGCCATACACTTCCAACCACGGGGATCCCAAAACAAAAGCCCTTACAACATTCTGTAATCCTGGGGTTGCACGGGCTGCCTAGAGCAACACAGTTGAGAGAATCAGGATTCAGTTTCATGGCGATTGACCGAAACGGCTCCTTTCAGAAGCGTCAAACCATCAGCGCCGTTTGGGGTCGAGGACGCGGCAATATTAGGGACGGGTTGGGGGTCTGCAACGGATGGTACTGCAATCGCGATCGTCCCGACTACGAGGACGAGAGCCACTGAAGACACAAGCTCACGCATTCGTATTGAGTTTCTTATGTGTGTGCAGGATGCGGGGATGAAGTTGGGGCGAGGAAGAGCTTGGGAATCACTATACAGCCTCAAGTACGGCGCTTTAAGCGGCCTGCATTCAATAGACTCGCTTCGCGGAACGCATTGCATAGTTCCTTCACAGTGCTTGATGAGGAAATCGACCTTAGGTTTTCATGTTAAGCCCGAGAACTGCGTGATCTTCGTATCAGCCTGATGGATGACGGGGAATTCGGTGACGATAAGTAATGAAGGAATGAAACTGACCATTTTCGAATACATAAGGTCTGGAATCTGAAGCTCTGAAGCCTGAGGCCTGAGGAATAAGAAAAGTTGACAAGACCGATCACCTGAGCGCTGAGCACCTTGATTTACAAAAGCGGAAACTTCCCTAAATTTCAACCTTTTCAACTCTTTTGCACGTCAATCGTAAATGAGCCTCTCGTCGCTCCTTCTGGCGAAAACGAAAGCTGTAGACACGGAACTCGATGCATTGTTCAAAGCCTCGTCGATTCCAGCGGTCACATCAAAATCCGTGAGCTTACAATTGTTCAAAATTTAGGATAACTGAAGATTCGTAGACGCAGAGTACCGTCGACGTAAAAAAAAGGAAAATTCACTCTGAGGAAGATGTACAGGGCGAAGGAGCTCCCGCACTGCCGCGAAAAAAGGCGAAGTCGGTTGAAGTGAAGAGCGTCAAATTCGCTAGTACTACGAAAACGGAAATGAAGGAGACTAAGGCTTTGGCGAAGGAAGCGAAAGAGAAGGTGAAGGCTACGAAGGTAAAAGGGAAGGGCAAAGGCAAGGCAAAAGAGGTCAACGAGGACGAGGATGAGGACGACGAGGAAGATAATAATTCGGATCTGGAAAACGCGTATCTGAAGAGCAAAACGGTGAAAACCCAACTGGCCGCTGCTGAGAAGGAAGACAGCGATGAGGAAGAAGGCGAGCCCACGCAGATCGTGCATGAATCCATACAGCCCAAGCCCAAGCCAGCAAAAAAGCAAAAATTTGTACCGGCGGACGAAACGCCCGAGCAACGAGACAGGCGTACAATATTTATTGGCAACTTGCCGTCCGAAGTTGCGCACAAACGAGTGTGTATATTTCCGCCCACTATGTATATAAGCTAACATTGACGGTTATCCTAGCCTCTTAGGAAACAGCTAGAACACCACATCACCGCCCTCGTTCCCACCTCCAAAATTGAGTCGGTCCGCTTCCGCTCTGTAGCTTTTCAAGCCCCCACGGCGAAACTACCTACCGACGCAGATGGCCCCTCTTCTTCCACCACAGGCACCAAAACCAAAACACCACGCCCGCATGTCCAAGACCGCACTGCGACCTGGCGCTCCAAGGTCGACGAAAAAGACGACGAGTTCGTCAAGCAGGATGACAAGAAGTTCCTTACCCCGAGCCAGAAGAAGAGAATCGCGTTCATAAACCAGGAGTTCCATTCGTCTGCGGATAGCGTGAACGCGTACGTGGTTTTTGCGCACCCTGTTGAGGTGAAAGACCGGCCAGCGAATTTGCCCCCACCCAAGGAGGTGATGGACCCTTATGAAGCTGCGAAGGCGGCTGTGGAGAAGTGTGACGGAACCATATTCATGGAGAGGATGATTCGTGTGGATGTTGTTGGAAGAGAGGCGGTTGAGACGAGAAAAGAGGGGAAGGACGGTGTGGGGGACCCGAAGCTTGCTGTGTTTGTTGGGAATTTAGATTTTGCGAGCAAGGAGGAGGATCTGAGGGTATTCTTTGAGGGCGTGGTTAGTGCTGAGCGGGGACCACCGCCCTTAAAAGAGGATGAGGATGAGGAGGGAATGAAGAAGCCAAATACTTGGGTTACAAGGGTGAGGATTGTGAGGGACAAGGAAACGCAGCTTGGGAAGGGCTTTGCGTATATCCAATTTGCTGTGGGCTTTCCATATAATTTGATTTCCAAAGGCTAATGGGAAGGAAATACAGGACAGGGAGTGCGTAGACGAAGTACTAGCTCTCGAGGAACAAAAGCTCAAATTCGCCAAACGTAAACTCCGTGTACAGAGATGTAAAAGCCTGCCCGGGGCCAAGGTAGCCGTCGACGCCAAAACGCACCCCAAAGCAGCAGCAAATGCACCACGTTCGGCCCCAGTACCCATCGTCATACCCAAGGGCGACCCAGCTTTAGGCGAGCGGCTCGCCCATCTCTCAAAAGATGCCAGGAAACAGGCGAAGTCTAGCGATGCAGATCGCGTGGCGAGGAGGCTGGCGAAGAAAAAAGCCAGGATGGCTATAGGTCCGCCTGGTGGTTCAGGAGTGAAGGGGAAGGATAGGGAGAGGGTTAGGAAATCCGCTGGTGGTTCTGGTTCATCCAAGACGAAGAATCTTGGGAGAAAGGATGGAAAAGGACGGGTAAGGAGCGAGAAGAGCCTGTTGAAGAGGAACTTGAAAAAGTAGGTAGAACGGAGTACATACATAGAATTCCCCAAAATGGAAATTTGCACTCTGTAAGCAACCACTTCAAATGCCATGGCTTCCCTTTCTTCCGACCTGCAGGCAAAACCCAACATGAGCCGATACGACGACGGGGAGGACGTCGAGCAGCAGCAACGCCTTATTGAGGGAGATGATTCTGAGTGCGATGGGAGGACACCAGTACGTTTTTCGTTTACGGCGCCACACGACACTTGGCTAATGGATTGGTGTAGTTGGATAAGACTATTGACCGTATTGGTATGGGGAGCTACCAGTGGGCTTTACTATCGCTTTGCGGTTTCGGTGAGTTCTTTGTTGCAATTGTGTGTCTTGCTGAAGCAAGACATTTCTTGGTTAGGCTGGATGGCGGACAATGTGTGTTTTGTTCGCCTTTTCTAATTTTAATGCATGACTATCTTGTTCAGATGTGGCTTCAAGCCATCGCCATGATCCTTCCTCGCGTTCAGAGGCATTATTTGGGTGAGTCGGTTGCACTTCCGCGGAAAGGAACTTGACATACCATCCCGCTCAGTTCCCGATAGCTACATAGGTAGCGTCTCGTCCTCCATGTTTGCCGGGATGATGATTGGCGCGGTTGGCTGGGGTACATGTGCGTGACTCCAATCTTTCCTCTCCCCCACCAAGGCTAAGTTTTCTTCAAGGTTCGGATATAATGGGGCGCAGTACAGCGTTTAATGCTACGCTCTTCTTTACCGCCATTTTTGGCTTTCTCGCCTCCTTGTCCAACTCCTTTGGCACGTTATGCGTAGCCTTGTTTTTCCTCGGGAGTTCAGTTGGCGTGAGTACCCTCATTCCCCCACTTCTCAGTCCGCTGACGTTTGCTCAGGGATCAATGCCCACAGACGGCACCCTCCTCCTGGAACAATTGCCCAGAGAGAAACAATATCTCGTCACAGCGCTCTCAGTCTTCTTCTCCGTCGGCTCCGTAGTGTCTGCCGTCGTAGCTCTCCTCGTGCTGCCCAACAATTCGTGCCCGCTTGCGTCTTCGGCGGAATTACTATTTCCGTCCACCTTGGCGCCACCACCTTGCGACGTGGAAACTCAAAATCTAGGTTGGAAATACGTGCTCATCACCCACGCACTCTTAGTACGTATTACCCATATGCATCTTGTCAACCCCCACGCACAGAGGTCTAGCCCGATCCCGATCCCGTCCATGGCCCGTCCCACCTTCCCCATTTTTACAATCTAACTCTCCCACAGACACTATCAATGTTCCTTGCACGTATCGTCTTTTTCCGACTACACGAGTCCCCGCGATACCTCGTACACGCAGGACGCCCACATGATGCTATCAAGTCTCTACAAATGATATCTAAATTCAACGGCTCGAATTTGAGTATCGAGTTGGAGGACGTGAGGGATCACCTCAACAATCCATGCGACTCGGTGGACCCGCAAGGACCCGTTGATGATATTCAGGCAAGTGAAGATGGGAGATCTGGTGGAGTGGCTACTATGAATGCGGATGGGACGAGGATTACGCTGGTGACGGGGTATGATTCTACGGGGGAAACGCCCGTGCTGGATCCAGATCGTGCTTTGTTTTCGCCTTTGGTGTTGGAGAACCCTGACTTGCTGGGAACCAAGGAGTCTACTCTACAGCCTCCCAAATTCAATGACCCTTCATCGTCGTCGTCGTCATTGGAACGGCCCCGGATAGTCAACCCTCCACCAATATCCAGAACCCACTCCCGCCGGCTATCCGATGCTTCACTATCCTCGAGAAAATTCCACATATTGCCCCCCTTGTTGCGCCGGCCCCTTCGCTCATGGTGGGACCGCGTCCAGCTCGTCCTCTCCCCCGAGTGGCTGAGGACGTCAGTTTTGATGTGGAGTACGTGGTGTGCAATGGCCCTTGGTACGTTTCTTTGTTGAGCAAGGAAAGGAGGAGGCTGATGTGATGTCTAGCATACACAATGTTCAACGTCTACCTCCCAAAACTCCTCGAAACGGGGTCTGGGTCTGGATCCAGTCACAACGTGCAGTCCGTCCCACCAACAAAGACGCTCGAACAGAGTTTATGGGACGTTGTTATTTTCGCTATTGGGGGGTGTCCAGGTGCCATTGTTCGTCTTCCACTCTTCTTTTTTTCATTTCACTTCTTACACCGCGCTGATAATCTTTCAAATAAATAAAGCTCGGAGCGTGGCTCATCGAAACGAGGTTAGGCCGGAGGTGGTCCCTTGCTGGAAGCACCTTCATCACTGCGTTCTTCTGCGTGGTGTTCGTGCTTGTGGAGTCGACATGGGCGGTTAGGGCTAGTACGGTTGGGATCAGCCTGAGTGTTACAGTGGGTTTTCGATTGTTTCTTGTGTATTGAAGACTGATGTATGTGTGCGTAGACGATGTGGGCTGTGTTGTATGGCTGGACTCCGGAGATTTTTGGTACGAAAGGTAGGCTTTTTCTGTTTCTTGGTAGGGTCCGTTCAATCTTCTTTTTCGTCAGTGCGGGGAACAGCATGCGGGATCGCTTCGGCTCTTTCGAGGATGTACGTCTTCCCTTCCCTCTTCGTCTCCTCGTCCTGTCACTTATAAAAACACCAATAGAGGAGGAATGATCGCACCTATGCTTGGTGGAATGCTTTTGATGATGGACAGGTCTCTACCGGTGTACGCCAGCACCGTGGTTTTCGTCTTCGCGGGGTTTTGCGTGTTAATGCTCAAAGAAGACGAAGGGGAAGGAGGAAGGTCCAAGGGGGACCGAGTGGTTATGCATTAACTGTACAGGGTACTCTAACATATCCACTCCTTAATTGCGCATTTACCGTTTGGACAATTGTATATAGTGTAGTTTTCCCTTATTGTTTATGTAGATCCTATAAGACCACCGCATCCGCCTCAATTTCAACCCTCATCTCCTCACTGACGAATCTGACACCCAGAATCATCGTCGCAGCCAGCCCAACATCCCCAAAAACTTCCTTCAACGCCTTGCCGACTTCGCCAGAGACGGAGGTGGTACCGGAGATGAAGATGAATGAGCCCCGTCGGATGCCTCTGGAATACCCGAACTGAGCTTCGTAGGGGTTTGACGTTTTGTGTCGTTGGATTTGGGTTGACATTGTTGGCTCTTGTTTTTTTCTGAATCACACAACTCAGACAGAACGATGGACGACGATAACCTCGTTGTCGGCCCTTTCAATAAGGAAACGCGACCTGCCTTTACATTGTTACTCGCTGATACTGAGCGAGAGATCGCGCGACTCCAGCAAGCAGTGTTGTCATGACCCGGGTCTGACGAGGTCAGACCCTGACCCGGCGTCAAGTGACCTGACTTTGATTGACGGGGTCATGATCGGTCAAGGGTTCTGTGAGAACTTGTGTATCCAGAACGTTCAAACATGAGTGTAAAAAAAACAAAAAAAAACAAGAAAACAACAAAAAAAAACATGGGCATGAGCCTCAATAGTCTTTCCAAAAAAGGTCTGACCCCCCATCATGACCCTTGATTTCGTCAAGTCAGTTGACGTGACCCCGGTGACGTGACGTCTCTGACCTCGAGTCAGGCTGACCTGTACAATACCAGCAAGTGGCTATTCAAGCCAGAACCGTTATCAACAGGTGCTCCCCCATTTCAATTCTGCCACCCGAGATACTTGTAGAAATCTTCATGCTCTGCTGCCAGCCCAACTACAACGCCATCGGAGGAGTGGATAGCCAGGGGATATGCCCTTTGCGCCTCTCTGCCGTCCGCAGGGCGTGGCGCAACCTTGCGTGGACCACAAGCTGCTTGTGGTCTGTTATCATCCTGATTCAGCCAAACTCTCAACAATCCTCGGATCTTGAGGAAATTTTGGTTTCATGGATTGAACGAGCAGGAAATCAATCCCTTTCCATCTGTTATGAAGCACCAATCAATGCCTGCTACGCCTTCTCGCTCAAAAAAAAATCAAATTGGATGAATGTTTGAATCTCTGTCCTGGGTTTGGAAGAGTTACAGGGTGTGATCAAAAATCACGAATATTTTCCACTTCTACAGCATCTCTCTATTTGTGTTCTAGCCAGCAGTTCTGGACCTAGCTTTCTAAGAGATCTCCTGTGTGGTCTTGAAAATCTTGACATCTTCAACGCTGCAAGTCTGCCCAAAATAACCCATCTACATGTACTGAAATACCTACAGTGCTTCAACTCCAGCTCGATGTGGTTGCAGCTCAGAACGTTCTCTGTTAGCACCATTGGCAATGAGGGCCTGTGCAAAATTTTAGGTTTGGCTAGGTCCCTTCAAGTTTTCGATGCAGACAGCCTTGAGCCACACTCCAATTATGAACCACCAACTGTCATTCACTCCAACCTCCAACACCTTGTCTTGAAGGAGGTAGATTCAATTGTTTTGAATGATCTCCTTGGCAAGCCATACATCAGCACTCCTCACCTTGAAGATCTCACAATTGAGATATACTATGGCTCCCCAGACTCCACCTCCCTATACAACTTCATCACCTCTTTCCATCAACTCCAGTGGTTTAGAGTGAAATATGGTGGTCAAAAGGATCCAGATTGGATTTAAATTGGCTTTTGAATATTCCATCCCTTACAAAACTAGATGTTGAAACATCTGCAAGCACAATCATAAACATTGTTTCTGCTCTGGGCAAGCCTGCTTCTACAAGAGCAGAACCAGAATATCTCCCTTTGCTTATTGATCTTACAATTACTCTTGGGTACTATGACCAAGGCAATCTCATGATGAAGAATATTATAGAGATGCTGGCATACAGATCCTCTGGGCTTTCTCCCTCCATCTCGAGGCTAAAAAATGCTTTGGTATCTGAGCCTGATATGCTTTTTACTAAAGAGGACTTTGAAACCTTGCAAGCCACATCTCTTGGTGACCTGGCATTGACAATGGTAGACAAGAAAGGTTTGTCTCAATCTTGGTACCTTTATTCTTCTCACCAATTTACTTTATTGGCAGGAACCTACATCTGGAAAGATGGGAATTGGAGATTGTGAAATTTTTTTGGTTGTGAGGCATTTTGCATGTCCTGGGAAATGAAATACAATTTAAAGCTACCTTAATCAATGATTGAGAAATTACACTGCATTCTCTGATGTTACTTAGGGATTGTGCAAAAAAAATTGGAGGAGAAATGATTTCTGGTTGTGAAAATTGGATGGAGATTGCATAAGTATCAGAGGAAGCAAGTGGATGGATAAGGGAAGGTCCATCTTGAGACTTCGTAGCATATCATCTCAAAAAATCAATTTCACCTTAAGTACTTGAGGAGAAGTGTCTAAAATTATGTGAGGGCCTCAAGTGGAAACCATATGTCTGATGACTCATGAGGGAGGAATGTGATATAATTTCAGTGTAATGCAGCAACTTCAAAGTTCAGAGTAAACCTATTCCAGCAATTGAATCCCTCCAGCTCCTCACTACTCCCCAAATCAAGTGCCAGAATGGAACTAAGATGATGAAAGCTCTACAAAACTTGCTCCACTGTTCCATTCTTTACAACTTCTTAAGGCTAATCTATAGTGCACTCCTCAATGTGTAGTTCTGCAATGAGTGAGGGTTGATCCCTCAAGCCCAGACTTGTTTGTGTTCCCTGTTGTAGGTCTTCACAATGGTGGACCAAAATATGGCTTTGGAAGGCAAGTAACTGTTTCAAATGGGCCACCCATGAAAGTGATGCTGCACACAATGTCCTTTGCAAGAATAACATGAATAAGGATGTAAGTTACCAGTGGCTAGGCTCCAAACTACATTCCTCTTACACTCCAACTCATCACACTACTTCTCACTCACTGAAAGTGGGTTTGATTCTTTTCTGAGTACTACAGTTCATATCTGATATCCTTTTCTCTCTCTGACTCCCAAGTAGATTTTATCTTTCCAGCACCTCAATTGACAGTTCAATCATGCTTTGCTCAGATCTGGTAAGTTCCTGCCAATTAGATTGGTGAGAACTTAGAAGAATAAGGTGTACAGATATTGAGACAAACCTTTATTATCTACCATTGTTAACATGAGGTCACCAAGAGATGCCATTTGGAAGTATTCAAAGTCCTTTTTAGAAAAAGATAAACAAGTCCAGTATATTGAAGCACGTTTAAGCTTTGAGATGGAGGGAGAAAGTCCAGATGATCTGTATGCCAGCATCTCTGAAATATCCTTCATGAGATTACTCTCATAAGAGGGCCCAAGGGTGATCATGAGATTGACAAGCAAAGGGAGATATTCAGTTTTTGTTCCCAGAGATATGGGATTGCCCAGAGCAGAAGCAATGTTTGAAACTGCACTTGTTGATGTTTCAACATTTAGTTCTGTGAGGGATAGAATATTCAGAAGCCAATTGAAGACCCATTCTGGATTATAATTATTATTCTTCACATATTTCACTTTGAAGCGCCAGAGTTGATGCAAAGAGGTGATGAAGCTTGACATAAAAATGAAGCTTGGATAGTTAAGATGCCAGCCATAATTTATTTCGATTGTGAGATCTTTGAGGATGGGAGTGCTGATACCTGGTCTGCTTAGGAGTTCATTCAGAGTGTCTGATTGTACCTCCTTCAAGACCAGACATCAGAGGTAGGAGTGATGGACAGTCTGCAGAATAATACCATCGGTATCTGGCATGAAACTGTTTGCATTGAAAACTTCGAGAAATTCAGCAAGACGTAAAATATCACGCAGGTGCTTGTGGCCAACAGTCATTGTGGAGAATGTTCTGAGCTGCGACCACATCAGGTTCACTTCAAAGCAGTGTAGGTATCTTGGTACATGCAGCCGAGATATGTTGGGCAAACTGGAACAGTTGAAGATGTCAAAATCCTCAAGACCATCTGGGTTGGAACCAATCCCGGCTTGACCGCAAAGGAAGAGATGTTCTAGGAGTGGAAAATATTTGCATTTTTTGATCACAGACAAGGATTCTGAAGGGAGTAAGATTGAAACATTTATCCATTTTGGAGTTTCTTGGATGAGACGGGCTAGCAGGCCATTGTTTTGTCCTTCGTAATGGATGGAAAGGGGTTTATTTCCTGCTCGCTCAATCCATGAAGCTAGAATTCCTTCAAGATGCAAAGCATGAGGGTTTGGATTGACCAAGGTGATAACAGACCACAAGCGGCTCATAGTCCACGCGAGGTCGCGCCATGCTTTGCAGACAGCAGCAAGGCGCAAATGGCATATCTCCTGACTATCCACTCCTCCGATGGTGTTGTATTTGGGTTGGCAGCAGAGCACAAAGATTTCTGTAAGCATCTTGGGTGGCAGGGATGATATGGGCATCTCTTGCTCCATATCAGTGAGTGGAGCAGATTTGGTCTTGGTCACAGTCTTCTGTCCTGAATGTGTTGATGCTAATGTTCATGTTGACAATTCTAGGGCAGGTCGAGTTTCCTTAATGAAAGGGTCAACGAGGCTATTGTCGACCACGTTCTGTCCAAGTGTTGTCATGTGCAGTTGAGAAAAAGGCAATGCCCTTGTCAAGGAATGAGTTGTGTGAGGGGTAAATATAGTTCAGTGTTAGCCGTGATAACCTCCTCTCCAACCTTTTCTTACATTCCGGTTGAACAATCCCCGACAGCAATGTCAATTCTTCATGTTCATTGCAAGCAGCGACATCCTTGGCTTTGAAATTTGAACCGTTAGCGAGTTTCTCCAGCATGGAGTCACAATGGTTTTAGTGCTGTGGTTCATGCGTGAGTTCGACGTTGCAGGCCAACTACCCCGATGGTAATCAACCAAAACGGGGGCAACCTGTACCACCCCATCACGATGCCCACCGACCTGCAGACCTTCCGCATCAACGTTGTTTACCACCATTTTTGGCTTTCTTGCCTCCTTGTCCAACTCCTTTGGCAGCCTTGTTTTTCCTCGGGAGTTCAGTCGGTGTGAGTACCCTCAATCTCTCAGTTCTCAATCTGCTGACGCTTGCCCAGGGATTAATGCCAACAGACGGCACCCTCCTCCTTGAACAATTGCCAAGAGAGAAGCAAGATCTTGTCACCACACTCTCAGTCTTCTTCTCCATAGGCTCCATATTGTTCGCTGTCATAGCTCTCTTCGTGCTGCCCAACAATTCGTGCCCGCTTGCGTCTTCAGTGGAATTCCTATTTCCGTCCACCTTGGCACCACCCTGCGACATGGAAACTCAAAATCTAGGTTGGAAATATGTGCTCATCACCCATGCACTCTTAGTGTGTATTACCACATGCATCTTGTGAGCCCCACGCACAGAGGTCTACCCCGATCCTGTCCATGGCCCATCCCACCTTCCCCACTTTTTCTTCCACAAACACTATCAATTGTTCCTTGGATGTATCATCTTTTTCCAGCTACACCAGTCCCCGAGAACGCAGGACACCCACATGATGCTATCAAGTCCTTCAAATGATACCTAAATTCAATGGCTTGAATTTGAGTATCGAGTTGGAGGACATCAGGGATCACCTCCACAATCCTTGCAATTCAAGGGAGCTGCAAGGATCCGCTGATGATATCCAGACAAGTGCGAGATCTGGTGGAATGGCTCCTATCAACGTGAATGGGACGGGGATTACGCTGGTGACAGGGTGTGATTCTATGGGGGAAACATGCATACTGGATCCAGATCCCTGCCTTGAGTGCTGGAGAACCCTGACTTGAAGGAATCTACTCTACAGCCTCCCAAATTCAATGATCCTTCATTGTGTTCATCGTCATTGGAACACCCCTGGATAGCTAACCCTCCACCAATATCTAGAACCCATCCCACCCACTGTCTATCTGATTCTTCACCATCCTCGAAAATAACATTATTGTGCTGGCTCCTTCATTCATGGCGGGATTGTGTTCCGCTTGTTCTTTCCCCCAAGTGTCTGAGGACGACAGTTTTGATGTGGAGTACGTGGTGTGCCATGGCCCTCGGTATGTTTCTTCCCTCTTTCTTTCTTGTGTTCAGTAAGGAAGGAAGGAGGCTAATGTCATGTCTAGCATACACAATGTTCAACATCTACCTCCCCAAAATCCTTGAAACGGGGTCTGGGTCTGGATCCACAGCAGGATTATCGACCGCCCCACCAACAAAGACGCTCGAACAAAGCTTATGGGACGTTGTTATTTTCACTATTGAGGGGTGTCCAGGTGCCATTGTTCGTCTTCCTTGAGTTCACCTCCTACACGGCCCTGATACTTCTTAAACAAATAAAGCTCGCAGCGTGGCTCGTTGAAATGTGATTAGGCTGGAGGTGGTCCCTTGCTGGAAGCACCTTCATCACCATGTTCTTCTGCGTGGTGTTCGTGCTTGTGGAGTGGATGTGGGTGGTCAGGGCTAGTACGGTTGGGATTAGCCTGAGTGTTATGATGGGTTTTAGATTCTTTCTTGTGGTGACTATAGAAGATTGATGCATGCATGTGCAGATGATGTGGGCTGTGCTGTATGGCTGGACTCCAGAGATTTTCGGTACGAAAGGTGGGCTTTTGCCTTTTCTCTAGCAGAGGACTTGTTCAATCTTCTTTTCATCAGTGTGGGGAATGGCATGCGGAATCACTTCGGCGCTCTCGAGGATGTACATCTTCCCTTCCCTAGTCTCCTCATCCTGTCACTTATAAAACACTAATAGAGGAGGGATGATCACACCCATGTTTGGTGGGATGCTTTTAATGATAGACAGGTCTCTACCAGTGTATGCCAGCACCATGGTTTTTGTGTTTGCAGGGTTTTGCGTGTTCGTGGGGTTTTGCATGTTGATGCTAAAAAAAAGATGAAGGGGAAGGAGGAAGGTCCAAGGGGGACCAAGTGGTTATGCATTAACTGTACAGGGTACTCTAACATATCACGACACTGTGCACAATGTGCTTTGCAACAGACAACATGAGTAAGGATGTAATTCCATGTTCCTGCAACCTGTTACACTCCAAATCGTAACACTACTTCTCATGCACAAGTCAATTCTTTTCTGAGCACTATGTTAACAAAAATGCCAAGGCAGTTTGTATCTGATATCCTTTCCCCCCCTCTGACACTGTAACTCAACTGATAAAACCATCATGCTTCAGAAATCCAGTACACTCCTGCCAATTATATTGGTGAGAAGATAAAGGTATACCAAGATTGAGACAAACCTTTCCAGTCTACCACTGTAAACACCAGGTCACCAAGAGATGCCATTCAGAAAGCTTCAAAGTCCTTTTTAGAAAAAGATCCAGATTTCAGATATATCACAGCACGTTTGAGCCTTGAGATAGAGGGAGAACTTGAAAGTCCAGAGGATCTGTATGCCAGCATCTCTACAATATCCTTCATCATAAGATTGGCTTCCCCATAGTACCCAAGAGTAATCCTAAGATCAACAAGCAAAGGAAGATATTCGGTTTTTGTTTCTGTAGATGTGGGATTGTCCAGAGCAGAAACATTGTTTGTGATTGCACTTGTGGATGTTTCAACATTCAGCGCTGTAAGGGACAGAATATTCAGAAGCCAATGAAAAACCCATTCTGGATCATCATCATCATCATATTTCACTTTAAACCATCAGAGTTGATGCAAGGAGGTGATAAATTTTGATAGAAGAGTGGAGTCTGGGTAGCCACGTTTTATTTCGATTGTGAGATCTTCGAGGTTGGGAGTGCTGATACCTGGTGTGCTTAGGAGTTTATTCAAGACATGTGAACTTACCTCCTTCATGACCAGACATCGGAGGTAGGGGTGATGGACAGTCTGCAGAATATTACCATCGGTATGTGGCTCTAGACTGTTCGCATTAAAAACTTCGAGGAATCCAGCAAGACGTAAAATATTGCACAGCTGCTCATGGCTAATGGTGCTTGCAGAGAATGTTCTGAGCTGCGGCCACATCCAGTTGAATTTGAAGCACCGTAGGTATTTCAGTACATGCAGACAAGTTATCTTGGGCAGACTTGAACAGTTGAAAATGTCAAGATCCTCAAGACAATCCAGGTTAGAACCAGGACCACCTCAAACCCGAATGGAGAGATGTTCTAGGATGGGAAAATATTTGTATTTTTTGATCATGGACAAGGATTCCGAAGGGAGGAAGATTGAAACATTCATCCATTTTGAAGTTTCTTGGGTGAGACAGGCTAGCAGGCCCGGGTCGCTTTGTAATTCATACCGGATGGAAAGGGGTTGATTTCCTGCTTGTTCAATCCATGAAGCTAGAATTCCCTCAAGATGCAAAGCACAAGGGTTTGACTTGGTCAAGATGATAACGGACCACAAGCGGCTTGTAGTCCATGCATGCTTTGCAGACAGCAGAGAGGCGCAAAGGGCATATCGCCTGACTATCCACTCCTCCGATGGTGTTATAGTTGGGTTGGCAGCAGAGCACGAAGATTTCTAAAAGTGTCTCAGGTGGCAGAATTGAACTGGGGGAGCACTTGTTGATAGAGGTTCTGGCTTGAATAGCTACTTGCTGGAGTTGTGCAATCTCTTGCTCAGTATCAGCAAGCAACAATGCAAAGGCAGGTCGCATATCCTTATTGAAAGGGCCTACGACGAGGTTATCATCCATCATTCTGTCTGAGTTGTGTGATTGAGATGATTGTTGTGACGGGAAGCAACAACGGTTTGGTAGCGGCACAATGGTGTAGTGGTAGTGAACATTCAAAGACAGGTTAAGACACTCGGTTTTCTAATTTAAGTACCTAAAGGGATAGGGGGTTTATCTAATAGGAGAGAGAACTAAATAAGGAAGCAGTGAAAGGTAGGGAGCAGGAAGGAGCAGATAGCCGGTCATTGGAAACAGCAAGGAGTGGAAAGGCCCAAGGGGTATGGTACGCGGAGATGTTGATGAAAGGTGGAACATGTGATGAGTCTGTTACAAAGAGCCAACAATGTCAACCCAAATCCAACGACACAAAACCTGCAACCCCTATGAATCTCAATTCAGGTATCCAGAGGCGTCTGACGGGGCCCATTCATCTTCATCTCCAGTACCACCTCCATCTCCATCTGCACTGAGTCCACCTCCACACCCACGATCCTCCACCTATCATCAGCGTTCCACCAAGCCCTATGAGCCTTTTCCAAAATCATACACGCCGAGAAGCCCTTGGCGGGATGAAGGAGGACGTAGTTTGTGTCCAGATGTTCGTTACACGTGATGAGGATTCTGGCAAAGTCGGGAGGACATTGAAGGAGGTATTTGGGGATGTTGGGCCAGCTGCGACGATGATTCTGGGTGTTAGATTCGTCAGTGAGGAGATGAGGGCCTGTTGAAATTGAGGCGGATGCGGTGGTCTTATAGGATCTATACTAGGGAAGATTACACTATGTACAATTGTCCAAAGGGTGAATGCGCAATTAAGGAGTGGATATGTTGGAGTACTTACCCTGTACAGTTGATGCATAACCACTTGGTCCCCCTTGGACCTTCCTCCTTCCCCTTCATCTTCTTTTAGCATTAACACACAAAACCCCGTGAACACGAAAACCAAGGTGCTGGTGTACACTGGTAGAGACCCGTCTATCATCAAAAGGATCCCACCAAGCATAGTTGTTTTATAAGTGGAAAGATGGGGAGAAGAGGGGAGGGAAGACATACATCCTCAAAAGAGCCGAAGCGATCCTGCATGTTGTTCCCCACACTGACGAAAAAGAAGACTGAATGAATCCTACATGAAAGAAAAGGCAAAAGCCTACTTTCGCACCGAAAATCTCTGGAGTCCAGCCATACAATACAGCCCACATCGTCTGCACATGCATGCATCAATCCTCAACAGTCACAACAAGAAAGAAGGGAAAACCCACGGTAACGCTCAAGCTAATCCCGACCGTACTAGCCCCAATCGCCTATGTTGACTCCATGAGCACAAACACCATGCAGAAGAACACAGTGATGAAGGTGCTTTGAGCAAGGGACCACCTCTGGCCTAACCTCATTTCAATGAGCCACACTCTGAGCTTTATTTATTTGAAAAGTATCAGTGCCATGTGCCAAGAAAGAAGAGAGGCAGACGAACAAACCTGGACACCCACAATAGTGAAAATAACAACATCCCATAAACTCTGTTCAAGTGTTTTTGTTGGTGGGATGGATGATGATTTTGCTGTGGATCCAGACCCACCCCATTTCGAGGAGTTTTGGGAGGTAGACGTTGAACATTGTGTATGCTAGACACCACCTCAGCCTCCTTCTTTCCTTGCTCAACACATGAAAGAAACGTACCAAGGGCCATTGCACACCACGTACTCCACATCAAAACCGACGTCCTCAGCCACTTGGGGGAGAGGACAAGCAGAATGCAGTCCCACCACGAGTGAAGGGGCTGGCACAACAAGGGGGGGCAATATGTGGAATTTTCTCGAAGATAGTGAAGAATCGGATAGCCGACGGGCTGGGGGTGGGTTCTAGATATTAGTGGAGGGTTGACTATCCGGGGACGACGATGATGAAAGATCATTGAATTTGGGAGGCTGTAGAGTAGACTCCTTCATTCCCAGCAAGTCAGGGTTCTCCAACGCTAAAGCACGATCTGGATCCAGTACAGGTGTTTCCCCTGTAGAATGAATTACCCCGTCACCAGCGTAATCCTCGTCCCATCCGCGTTGATAGCAGCCACTGCACCAGATCTCCCATCTCCACTCCATCAATGGCTCCTTGCAGCTCCACCGCATCACACAGATTGAGGAGGAGGTCCCTCACGTCCTCCAGCTCGATGCTCAAATTCAAGCCATTGAATTTAGATATCATTGTAAGGGCTTGATAGCATTGCATCTGGGCGTCCTGCATGTACGAGATATCACAGATGAATAAGGATGCAAGTTACCAGTGGCTGCTTAAATAAGTTGAAGTAGACTTCAAGTAGTGTAAACAAAAATGTCAAGGCAGTTTGTATCCGATATCCTTTTTCTCCCCCTGACACCCAAGTAAATGTTATCTATCTGGTAACTCAATGGACAAACCTGTCGCGCTTTGTTCAGATCCGGTGAGCTCCTGCCGATTAGATTGGTGAGAAGATAAAGGTGTACCAAGATTGAAACAAACCATTCCAGGAGTCTACCACTGTAAATGCCAGATCACCAAGAGACGCCGTTCGGAAGGCTTCGAGGTCCTCATTAGAAAAAGGTCTAGATTTCTGATGTATGAAAGCACGTTTGAGCCTTGAGATGGAGGGAGAAAGTCCAGACGATCTGTATGCCAGCATCTCTGGGATATCCTTGACCATGAAATTGCTCCCCCAAAAGAAACCAGTGATTGTGAGATCAACAAGCAAAGGGAGATATTCCATTTTTGTTTCCGTAGATGCGGGATTGCCCAGAGCAGAAACGATGTTTGTGATTGCCCTTGTGGATGTTTCAACATGTAGTTCTGTAAGGGACGGTATATTCAGAAGCCAATGAAAAAACCATTCTGGATCATGGTGATCATCATATTTCACTTTAAACCGCCGGAGTTGATGCAAAGAGGTGATAAAATTGGATAGGGAGGTGGAGTCTGGGGAGCCATAGCTTATTTCGATTGTGAGATCTTCGAGGTTGGGAGTGCTGATACCTGGCGTGCTTAGGAGTAGATTCAAAGTGCCTGAATCTACCTCCTTCAAGACCAGACGTCGGAGGTAGGAGTGATTGACAGTCTCCGGAATATTACCCTTGCTATGTGGCTCAAGACTGTTCGCATTGAAAACTTCAAGGAATTCAGCAGAAAATAAAATATCCCACAGCTGCTCGTGGCCAATTGTACTTGCGGAGAACGTTCTGAGCTGCAGCCACATCGAGTTGTGTTTGAAACGCCGTAGGTACTGCGGCACATGCAGACGAGTTATGCTTGGCAGACTGAAAGGGTTGAAGATGTCGAAATTTTCAAGATCATACTTGTCAGAACTAGCGGCTCGAACGCGAATGGATAGATGTTCTAGGAGTGGAAAATAGTCGTATTTCTTGATCACAGGCAAGGATTCCGAAGGGATGAAGATTGAGACGTTTTTCCATTTGAGAGTATCTTGGGGTCGGATAAGACGGTCTAGCAGGCCATTGCCTCTGATATCGTAACGGATGGAAAGGGGTTGATTTCCTGCCCGTTCAATCCATGAAGCGAAAATTTCCTCAAGATGCAAAGCATGAGGGTTTGGAAAGATCAAGATGATAACGGACCACAAGCGGCTCGTAGTCCACGCCAACTCGCGCCATGCTTTGCAGACGGCAGAGAGGCGCAAAGGGCATATCCCCTGTCTATCCACTCCTCCGATGGCATTGTAATTGGGTTGGCAGCAGAGGACGAAGATTTCTGAAAGTATCTCGGGTGGCAGGGATGATGTGAGAGAGTGCCTGTTGATAGAGGTCTTGGTTTGAATAGCTACTTGCAGGAGTCGCGCAATCTCTTGCTCCGTTTCAACGAGTAACAATTCCAAGGCAGATCGAGTTTCTTTTATGAGAGGGTCGACCATGTTTGTGCAATTGAGAAAAAGGGAACGCCCTTGGGTGTCTGTATGAATCAAGGTGTGAGTTGTGTGAGAGCAATATGAGGAGTAGTTTGGAACCAATTAACCTCCTTTCTTCTGGAGGATCGTAACATCGTCACGTGCACATATTTTGGTATTTGGACCAAGTTGCCAGTTCTGTGCCGAATAAAATCTCCTTGCGGATCTATCGCAACTATTGGCGTTGACCAGGTCCTTCCAAGGTAGCTGCCAGGATCCCACAAAACTTGAGTCAGTAAATGATGCTCCCATTGAATGACCCTACTCAAAGAGTGAACTTCGCGTCCACTGCCAACTTCATCAAGAACGAGAGACCAAATTAACGAGAGGCCGGATTATATTGCCATGATAACAATGTACTATACAACCTATAATATGGGTGACTGGGTATGAATACAGTAAGGCGGGATCTAAACAGCAGTCATAATCGCAGGCGTGCATGTCGTGGATGGTGGGGTGTCGTAACCAGAGGCGTTTTAAGTCTACGCATGACCCTGCTGAAGTGTCGGGGGTAGGTGGGTGGCACTGGCTGCCGTCGCGGAGGCCGTGGAACGACCGACAAAGAGCCAGACTTGCCCGTCGACGTCCCAGTGGCGCCACTGGTCTGGGTTGCCGTTGCCGTTGAAGATGCGGGATTGCGTTACCAGGAGTGCAAGTGCCACCGCTCATGAATGCAGGGACAGGAGGACCGGGGAAGGTGTATGGTGAAATGGCATCGAACACCTGGGAATGAAAGTTGCCAGGGTCGTTGTCGCTGTACGCGCCTGGCAAACTGACCAACCTCGAAGGGTCAGGAACTCCAGTGCCCGATGTGCTAACCTGAGCTGCGAACAGGTGGGATAGAACTCCGTACTGTCGAGGATGTGGCGAGATGGAGAGCGATGATTTCGTTGCGGACAAGGTAGTTTCCTGGCGTGAGGTTGGATCTTGATGTGGAGTTGTACGCTTGCGAGGGAGCCAGACACTGTTGTACATAAGTGGGGATCGTTAGCGCAATTGGGAGGAAACTTAGGGCCAGGCGCACCACGTACATGGTCGATCTTGAGCTATTTGGCGGTTTGTGCGTCAAATTTGTCACAGGTCGTTGACCCCCAAGATGCTAGATATGTGAGCATTAAGCCAGTATTGTGAGGCCACTAGGAGATGGTTAGCCATTTTCATTGTACGAGACGGAAAGGAGCGTATGTTGCTGCCATCAGCACCATTCCAATTGAGCCAAGCTGGTCGACGGGGCTCGCGTTGGCGATGAGGGTCGTGGCTTGAGGCCATCAGACAGGCCCACAGTTGAGCGCTGGATTGCTGGCACCCATGTTAGGCTTTGGAGTAGAAACTCATAACAGTGACCGGTTGACTGTCGAGCCTTGACGCACGAACGTCGCAAGGCGAAGAGGCTCGTGCACTGGGTGCAGTCAAGGTGCCGTGCGAACCAGACACTGGGCGGATAGGTGGATCAGTGGCGGATGCTAGATCTGTAGACGGCAGCGAGGCGCAAAAAACATACCTCCTGACTATCCACTCCTCCGATGGCGTTACAACCTCATCAATCATCTCCAACCTTTCCTTACTTTCCGGTTGAACAATACCTGACAGCAATGGCATTGCAAGCAGTGACGTCCTCGGCTTTGAACCGTTGGCGAGTTTCTCCACCCCGCCAGCTATCTGATCATCCTCCAGAAAATTCCACATACTGCCCAGTGCCCACCTTGTTGCGCCGACCCATTCGCTCATAGTGGTCCCAGTGGTGCCATCGTTCGTCTTCCTTGAGTTCACCCCTACACGGCGCTGATCCTTTCCAAATAAATAAAGCTCGGAGCGTGGCTCGTCGAAACAAGCTGGGCCGGAGGTAGTCCTTGTTGGAAGCACATTCATCACTGCATTCTTCTGCATGGTGTTCGTGCTTGTGGAGTCGACGTGGGTGGTTAGGGCTAGTACTTTTTCGATTTTTTTCTTGTGGTGACTATTCAAAACTGACGTATCTGTGCGTAGACGATGTGGGCTGTGTTGAATGGCTGCTCGTGGCCAATTGTGCTTGCGGAGAACGTTTTGAGCTGCAGCCACATCGAGTTGGGTTTGAAGCACCATAGGTATTTCGGTACATGCAGACGAGTTATGTTGGGCAGACTGAGGCTGTTGAAGATGTCGAAATCCTCAAGACCATTTATGTTAGAACCAAGACTGCCTCGAACGCGAATGGAGAAATGTTCTAGGAGTGGAAAAAAGAAGCTTTTTTTAAACACAGATACGGATTCCGAAGGGAGGAAGATTGAAACATTTTTCCATTTTTTAGTATCTTGGAATCGGATGAAACGTTCTAGTAGTCCATTCCCATTGACATCGTAACGGATGGAAAGGGGTTGATTTCCTGCTCGTGTAATCCATGAAGCTAAAATTTTCTCAAGATGCAAAGCACGGGGGGTTTGGATTGATCAAGATGATAACGGACCACAAGTGACTCGTAGTCCACGCCAACTCGCGTCATGCTTTGCAGACGGCAGAGAGGCGCAAAGGGCTTATCCCCTGACTAACCACTCCTCCGATGGCATTGTAATTGGGTTGACAGCAGAGGACGAAATTTTTTGAAAGTATCTCGGGTGGTAGGGATGATATGAGGGAGTATTCATTGATAGAAGTCTTGGTTTGAATAGCTACTTGCAGGAGTCGTGCGATCTCTTTCTCCGTCTCAACAAGTAAAAACTCTAAGGCAGATCGAGTCTCTTTGACGGAAGGGTCGACCATGTCAAGGTATGATTTGTGTGAGGGCGGGAGTATGTAGTTCTGTGTTAAGAGGCAACTGGCAACGCCAAACACCTCCAAGTTTCTCTAACTCTCTCAACATTCCGGTTCAACAACACCTGACAGCAATGGCAACTCTTCATTTGCTCTTCATGTTTATTTTGCTGATCAAATTTCTTATCAAGAAGATACGAAACTGAGATCTCAATTTTGGATGATCAAGTCTAACCGTTACGGTGACGCTGCTCCGCGGACCGTATGGCGCCTGGCAATCTACTGTGTGTGGAAAGGGACGGATTCAATCTCCAGAATAGCCGCACTGGTATCATTTCACAGGGCATCGTTTTACCTTTCTTTTCGACATGGAATGGCTCAATCCTGGGTTGTAACCAACGGTACCAGCTGCCGTCTCGTACCTTTCCTCGGCAAGGAGAAAACACAGGTGGCTTATAGACAGTGGGGCCTCGCGAATCCTCTCTTTCCTGCTTTATTGAGACCAAGCTCATTGCAAGCAGTGACGTCCTCGGCTTCTAGTTTGAACCGTTGACCCTCTCCAGCATGGAGTCACGATGGCTTTGGGGCCGTGGTTCGTGCATGAATTCGACGTTGGCCAACTACCCCGAAGGCAATGGACCAAAACAGGGAGGGATACCAGTACCACCTCATCACGTTGCCCACCGAGCTGCAGACCCTCCGCATCAACGTCGAATCTCATCTGATCAGTTAAAAACCCTCAAGTCAGATTTGGCGCACACCCGTTGACTCTTGACTGGTTTTTTGCTACGGATGATTTCGACCTAGACCTAGTGTTGGCCTGTCACATGTGGTTGACGGACTGCTGCATTTTGGTCATCGGTGTTGGGCCGCATGCGTGTGGATGTCCACGCCCTAACTTTTCGGATTGAGGCGTCTATGCAGCGAAGGTCGGTGCAGGGCTGCCTTGCTGGTGGCTCAGCGCATACTACGCTGTTCTGTCTTATTCAACCAATAGATCAGTCTGGGCCTCAGTCGTTCATGATCTTTTCGTGTGATTGTAGTTGGGGTGGTTTCTAGACTCGAACACAAGGACCCAGACTCACCACCATCGGTGGTTACAGCTGAATGCAGAACGCACAGCAGGGATTTTCTACAATTTGAATTCTCCTCTTCGTAAATATGTATGGGTGTTATGAGCGCAGAAAGCGCTGTGTAGCGTTATGACGAGGATGAAAAGTAGATTAAGTGCGTATCCGTTACAGGTACAAGAAAAAGCTCAATTTCCCTTGGATGCCTTCTCGAGTACTTGAAAAGCAGATAATGTGAGCAAAAGGTTTCAGTCGGAGAAAGGACAGATACACACCAGTCTCGTAGGCGACTTCGCTAAAATCACTTCCTTGGATCTCTACAGCGATACCCACAAGCGCGCGTCTCAAGGCATCACGAGAGGACGCGTACAACATCTTCTCTTTGATCTTTGCGTCATCGGGTGACCTAAACCAACGATGATCAGTTACTATGCACATTCTGAGCAGACACCCCCCAGAACATCCCGTTCGGAAGATAAGACACCCTCCCACACACCGATCGACAAGCGATCGCGTCATCCAGCCCATCCAAGACGCCGTAGGAGCATGGAGGATACATATGAAAGGCAAACACACCAAGAGTAAAAAGTGATCTTATGCCTCTTCCCCGCTCCTTCCTTCTCAAAAGCGAAGTCGTACACGGCCCATCGTGGGCTAGTTTCCGGGAGATCGGCAGTGAAGGTGTCGTAATCCTGAGCATCGGACGTCTTGTCGACCACAATTTCGGTGTTGGTGGCGTTGAGCTTGTAAATGATGTATTTGTGTTTTTTGTTGAGCTTGAGGGCTTGGAAGACCTCGATGCACTCAGGGTTGACACCAACGCCGGACGACTATTGTGTATGGGTTATATTAGACAGTTGGGGTAAGGAATGTGTAGAATACTTGCCATGATTGTGTGGATTAGAGAAGTAGGAGGAGATCGGTGTGGTCAGGAGGAAAGTTGAATTATATGTGGCTGTGGAATGACTGCGTTCAGATCAGCTACGCGATAACCCTAAAAGGGGTATCTTTTCGATTATCTACGATGCTGCCATTTCAATCACTTGCTATTACAAAAAAATATTGCTTGTACTACGACGTGAAGACCTCATCTAACCACCGCTCGTAGTCGTACTCCTTTTCCCCAGCCTCGTTCAGGGAATTTGGCATTGCATTGCGTAGGTAATCAATCGAAGCAGCCGGGATATGTGCAATCCGTAGGTCTAGCTCCGTCACAAACGGCTGCGGGCAAGGTCAGCGCTGCTGCGATAAACGACGTTGAAACACACCTTGTCATTCGCGATTCCACGGAATGACTCCCGTAGTTGATCCGATGAGGTTTGGTCTTCGGTGATGTCAACCTATACGCATTACTTCAGCACCGATCCCTTGAGTCAAGATCGAAAGACAACCCACCAAAAGATTGATAAACGCCTCGAACGTTATATCCCCATAGTCCTGGATGAGTTGGTCGTAGATGTAATCCATATCCTCATCGCAGTACACGATACCCAAACTTGCTAGGGCGGCTACCGTCTCCGCCAAGCTGAGGGTATTCGTTTCTCCCTTGTCAAAGTACCGGAATGTGCTCTCGAACTGTTCAAGTTGGGCTGGAGTCAGGTTGGTGTGGTTTCTTGAAACGATCTAATGTTGCTCATATAAGCCAAGGAAAAGAGAATCAGAATCAGGGATGAACAAACCTGATTATCAATGAAGGCAATCTTTTTCGCCACGCTGTGAATCACCAACTCTAACTCAAACTCCAGATCTTGACACGTGAACACCGTGTGGTCGTTCTCCTCCACGTTTGCAGCGAAACAATCTGCCTCCGCCAGTTTCACGACTTCCAGTGTCTCGGAGAGTGTAGGTATTCGTGTTTGAATTTCCTTGGCTTGCTGTTGTTGATTCTACATTCGGGTGTCAATGGCTATACTGGAGAACGGAGGCGTATTCAACATACCTCCAATGGACCTTCAATATTCGTCAACTCGGACGATATAGCATGCAGCCGTTGTTCGAAATCATTAGCAAGGTCAGCAAACGCCATCCTCAAACCCTCCTTAATCCTGCACATTCCGATGAGCAGCCGCTTTGAGCCATTGAAAAAAAAGGGCTCACTTTCGTATTTCCGCATTGATAGCCCTTGACCTCCTTGCCTCGCTCTCCAGCAGTTCTTGCCAGGCTTGATCGAGATCCGCGAGCGCCAGGCCCTCAGGCGGAATGTATTCCGTCAAGCTATACGTCCTCAATTTCGTCTGTACATTCCCAAACAACGTCGTAACGTCCTGCCGTTCTGTGACCCACGTCCGCTTTGTCGTGTGCTTGTACGTTGTGAAATCCGCGGACTGCTGCTTGGCATCAGTGTATGTCCCTGTGAGCACCTGGCTCGACCACTGCGATTGCACCTCCGAGAGGGCGGTGAGGAGGAGTTGGACTCGGCGTTCGTAGTCATTTCGACTGAGCCAAACCGACTGCATAAGTTCTGCGAACTTTTCAACACGTCGGGAAACGGTCTCCGCTTGGTCTGCGGAATGTCAGTCAGTCGTAGAATGTTGTAATGGAATGTGAGCTCACCCATGGAAGAGAAAGCGTGGAAGAAACTGGCAATGTAGGTCATCACACTCTTTTCATCTGGTCGCTTCGAGTCGCACAAATCTTCGACTTCCAGTAGCTGTGGAATGTTCAGGTGGTCAGCAGCAATTTTGAAAGCTAGTCTCGTATTGCCATGTCTGTCGCTCTACGCCATTCTTAGCTTTCCACGTCGTTGGTTGAGCAAATGCAAAGTGCACACCTTGTCTAATTTATCATAGTCCAGAAGGTCGGGGCGATGGCAGTGGATAAGCGCACATCTAACACGACATGAGTACAAGCAACCAACGCTAAGTGAGAGCGGCGGACGAACAAAGCAAGACCATCCGACCAGCTCCATGAAAAGTCGAGTACCTCGACTTCTTTGTAGGGCTCAGTCTTGCGTTGGCACCATAAGAGGAGGCCCTCCTTTGCTGAGAGACCTTCTTCGCTTTCAGAGGGATATGTTAGGACATTGGAGAGGGGAAAGATCGGGAAAAGCAGACCTGATGTCGGCAATAGTGAATCGGAGGATGAGCGTCCATATCATGCCGAGGATGAGTTTGAGATTTCCTTCTATGATGTCTACCGGGTCATAAGTCAGTAATGGGAATGAGGGGAATGAAACGATTTTGTTGTCAGGATAGAATGTGATGATACTTCGGGATACCTTCCAATGAAACGGAAGCAAATATGTAGTGCACATAACAGCAAAAACTGGCAGCAAGACACTCGGCAAAGGCTCACCTTCTGGTCCAATATTCGTCAACTTGACTCCTCTGGACGTAATAAACTCCAGTGCTTTGTTCACATTCTCAGCCATCTGCACTTTGATTCGAGGTGCTTTATTGTAGCGACCAAGAGACGTGTCTCCTGAATATCTTCTCATTAAACAGTCATGATACACTGTTCTCCGGGTTTCTCACCCATAATTTCCTGTATTCCGATCAATCACTTCCATTGATCCATCCTAAAATAAAGCTGCGCACCATAAGTTGGATGAGACGAACACCATCCGATAAGTCTTTCACGAGAGATGTCATAGGTGGGTAACCATTCGCTTCCAGCTTGGTATTCAACCTTACGAAAGCGATAAATCCTGACAATACCGGGCGGTAGCGAGACGAATACGAACCATTTGCAAAAGGTCCTTTCTTGGGTATCCCGGGATTGCGCTTCCAGACTCATTACGGGTATTTGATAACCAAAATTATGGGTAAAATGGTATCGTATCAAGGGTGGTGGTGGTATGAAAGAAGGAAGGGTTTAGGGTCAAATGACGTCCAGCAGAAATGAGAACGCGTCTGGATCGATTTCGAACTCCGACGGCGCGTCCTGCTCTCAACCACCACCGTTGACCTCTCATAACTCTCAACCATCATCATCTAGGACACATTTACTTGGGAGCAACTAGGAAGGACATGGCGACGATCCAGTTTGACAGGATATACCATGGAGTGACGGCAGAAGTTGGCAGTGAGCTTTCCTGTGTAAAATTTGAGAATATGAATATTGATGATGAAGGTTTGTGTAGAATTCCGAGTGGCAGCGAGCGGAATGGCGTGGAAGGGCGCTGAAACGGAAGGAGTTACCGCCATGGCTTCGACCGATATCAAGTGGGCCCAATGGATGCGTGTGGCTCGTGGTTTTCAGCTTCGTGTAGGGATGAAAGACCACAAACGAGAAAAATTCGAGGGTTTCTCGAGAGAGGTACGAGTTATTTATATAGCGGTGCTCAAGAACTGACTTTACTACGATACGGCAGGACCATGACAAACTCGCAAATCTACTGAAAACGCACTTTGGTATAACCCTTGAAACTCGGGAAGTCGCTTTCAAAGGCTGGAATTGGGGTGTCACCGACTTTCAAGGTAGTCCCAACGATCTTAATTACGATTCATGCTCATGTTGTTGTGACCAGGCAATGAGCTTGCGTTTTCCGTCTCCGACAAAATAGCTTTCGAGCTTCCCTTGCGTCAAGTCGCGAACTCCAATATTGCAGGACGAACCGAAGTCTCACTCGAATTCGCTCCCACAAAAGCCAAAGCCATGGGAGACGAGATGGTCGAAATTCGTTTCCATGTCCCTGGCACGCACAGCAAACTCAAGGGCAGCGATGGTTCGCAGAAATCTGACAACGAAGACAACGACAACGACGATGACGAGGTCAGCGCTGCTCAGGTCTTCCACGACATGATCAAAGAAAAGGCAGAGATCGGGCAAGTTTCTGGCGACATGATCCTGAGCTTCGAGGAAGTGCTTGTGTTGACGCCGCGTGGGAGATATGATATGGACATGTTCCCCGACTTTTTACGATTGCGCGGGAAAACGTACGATTACAAGATTCTCTTTGGAAGTATCTCGAAGCTGTTCCTCCTGCCGAAGGATGACCAGCACGTGTTGTTCATCGTAAGTGGCCTTTTCGTGTGTGATGTTGTCGCTGATGACGGCGAACGCAGCTGGGCTTGAGCACTCCCATCAGGCAGGGCCAGACGCGGTACCAGTACCTCGTCATGCAATTTACGCGAGAAGAGGAGATAACGGCCGAGTTAAACATGAGCGAGTACGTTTTTCAGTTCTGCTCCTTGATCCTCTAATCATTCCCTTGCAGAGAAGAGATTGCGAAATACGACAAGCTCAAGAAGAACTACGAAGATCCCACGTACGAGGTCGTCTCGAGCGTCTTCCGAGCGCTCGCAAGAAAGAAAATTATCGGATCTGGCAGCTTCCAAAGGTTCGTAAATACCACCCAATTTTTGTGCAAAATTAATTGTACGTGTAGCCGGGATGGACACCCAGGGATCAAAGCCAACCTTAAAGCCATTCAAGGCGACCTCTTCATGCTCGAAAAATACATCTTCTTCGTCTCCAAACAGCCTACACTGATAGAGCTCTCAGACATCCACCAGGTGGTCTTCTCCCGCGTCGGCGCTTCCACCGCAGCTCGCACGTTCGATCTCAAAATTGTCACAAAGTCTGGGCCTGAGCACAACTTCACGAGCATCAACAAGGAGGAACATGAAGTCACTGAGGCGTACTTGAAGGATAAGAAAATCAGGGTGAAGAACGAGATGGTACCTGATGCGGACCTGCTACTGGCAGCTGCGGCTGGAGATGACGACGACGATGACATGCAGAGTGTTATTAGCTCGGATGAGGACAAACCTAGGGGCCAGAAGAAGGCGCCAAGACCTAAACGGGATGATGATGATGATGAGAGCGAGGAGGATGGTACGTCCTTCATTTCATTTACTGTCCCTCGTGTGTAATGACTGGTTGTTCATCTTACAGAGGACTTCCAGGCGTCAGGATCCGACTCTGGATCACCAAGTGACAGTGACTCTGACAACTCCGGTGCTGAGACGGCCTCGGACGCTAGCGGTGATATTGCGCTCACTAAAAGTGCCAAGAAGGCGAAAGGGAAGGCTAAAGCCAAAGCCAAGGACGGCGAGAGCGGGGAAGCACCAAAGAAAAAGGTAGTCAAGAAAACAGCCGCTGAGAAAGGGGGCGACAGTGACGCGGACGACGATAAACCCAAGAAAAAAGCGCCAAAAAAGAAAACTTCGTCAACTTCTCCGCCGCCCAAAACCAAGCCCAAGCCGAAACCCAAAGCGAAGAAGGCTGATGATGATGTGATGGACGTGGACGTGGACGTGGATGGCGAGGATAAACCCAAGCCCAAGCCTAAACCCAAGCCTAAGCCAAAAGCGAAGGAGAAGGACGACGGGGATGACGCGATGGATGTGGACGAAGATAAGCCCAAACCAAAACCGAAGTCCAAACCCGCGAAGAAGGCCGCGGATGGGGAGCCTGAGCCACCTAAGAAGAAGCTGAAGACGTCTGATTGAACGTCAAGTCCTTACCACTCTTTCTCTTGCGGCTCCCTTCTTACTTAGAGCGACAACTCATGTACACACCGATCTTCTGTTTCTATCCTGAATGATGTTGTAATGTTTTTGGAGTACTACATACATAGTTCTATTCTACTTATGCATTATCAGATAAAAATCAAAGTCAGACAATATCATAGAGTGAACGAGGGTGGAGGATGAGTATCCGGAGCGACAAAGGTTCATCAAGGCTTCGTATAGGTATATGTGATACAGTGTTTCTGTGGTGTGACATGGCGATAAATGGAGCTACATCACTGCTGCAAAGCCAGGTAGGTGAGGTAGATGATAAGAGATTGAAGGAACGGATACAGTTGAGAAGGATTGGTGTTGATGCCGAGTTGAAGTAGAGAAGTAAAACAAATGAAGGAGTGTCGTTTTACACTTGCCCGTACAGGAGCGATCCAGGCTCGAAGACGTCATTACGTCCCACAGGGAGCGTGGGGCTAGCGTAAGCTGGAATGGTAGAAATAAGGGGTTGAATAGGACGTGTGTGGGTGCCAGATGTCTTCCGAGTGCCGGACCTGGACAGCGAAGTAGCGGCGTTGTTTCCTGAAACTCTTGGGCTAAAAAGAATCTGTCTCTCTTGGTGGAGAACGTATGACTACGTAAACGTTCATGAGTCGTCTTTCTGGAATACGCCACGACAGTACTCACTCGAGCAATGAGGATCTTCTCCATCCAGATCTTGCCATCCGCCTCCTTGCATGAGAACTTGTGCAAGTAGTCAGCGGTGTTTTCGAAGAATGAAAGCTTGTCGGTCGACTTGACGGCAAACACAAAAGGTTTTGGAGCTCGTTGGGCACGAGTGAAGTGGTACGCATCAAAGTTCGACAATGAGCACAGCATCACCTCGTCTCTGCGCTGGAAAACGGATCAAATGTGTTAGTCGTCAAACGCAGAATCTAGCAAAACCGTTAAGACGAACATTATCGCGTTTGGACAACCACAAGCAATGTTCTCGAAGTTGCATCCATCGCTTACTCCATTTCCCACGTTTTGACTCCCATTCCACATATCCCGAATGGGTGGGCGAGCTGGTGGGCATGGCCTTCAAAGAAACGAAAGTGAGAAATTTGCCGTACGGCAGTTGTGAAAACGTACAGCAAGACTCAAAGGTTTGGCAAAGGGAGTTAACCTGACGACGAAGGTGTTCATCATCTTGTCCTTGTTCCAAGAAGCTTGCACGTCTGACAAAAGCTCGAAACTTCGAATAGGCCGTTCTAATTAACCAGGAAAAATAAGCGGAAGGACCCAGAACAGAAAGCAAATACGTACCCATTCCGAAATCCTGTGCCACCTCCCAGAGCATCCACCCACCATTCCCAGCCGAACCACGTAATGAACCTTGCGCCTCGATCATCTCAATGACGTTGCCTGCATTCGTAGTGGCAGTAATCTCCACCATATTGAAACGCTGCATATCCCCAACAAAGATGCGTTGTTGCGTCACCACAGCTGTAGGGCTTGACGAAGCGGACGCAAGGCCGGGCGATTGCAATCGTCCAGCACTCGTACTTGGACGCGAGGTACGCTGGGCATCAGCCTGGGTCTTTGACGATCGCGAGGGAGGGGGGTCTGCGGGTGAGGCTCTGGCTAGACTGCGATGGTGTTGGTCATCCATGCTGAGACGGGGCATTGGAGGTGGTTCTTCGAATCCGAAAGATGTATGTGCATTGGACGCACTACGATCACGAGCGACGGATTGCGACCGTTGTCGTTGAAGTTGAGTTATCGTGGTGGGTTCCTCAACCCGACTACGACTTCGCGCTCTAGTGGTAGTCATGCTTCGAGCCACGGGAGCGTCTGGAAGTGGTGGCCTATCTTCCTCCTCGAATGTCCTTCGCTCAACACGATGAAAAGATCGCATAGGTCGAAGGGGTGGCGGCGGGGGGCTGGATGGCGACTTGTGTGACGGCGGCGAGTAGGCAGGTGGTGGGTCTCTCAAACTCCGACTCCTGCTTGCTCTCAGGGCACCAGGTGGGTCAAACGTCTCTAACGATGTTCGAGATGCGAAGGACGGAATGTCATGTGGTTGCTGAAATGAGGGGTGTGAAGTCGAAGGGGCGAACTGCGAAGATTGATATTCAGCGCCTTGCACATTCTGCAGCTTCCTAGCAAGGGCATCAGGCGAGAATGGCCGTCCGTGTGAAGCCATCGCATGCTGACGTGGAGGGTATCCAGCAGTAGTCGCAGCATGTAACGCGGCTTCTTGAGAGCTCGACATGACCATGCCTGGCGCTACGATACCACCACCAGCACCAGCGGGCCTCAACGTTATTTGCCTGCTACGAGGCTGACGTTCTGTCCCCTCGCCTTCTTGTCTCATAGCCCGATCCTTCCGCTTCTGCTGTCTCTCATCCCTCACCTGCCTTCTAATCGTCCGCTGGGCAGTAAGGGCCGTGGGAATGCGTTGCGCCAAGGGCACGTCGTCGTCGTCTGAGCTCGAGCCCCTAAGCATACGAGGCATACGAAACTCACGAGGGGAAACTGTGGTAGAGGAAGACCGTTCGGGGTCTTGAGCGTAATCGTCTGTTGACTCTTCATCCTCCGACGTGGTAGGTTCCGAAGAAGATGGAGTATCGAATAAGCTGGCTCCGTGGGTTACTCCGCGACGGCTACCGTCTTCGTCCCTCCTATCGTCGTCGTCGTCGTCACGCCCACCCATCCGTTTTGAGAAAGCCATAGATGGATAAAACCCGGTCGGCGTATCCCGTTGCTGATAAAGGCTTGCTCCATGGGTATACATGTCCTGTTGCTGTTGTTGAGCTTGATGGTGGTTGCTGTTCGAGTCCCAACTGCTTCCATCAACCATTTCACGCGCAGCCATTTTAACCTGCACTTTCGCATGAATGCTTCCACGATCACGCGGCGAGTCAGGTGGCGGAGGCTGTGCAAAATTTGCTGCCTCCTCCGTTGAAGCTGAGGGAAGCAACGATCTTGCACGGACTGTATCAGCAGATGTGCCTGGTTGATATTCCAATCCTTCCTCGTCGAGCACTAGAAAATTTCCAGGTGAAATAGCTAGCGGAGCATCCTTGCTGTTTTCGGGCTCCGAATAACAGTGAAAACCATCTTTGCTGAGCCTCGGGTCTATCCATCGATGGGCGGGGAAATATTGGAAATAGTCGGTATCCGGCGGAGAGTTGAGAATATCGCTGTCTTCCGAGGAGGAGCGCGTGAGTATTCCTGGGCTATCGTCTCCATCGAGAAAGGTAGGATCAAGCGCATGAGAACCACTATGACGCATAATAAGAGGGTTCGAGTTGCGCTCCTCAGAGCCGGAGGCGGAGGACGTTGATGAGGAATTCGACGTCGAAGACATGGAGCGCGAGAGGGATGCAGAAAGATCAGAGGATGAGAAGCGAGATGACGATGGAGAGGCAATCTGCTCTTCAAAAGAACTTCGGGATGTTGTGTAATACGGAGTGTAAAGTACTGAAGAGGAGGAGGAAGCACTGCCATCGTCAACCTCAACATCAAAATCCAGCGGGAGGTTGGTGAGATAGTCCAAATCAATTATGTCCTCGTCCTCATTGTGGTCGGTGTTGGGAAGATCACTTGCAGAATCTGCCAAGTCCAAACCGGGATTGGAACCCGTTACGACATCGGCGGTAATGAAAGATGATGATGGCGATAATGATGACGAACCAACGGTGAAGGGCGCCGACACATTGTCGTCCCTAAGTTTGGGCAGCGGCACGTCATAATGAGCGGCACCAAGGGATGTGAACCCTTGGGAAGAACCAAGTTCCTCGGTGGCAGGCGCAGGGCAAATTTGACTTGGCAGCAAAGGCTGCGACCCAGGTGGTAGGGACTCAGTATTGCTGAACGTCGGATCCTGCAACACTCTCGCGATGGACGTTCGATCCTCTTCATCCCAAGGCTCAAACGGAAGACCGGCTCCAACGCGGCCTTTGCGGACCTAAGTACAAGCACAAATTTTTGTTGAATCATCAAAGGGAAGGCGAAGGGTGAGATGGAGGAACGTACCTTTTTCGTGAGAACTACGTTCATAGTAGAGAGAGTATGTAGAGAAGGTAAGGAAGGTCGGGAGGCGAACGCTGGCTTTTGGCTAGCTGGACGGGGCTGTATACGGGCGGCTGAAAAGGCACGGGGGAGGCCTGGGTGTGCAGCGCTGCCTGAGGATGCTGCGGGTGGGCATGTGGCTACGGCTTTCTTTGGTGACATTAGAGGCGAACGAGGGTTAGGAGGAGATGAGGCCAGGCCCGAAGGAGGTTGAGGTTGAATAGTCCTTTGTGCAACCGGTTCAACTGGAGCAAGACACGCAAAAGGATCATCGTCAAGGAGGAAATCTGGGGGCGGGGAATCTCGTGAAGTCGTAATTGTAGTGGATAAACGCGATCCTGTATCTTTATTTGATACGCTATGGTTAACTGAACTAGATGCCGAAGACTGCGACCGCATCCTCGAAGCAAAGGTAGACGAAGTTGGACTGGTGAGTGGCGAGGTCGCTGGTATTTGCTGAAGAAAAGACGGCACCAGAATAGATGACAGGGAACGGCGGTTTTTCGCCATCTTCTTCTCCCCGTATTGAAGAGACTTGGATGGAGAAAGGCGGGTTCTTTGGGAGTGAAGGGGGTGTTCGTCGTAAAGGTGTGCGTAAAATTCAGTGCTTGCGGGAATAGGGATGCTCGTCAAGTTTACTTGTGATTTCCCTGAAACTTGATCCTGGATGAAGAGACGGGTAAGTAAGTTTGAACGTTCATTTTTCATCGACCCGTAACTCGTGTGTTCAGGCGGAAGCGACTAGGAGGCGACGACTTACGGAAGAGTCTGAAGATATTCGCTCGCTGTGCGTTTCTTCCCTTGTACCAGCTAAGCGCTCCCTCGGAGGATCCCTAACTACTATAGAGGAGTTGAGGCGGCCACCCGCTGCGGTAAAGGAGGCAAACGACGCGATTGAGCGAGGGCCTATTAATGGGTGAAGCTGATTGCGAGCAGTTTCTACAGAATTGAACGAGTGTGTGGAGACGGCAGTTATATCAGGGCGATTTGTTACAGCATAGAGGGGGTGAGAGAGCAGACGAGCTTCGACGCCTGGCATGGATTATTTGTTATGCGTGGTAAAAATCCCGGAGAAAGTGTTTTCGTGTGGGACCCTGATGTATCTGGGGTTCGAAAAAATAGATCTCTACGATCAGATTACTTTTTCGCGTTTTAATGAGCCTTTACCGGAGGCGCTTTTTGAGGGCGGAGGAGGATGCGCTTGAGGAGAAAAGGAGGTGGAAGAGGAGAAGGAGGAAGTAATGAGATGATCTTGCAAAGCAAGCGTTTGGCAGCAAGCGTTTTGACAGCGCCCCGACAGGCCCCTGGATTCCAAACTACTCCAAACTACTGCGACCGACAAGGCAAACATGGCAACCGCCGATACTGCAGCATCCAAGATGATCACCGTTCAGCGATCCAAATGTCCTTCCACGTCGCGTTGCAGCGCGTTGCTCACAATCTATTGATTATAATTTACTCCAGGGCGCGTCATACCACCTCATAACCAGGCACTTTGACGTTTCTTCGGATCAAATTGAACGTACGCCTTCTTCCACTCTCTCATGAAGAAGAAATTTCGGAAGTAAAAGCATCAAAAAAAGAGGCCAGATGAAAGAGCCGACTTTCACAGACCTAGACGCGTATAAAACCAGCGATGCTTAGAATTATCACCTCCTTGTCGACGCCGGTCAACTTAACCGCCAGCCACACGCGCACATGTGGACCAAAGGGTGGGTTTGACGTCGACATCGCATCAACCCGAACATGCGCAGGCTGGGCGCCTCATGAGGCAAAAAACTTTCACGGAAAGCCAAGGATTCTGTTCGCCTGGAACGTTTTCTCACTTTTCTGGTCACCAGCCCACGACGCGAAGTTACGCTGCCAAAACAGAATGGCAGATTATCGGATTCAATCCTTAGGTTGCCATGCCTGCGCAGCTGTACAACACCTGTCCTGTGCATCTTCAAAGAAACTCGTTTCCATGACCGAGTCCGAGGAGAGGAGGACCGAAATTTATTCCCGGAAATCACCACTTGATTGAAATACCATCGACGCGCGTTCTGATTCCATTAATACGACCGACCGGCAGTCTTAACAGTCTCTCGACAAAGAATCAGACTATCACTCTAGAATCACAAGGGTTGTTCTCGGAGGCGTGTATAACCGTGGATTACTCACAAAACTACGAGGCACCCATCTTACTGGAATATGAAACCAAAGAGTAAGGAAAACGTAAAAGTGAACAAATGGCCATGGAACCCGGAAAGTATATTGACACTTCGGGTTCTTTCCCCTGGATTTTCTTATTCATATTACGTGGGTGTGTTCTGGCAGCCGTGTTTTGACTCCGTATCCCAAATCACAGCGGAGTGCATCAAATCATGGACCACCCTCTTTTGGAAAACCATAGTCTCGAGCTTGGAAGCTAAAGCTTAAAGCCTCCTCTCCTCCATTCGGGCGTTGATCCCGCTGTTGCACAATGCAAATGGTAAGCACTAGCAAACACTCGGGTAAGATGTAGCGCAGCACTACACTGCCATCTTATCCAAGTGTTTACTGCCATGAAGACTATGAAAATCTGCCAAAACACCATTATCGCGTCTTCCCCTGAGAAACATCACGCTCTAGGTTCTCGACTTCGCGCGCGTAGCAGTACCGCCTTTTTTAAAGCTGTTACTAGCTTTCCGGTGGGAGCCAGGAACGAAAAATTGTCTTTGCTCTCAGGCAATCTCAGGCCTGTTCGAACGTTTCTGCGACGACCAAGCAACTTAGGTAAAGGGGACAGAAATACCAAAGTAGCATGAATCGCAGCTTCCGAGTTAACCGAAAAATAGCGCGCTCGAGCGTCAAGAACTATTTCTCAACTATTTTGAGTCGACCTTTCGGACGTTATTCAAATGGACTCGACAATAGAGCGTATCAAAGACTGTCATAAAAGCATAAAGTGCTGTGATATACCGTACTATTATTACAACTCGGTATTTGTGCGCAAGAAACCAGTATTCAGAGCTATCATAAAAGTCTCATAGAACAATTGATTTGGATAAGCTCTACTTCATTAACCCGGGAAGAAACAGAAATCGCCTTATCTCCCCCGCCAAGTGGCTTCGTATGAGACAAAATTTGCTTCCAGAAAACCTCGGGTGTATTCAAAGCTGAGAGAATATAAAACACAGTTAGTCCCATTTTTGGCACTACAATGCCTGTCTGTTGGTATTTATAGTGAGCTCAGACGATCTTGGATACACGTTTGCTCATGTAAGCCCTAAAAAAAGATTTGAACGAACATTGAAAGGGTAAAATGGGTGAAAGATTCATCAATTTTATATCTCAAATACTTTGGGAAAGCACTTGGAGTACAAGGACGCGTCGTAATTCAGACAAGAACAAACACCGCGGTCACCTGATACATTTCGGACCGGGATCCATTTGCTGAAATAACCCATCAACATTGAAAAGTACCACAAGACGACAAAAAACTGGGGTGGAAATAGAGGACGTTGTTGGAAGTTGAAACTTTGACATCGGGCCGCAGTCTCTGGAATTGTCAACCGTATTGATTTCATTGATAATATGTACATTGCGTGCTCGTGGTCAACAGAACATGGACTCAAGATGCAGAGAAGACGAAAGGTAAATCAGACAGCAACATCACGGTATGTTCTCAGCTGAGCCCTGATTCTCGTTCCCTGGCCTTTCGTGAAGCCGCCAGTCATACAAGCGTCGTCGCTATAATCCATAAAGTTGGCTATAGAGACGTCAAGTTAGATAGCTAACTGCGGCGGAGCAAAATACAAAACTAACTCGTTGGATCATCAAGTTTGCTCTTGGGGCAAGTACGACGTGTCTTGATGCAGCCATAAGCAGCCTCCTTCTCCGGTGGTGTGTCGTCGACGTGGTCTCCCTTCCCAGTGCATCCACCCTACAATCATGGGAACAAGGTCAGGCAACCGTCGAGCGTCCCGCTGTCCAAACTGCTTACCTCGAAAGTGTGGTAAAGCCCAGACCAGTGACCCGACTCGTGGGTAAGTGTTCGTCCCATGTTGTATGGCGGGGTTTGGCTTCCGGGCATAGTCGAATAAAGAATAACAACACCATCGTTTGATGGCTTGCCACTGTAGTCTTTCGGGAAGGTAGCGTAGCCAAGGAGGCCTTGTCCAGGTCCCTCTTTGAGTCTGTTCAACCTGTAAGAACTAGGATGCACTCAAAATAGAGCAACACGCACCCGACGGTGTAAACGTTAAGAGCAGACGCATTCCCCTTCCTGTATTGACTCTTCAAGTCCGCTTCTTCAGGTCTGTGTTATACAAGACCGTCGGTTCATGCTTCTTAACAAAAAAAATGAAACTTACGTGTCGGGGGCAACTTTGGCAAACCAATCTGGACTCAAGATTCGTGAGATCGTGACAAGATTCCAGCTGACTCCAGTGATGTTATAGTCTCGATTCATAACATCAACTTGCGCTCTGATCCGCTCATCCCTAAGTTCGAACTTAGTAAGTCGAGGTGTTAAAGGCATAGAGGATATCAACGTACGGAACAAAGCCTCCGTCAAGAGTTTCGTTGGCGTATACAACGTGGAAGTGAATGTCAAGAGTCGCGGTTGCGGTCGAATTCTCGTCGGGCGGCGGGAGCCGGTTGGTTTGGAAAAGCCTTTCCGCAGAGGCAATGGCGGCGGAGGTGATGTGCGTTCCGCATCCTCTACAATGCAAGATATCAGACTCAACATAGGCCTTACAAGGACGGTCCTCACCTTCGACGAGCGATGTCACGTCTATGGGGAGCGCCGGTGACAAGGGAAGCCCCCAATAACAAGATAGCAAAGTAGATCGAAGAAAACATTCTGAGGTAGACAAGTGAATGTGTCGGCACAGCCGTTGGTGTTATTGGTGATTTTTTTGGGTTTTATCGCTTCGACCTTCGGGAGAGCCTGCTCCTCGGTAAGTCTGTGGGTGTAAAGCTAATCACAGTTGCAGAATGCCGCTTTATATATCGCAAGGTGGCGGACCTGCACCTGCACCGCATTTGCTGTCAGCTGATTGTGGCACAGCCTGATACCAACAGTTTCAGGCGCCCTCAGTTTCGAACGGCTTTACTCGAACAAGTACGCACGTACCCCAATCCCGGAGTCATGTCTTGTTGCAAAGACGAGTTATGGGTGGGAGTTGGTGAACGCTCAGAGAGGAGCTTGAAGGGAAAGTTCGAACTCCTTCCCAATCATATGAATCTATATCCCCGACAAAGTCCGACACTTGGTCCGACATCCCCCAACGCAAAGATTTGAAAATAAAATAAACCAAGTAGAAAAAATGGATGTCGCCGATGTTGTCTCAAGAACTTGACTGGACTCTAACCAATACGCACTGTGAAGCCAAGCACCTCCCCATCCACAATTGCGAACTTCCCCGCGTTGCCGATGCTCAAACACCAAATGGCGCCCCTTGACCTAAAATTAGGACTCGGAGACTTGATTTATGGGCAAGAATAAAACACTTGTCATCGCCTGCAGGCCATACCCCGTGCTTCAAGATAACGTTGTTGACCCTATTTTTGGGAGCCCTGTTATCGTATCTCGTTCAAGTAATCGCCGTCAGACATCCCTGTCCCGTGGGTATTTCACGAGAGACGAGGAAGAACTTAGAAGAAAGTCAAAATCCGCCTTATTGGCAACTTTTGGAGATCTTGAAGAATTCCACTCCGGAAATTCTTCTGGGGCGATCGAAAAATCCCTATCCTCGCTGATAGTACAATCAGAAACCCGTTTTACGTGCAATGGCGTGCCAACTCACCACGGTAGGTTGCGAGTTGACAGCAACAAATGTGTAACTACTAACCAGAGGAATCTGGAAATGGATGTGGTCGAAAGCCGTTCGTTGAGTTGGACTTCGGTACTCGAAAAGACAGGAAATGGCTGGCGGAGAGACAGCAAGTTAGCATAATCAGGGAAGAGTTTCTTGTTTTTCACTTGAAAAATCTCTGTCTGCGATTGAAGAGAAGGGCCGCAAGTAAGCCGATACGAGACAGGTCGGAGGAATTCTTGTCAAATGAGTCTAGTGAAGCGACGCGCCAGGCCGTGGCTTATTGGCCAATGCTAGAAAGAAGGACCATGCCCGTCGAGTCGTGCAGAATGACCACGGAACGCGATGCAAAAATCGCAGATCCACCACCCGGGTTTTTGGAGTCGAGAAAGCCTTTTGCTAGTAAGTACTAGTGAAGCATCTAAAACAAATCATAAGGAGCGACGTCCCCTTCTTAATGAAAAATGGCTTTTGCAGCAGTTGCCGTCGGTATGTAGGAAGCCCAGACGAAACTAGTGATCAACCAAGAAAAGTCGAAGGGATTAGTAATAACCTGGTAGCATTCGGGTCGTTTCTCTAGAGTTTTGACTCGGAAGGCGTTACACCGACGAGCAGCCACTGAAAAACCAGACGGTTTTGCAGCTTTGACGCGCAGAGAGGAAGGTGACTTGAGCCTAATACGGTAGCGAGCGGCCTCTACTGACGGATGGCGGACGCTGGCAAAAAAAACTCGAGACGCGACGACAATAAATTGCAAGGCATACATTTTCGAGTTCCCCGAGCTAGAGTCAGTTTGTAGTCAGTGTCCATGATGCGTATGGTGATGCCGACTGCCGACCAGCCACGCTTGAGCCACACGCGTTCAAGTTGTGGCGGCAGAGCGTGTGATCGAAATTTCGACAACCATGAAGTCCGTGTCACTTCAACTGCACAACTCCTACCAAATATCAGGGCCTCCTCTTTCTGGTTTTTTGGGTTTACAAGGCTAGGGTTTATACCATTGTCATCAACAAGTTCGAAGCAAAGGCAGCGGCATGTCTATAATCCCCCCAGCCAGCAAGTCAATAATCCCACAAGCTCTACGCAAACCACGCATCATATCCATCCCACTCGCGCGTCCACGCCCATCCGCGAAGCTTGACCTGAGGATGTTGACTTATTACCAATTCCAACTTGACGAGCGTCAAAAGCCACCTGGTTCACAACGGGGCATCGCGAACTGGTTAACTGGCAAGGCTGCGGGTATGTGGGTCGGTTTCGGGAAAGCCGAGGGTTGGAGGGTACGTGTTTGATTTACTATACACGACGTGTAGAGGGTAGACTGATGAGGGTGCGTGTAGCGCAGGACGTATGAGTATGGGGAACGACTGATGCACAGCGTAGACTTCGAGGAATTGGCGTTGAGGAGCATCGACCCGTCCCTTGGGCCCTCTATCAAGCATCCGGGCGGGGGAAGCGCGTTGTGGGAGAAAGATGAAGGGAAGGAGAAGGAGCCCGCTGAAACGGAGTCGTCATCGGTGGGTTTTATCATCCCTTCTTGAGGGCTGAGTATTCCGAACTGAAAGTGGACTTGTGTAGATCCCATTCCTCTACCCACCCTCATTAACGTCCTCGGCAGTCGCTCTTGGACATCTGCGGTGGCATGTCGAGCACCGAATATCTCGCCACAGGAAAGGATTCTACATGTGGGGACTCCTCACACCTATCACGTTTCCTTTAAAGTTGATTCGTAGGTCTATGTTTCGCTCGGAAGTTAGTGTATCCAACCAATGACTTGACAGCTATAATACCCAACCTCCCATTTTTCTTCTGCGTCTGGCGGAGCTGGTCGCATTATAATGGTCCGTATCTGTCCCATCGCTCATATATATCTGCTCAACTAAGAATAAACAGCCCTCAAATCCTCTGAATACCTTGAAACCCTACTAGACAACAACCAAATCGTACCACAAGCGAGCCAGGTGCTCGACGAAATATACAACGAATTTTCACCTCTCACCTCACCCTCTTTGTTATCACCTTCAATTACCTCACCCCCGTCGTCCGACGCAGAATCAAAGTCCTCACCCTCATTGGCCAGCGTTGACCCTCCAAGCCCGGGGCACCGACTCGCTCTCCTAGTAACACCCGACGCGGTCCCTGCTCTTCTCGCCAAGTTTGAACTGACGGAGAAGGCGGGCGCGGATCTTTATAGGGCTATTGAGCAGGCGAGGGTGAGGGTTGAGAGCGGAAAGCTGGATACGTAGGTTTAGATATATACCCAAACGTAGATTGTGTTATACATCCTGCAGCTGTGAGTGTGCGCCAATTCCCGTCTCCATTGAAAAATTAAGATATTTCAAATCTTAGTATAGTGTAGGGGTGATCGGTTATTGGGTGATCATGAGTTACATGTCGCACACAACTTTTTCATGAACAATTTATCTCACCTTGCGCTCCAGCTTGTATGAACCTTGACGCGAAGCTGGACTCTGGAATGTTGACGTCCTATCAAATCCGACCGAACGGAGACCGCAAACCCGTCCTAAGGTTTCTCTCACAACAGGTTGTCGAGAACTGGTTGAAAGAGAACACGACGAGCGCGTGGGCTCGATTGGGGGAAAGCCGAGGGATGGAGGTGTGTTTTATCTTGTGCGGCCGCACCACTCAGCTTGACGTTCCTCTCCTCCTCTATCGCGTCCTCGAAAGAGAACATGTATGAGCGCTCCCAGGCTCATCCAGTCGATACACGACTCAATCAACCTTCGCCCCTTCTCTTCTCCCTCGATGGCCCAAAATCGCTACAACCTCCAGATCATGTTGACGACCCAGCGCCAGTTCAATGACTATGTGTTTAACGTGGTCCTCTACCCTTGTAGTCGGGCGCACCGTGACTGTAAAATGTGCGAGACCTTTCGGTGCTCAGCCTTTGCAGCTCAACGGTCACTCTCCTTCTTCTCAATTGAGGAAGACTTGTCTGTACCTGGTCTTTTTCGAGAACCCCGCTCCGTCACTTTTACAACGCACTGAAACGAGGAGGCCATGCGTGGCGTCCGCAAGTCCTTCCCAACCATCAACATCAGTCAGAACGACAGTGGAAAAAGGCGCAGAACGTACCTAATTTTTGAAGATAGGTGGTAACAGGGAAGGCGGGTTGGGTTGCTTCTGCGGAGGACGGGGAGTTGCATAGAGAGAATATGCATCGTATGTATTCGTCGACTGAATCTGCCAGAACGGCTACCACTGGCTAAAAGCTTGTCAGCAGGGGCTCCTGTGTCCAGCGAGTACACTCCGAGTCCGCACCTTCATTCCCGGTGACATTTCACCGCCCATCATCGTAGGTGCCTTCAACGCCCATCATCGTAGGTGCCTTCAACGCCCATCATCGTAGGTGCCTTCAACGCCAACAGATTTCGCTCTCTTGTCGTGAACCATGTATATTCCAGATGGAGCCAGCATTTAAGAAAGTCGAGGACACCAATTAACCGCCGAGGATTGAGAAAGCCAAAGACGGGGAGAGTCAGGCATCGGCCCGTATCATGTAAAAATAGATCAACACGTGTTTACCTCATATAATTGATTGTTGGGGCATTCAGCGCGCTCCTTTCTTTGCCTCCCACCTCCCATCATCCTCAACCTCTTCACCTTTGAAATCTCAACATGAGCGGAGCGAGCGTTCTTGCCGGTGCTCACCACGTTGTTGCTAGTAACACCATGTTCAATACTGCTAACGCTGTGAGTAGAATCGTTATCGTCTCAATGTTCAGTGGCTGGTGAACTAGACTGATTGCGTGGCTCACGGGCAGATGTACATCCACAACAATTTTGGCAGGATGCCGTCTGATGGGGTCATTCCCCTTATGCCAACTCCGAGCAATCGGTTCACAGGCCGCACAGAGATTGTCACCAAACTTAAGCACCATTTTTCTACAAACGTGACTGACCCTGCTTGGAAAAGAAAATTCTTTCTGCTACATGGAATGGGAGGCATTGGAAAGACTCAGATTTGCTTGAAGTTCATTGAGGAAATGTCTGGCTGGTGAGTATTTGCAAAGAGGCAGCTCCAACCCTCACTTCTAACATTGCAATTGCCTTCAGTTTCTCTTCTGTTTTCTGGATTGATGCATCTTCAGCTGGCACTATCACACAGGGGCTAAAAGGTATCTGTAATCTTCCTGAAGCCCAGTCTAGTCGACTGGATGGCTCACCTGAATCTGCTCTTCACTGGATTGGCTCACTGGAAGACAACTTTATAATGGTCTTTGACAATGCTGATGTGCTATCACCTGCTCAGCTGGAGACTTATTTTCCACCACCTGGAAAGGGGGGCAACATCCTAATTACTAGTCGGAACTCTGCCATGCAATGTTTGACTTCCCCAGAGAGTTCATGTGAGGTGAATGAGATGGAAGAGAATGATGCCATCAACTTGCTTCTGAAAGCCAGTTGCTTGGCGTCATCTTCAATTGAGTTTCGTGCTGAAGCTTGTAAGATTGTGAAGGAGCTCTGTTGCCTTCCTCTTGCTACTGACCAAGCTGGTGCTTACATTGCTTCTGGGGCTACCACTATTAGAAACTACCTTTTAAAATACTCTGAGCATCGAGAAACTCTGTTATCTCATTCAGAATTCACAGGTGCATCTAGATATAACAGATCTGTCTATGGTACTTGGGAACTGTCATACAAGGAAATCCTGCAGAGAGCTGAAGGGAATGATATATATAAGGCCAAAGCAGCTCAAATAGCAATGCTTCTTCTAGGATTATTTCCATTCTTCCATCATGAGGGAATCACTGAAAAAATATTTTCCTATGCTGCTCTCCAAAAGGGTAAAGAGCACTCTAGCCCTGAATTGCCACTTGCGAGCTCTATACTGGACAGGAGCCTACTTCCACTCAACAGAGCAGGTACTTGGGATAACTTACTTTTTGGAGAAGGCATTCGGGTATTGCTGTCCTTCTCCTTGATTAAGAAAGGGCCATCTGATGGTGTATATGCAATGCATCCATTGGTGCATACATGGGGCAGAGACAGATTGACTCTGAATGAGAGGGAAAGATCTTGCCTAATGGCATATGTTACTTTGTCTTGTTCACTAAGGGAGGATGACAGCCAACCATATGGATTTCAGAGGGTCTTGGTAACACATGTGAGAGCAAATATGGAGCATTCCAGATCAGAAAGTAATCAGAAAGGTATCAGTTACTTTGATGATGCTTATGCCAAGTTTGGAGATCTCTTGCAAAGACAGGGATACATAAAGGAAGCAGAGATTTTGCAAACTATACTTCTGGATACAAGAAAGAGAATTCATGGGGTAGAACATTTAGATACAATTGGAGCCATGGCAAGACTTGCAACAACAAATCGTGACTTGGGAAGATACAAAGAGGCAGAGAAGCTGGAGATTCAAGTTCTGGATGCAAGAAACAGAATTCTTGGAATGGAGCACCCAGACACAATTCTTGCCATGAAACATCTAGCAGCAACATATTACAACCTAGAAAAATACACAGAGGCAGAGAAGCTGATGATTGAAGTTTTGGATGCAAGGAACAGAATTCTTGGAGTGGAACACCCAGATACAATTACAGCCAAGGCAAATTTAGCAGCAACATACCAATATTTGGGAAAGTACACAGAGGCAGAGGAACTGAAGATTGAAGTTCTGGATGCAAGGAAAAGAATTCTTGGAAAGGAACACCCTGCTACAATGACAGCCATGGCAAATCTAGGATCAACATACTATAGTCTGGGAAAATACACAGAAGCAGAGAGGGTGGAGATCCAAGTTTTGGATGCAAGAAACAGAATTTTAGGGTCAGAACACCCTGATACAATCAGTGTCATGTCAAATCTAGCAGCAACATACCATAGCCTGGGAAAATACAAAGAGGCAGAGAAACTGAATGTCCAAGCTTTGGATGCAAGAAAGAGAATTCTTGGTGTGGAACACCCAGACACAATTTTTGCCATGGACAATCTAGCAACATTATATTATAACCTGGAAAGATACACAGAGGCAGAGAAGCTGAAACATGAAGTTCTCGATGTGAGAAACAGAATTCTTGGAGTGAGACACCCAGATGCAATCCTTGCCATGAAAAGTCTAGCAGCAACATATTATAAGCTGGAAAAATATGGAGAGGCAGAAGAGCTGATAATTGAAGTTGTGGATGCAAGAAAAAGAATTCTTGGAGTGGAACATCCAGACACAGTTACAGCCATGGGAAATTTAGCAGCAACATATCAATGTCTTGGAAAATACACAGAGGCAGAGAAGTTGAAGATTGAGGTTCTAGATGCAAGGCACAGAATTTTTGGAGAGGAACACCCTGATACAATCACAGCCATGGCAAGTCTAGGATCGACATATCATAGCCTGGGAAATTTTACAGAGGCAGAGAAGCTGAAAACTCAAGTTCTGGATACAAGGAGTAAAATTCTTGGAGTGGAGCACCCAGACACAATCATAGCCATGGAAAGTCTGGCAGCAACATATTATAGCTTGAAAAGATACACAAAGGCAGAGAAGCTGGAAATTCAGGTTCTTCAGAGAAGAAAGAAAAATTGTGGAGTGGAACAATCACAAACAATTACAGCCATAGAAAATCTAGCAGTTACATACCATCAACTTGGAAGATACACAGAAGCAGAGAAGCTGAAGATTGAAGTTCTGGATGCAAGGGACAGAATTTTTGGAGTGGAACACCCATTTACAATCACAGCCATGGCAAGTCTGGCAGTAACCTATTTTAATCTAGGAAAGTACACAGTGGCAGAGAAGCTGGAGATCCAGGTTCTTGAATCAAGGAAAATAAGCTGTGGAGTGGAACACTCACAAACAATTGCAGCCATGGAAAACTTAGCAGCTACATACCATTACCTTGGAAAATACACAGATGCAGAGAAGCTGAACATTGAAGTTCTAGATGCAAGGAACAGAATACTTGGAGTGGAGCACCCAGATACAATCAAAGCTATGGTGAATCTAGGCGCAACATATCATCATCTGGGAAAGTACACAAAGGCAGAAAAGCTGAATATTGAGGTACTGGATGCAAGGAGCAGAATTCTTGGAGTGAGCCACTCAGAGACAATTACAGCCTTGTCAAATTTAGCAGTAACATATCATGACCTGGGAAAATATGCAGAGGCAGAGAAGCTGAAAATGGAAGTAATGGATGCAAGAAAGAGAATACTTGGAGTGGGACACCCAGATACAATCACAGCTATGGCAAATCTAGCAGTAACATATGATAGCCTTGGAAAATACACTGAGGCAGAGAAGCTGGAGACCCAGGTCCTGAGTGAAAGAAGTAGAATTCTTGGAGTGGAACACCTTGAGACAATTACAGCCATGTCAAATATAGCAGCTACATATCATAACCTGGGAAAATTCATGGAGGCAGAGAAGCTAAAGATTGAAGTTCTTGATGTAAGAAGCAAAATTCTTGGACTGCAACACCCAGACACAATTCTTGCTATGGGAAATCTAGCAGCCACATATCATAACCTGAAGAAATACACAGAGGCAGAGAAGCTGGAAATCCAGGTTTTGGATGTAAAGAACAGAATTCTTGGAGTGGATCACCGAGATACAATCCATGCCATGGAAAATCTGGCAGGAACATGTTATAAGCTGGAAAAGTATGCAGAGGCATTAAAACTGAACATTCAGGTTCTTGAGGCAAGGCAAAAACATCTTGGTGTGGAACACCCAGAGACAATCACAGCCATGTTAAATCTAGCAGCCACCTTCTATCACCTGGAAAAATATGTAGAGGCAGAGAAGCTGATCATTGAAGTTCTTGATGCAAGAAATAGAGTTCTTGGAGTGGAACACCCAGGTACAATCACAGCCATGGAATATTTAGCCACAATATATGGAACCCTGGAGAAACACACAGAAGCAGAGAAGCTGGAGGTCCTAGTTCTAGATGCAAGAAACAAAATTCTTGGAGTGGAACACCCAGAAACAATCACAGCCATGGCAAATCTGACAGCTACATGTAGGATCCTGGAGATCCAAGCTCAGCAAGCACAAAGCAGAGTTTCTGGAGGGGAGGACCCTGGCAAAATCAAGACTATATCCAATGTTGAAGAAGCTCAGAGTACTCAAGGTCCTGATGGAAGGAGCACAGTACTGGGAGAAGAAACTTCAGATTCCATACAGGTTTTTTTGGATCCTCCTGCAGCAGCAATTCTGCCAGATTTAACACTAAAGTCTGAGAAAAAAGGTATGTAGTGAGCTTGATTTATTTATTTTTCTTCTCACCAACTCCCACAATTATATGATCAGCACATTTCCTATCAACTCTCTCAAAGAGAATTTCAAAATTCAAGTCCAAGATAACACATTCATCTCATCAAAAGGAAACTCATCACAGTGGAAGTTTTGCAGGAACTAGTAGTTGAGTTACTTATTGTAATTGATTCCATGCTATTCAACAATATTCTGTTTCACTGGTATTTTGTACTCATCTCTTGATATATTTTTCAATGAAAATTATGTTTGACTGGTTTCATTGATGATTGATTTTATGTAGAGGTAGAGGTAGAGGTAGATGTATTCCGGAGCAGTCCCAATGAGGAACAACTAGCTTCCGACACACAACTGTAGCGTCTAAATACAATTGTGCTACGGAGTGCACCACACTGTCACTGTTGCGATCAGCCGACTGATGTACAGTCATCAACCAGTCAATGACACAAACATTTTTATTGACTGGATCACATCCCTCACACATCGGCTTCTCAAAAACTGAATTGTACAAAAGCTGATGAAGTATTTACACTATACAAATTAGTATTTTAAAACTTTTTATCTTGCCTACCTGTTGAGGACTGAATTTTTTGGTCAAAACAGCGCCAACACCATTCAATGACACAGTCACAAGTTACTTGATTGGGATGTGGCATCAAAAGTTGGTTTAACTTACATCTGAGAAATATTCTCCTCAAGGGACTTATGTTAGTTCACCTGGAGTTCTCAAGTATTGAACAGAGGTCATCCATGCATTTTAGGCTGTCAGCTAAGGCGAGGCGGAGGAAAGATTTTCATTTGACAAGTAAACCCAATTTGGATGTGTCACAAACTCTGTCACATTTGGTAACCCATCTCAGCATTGTTTCACATCTTTTCCTTGCTGACAGTCCCTACAAGCCACTACACTCCTAGATAAATTTTGATTATTGTACCCTATGTATTTTGTATTGGGGGACTGTCAAAATAAATCTCAGTCTTGAAGAGATCGTTGCCAGATCAGGGTAATGGAATTGTCAAAGCCTGATCAAAACCGATGAATAGAGCTTTTAAGGAGTTCAAGAGAGGCTCTTGCTTCAAAAAAAACACAGTCATATTGATATAGTATTCCCTTACAGTGATATAAAATTTCTAAGAGATGTGAGAAAAAATGGGGGAGCAAAACTGTTTTGTGTCATTGACCCAGCTGTGTCATTGACTGGTTGATGACTGTATGTAAGTATTTTACACTTTGCTCTCCTATCATGGTGGCTATTTTTCATTCATCTTTGATTGCTTTTGTAGACATGGATTGTAGAGATAAACTGAAAAATGGCTAGTGTGGGCCTGATACCTCTTAAAACTTTAAGGATAAGATGGAAGATGGAAAAAATGAAGTAGTATGTTTTTGGCATCCTGACAGCCTGACTCTTTCAGGGGATATTAGGAGCATGGAACCTTTTTTTTTTTCGGAACATCGCTGTAACTGTACCATTTGTTGCTGGCTTTGAAGCTATTTTGATGCCGTTGCCGCCAGAATGACGCGCCGCCGCACGATCGAACTTTTCATTTTACCCAACAAAAAAAGTCAGTATCGTCTCTCCTCTTCCATAGGCTCTTTCTCATATCTCGCACAGGTCCCTATACACTAGTCCCACATAATACACTGTGACAATGTCGACCGCCGCGCCCCAAGCTCTCCGCAAAATGCGCATTATATCCGTGCCCCTTACGCGTCCGACCCGCCACCCGCCCTCCACAGATAAGAATGCGAAGAGGATACTCACGTACTACCAATTCCAAATATCCGCGTCTAAGCCGGCGAGCACGGGTATGAGCACGTCGTCGTCAGGGTGGCTCCCCGAGGAGGGCATCGCGAATTGGATAACGAAAAAGGCGGGTAATACGTGGGCTGGGTTCGGGAAGGCGAAGGGTGGGTGGAAGGTGTGTTCTTTTTCGTTTTCTTTTTCGTGTTGTCTTGGGACGCTTATGCTTGGTGTTTCTTTAGCTCAAGACGTATCAGATGGGAGAACGTCTGGTGGATAGAATGGACTTTGAAGAGCTGGCATTGAAGAGTATAGATCCTTCGCTTGGTCCGTCTATTAAACACCCGGGCGGGGGACACGCGTTGGAGGGGAAAGGCAAGGAGAAGGGGAAAGAATCTGTAGCTTCAAGCGCGTCGGAGAAAGGAGAGGATTCGTTGGTGGTAAGCTGGCTATCATCCTTCTCTGCGAATTGCAAATCCTAAAACCGACGGATTTAGATCCCACTACTTTACCCGCCCTCACAAACCTCCTCGTCCGCCGCTCTGGCGCATCTCCGGCAGTACGTTGAGCATCGGATGCCTAAGCACCGGAGGGGCTTCTACACTTGGATGATCCTCACCCCATTCACCGCTCCATTCATGATCATTCGTGCGTTTCTTTGAGCTCCTTCCCAATTGAATTGGGGTCTAACGCTCGGTTCATTCTGATAGCGATAATACCCAATCTCCCATTCTTCTTCTGCGTCTGGCGGTCATGGTCACATTATAGAGGTTCGCTGCCTCCTTCCCTCCACACAATCTAGTCCTCATCCCATTGAACAGCCTATAAATCATCGCAATACCTACAAAATCTCCTAGAGAACAGCGTAATCGTTCCTGAAGGAAGCGAGGTGCTCGACGGGATATATAAAGAGTTTTCATCCGCCTCTTCTTCATCAAGTACAAGCACCACATCCAACACCGACCCTATCTCGAACGCCCAGCCAGCCTCCTTATCAGACACGAACCCGAACTCCCCATCACCTCCCCCCTCCAACTCCCCACCCAACCCCAACCCCAACCCTCCTCACCACCAACACAAACACACCCTCCTCCTAACGCGCGACGCCGTCCCACTCATCCTTGCAAAGTTTGGACTAAAAGAAAGCGCGGCGGGCGCGGACCTTTATAGGGCTGTTGAGCAGGCACGGGTGAGGGTTGAGAGTGGGCGGTTGGAGCTTTAGCTGGAGGATTTTCGCTAGCAAGTTGGGAGATGGTGAGCGTGCGTGCGTGACTGTATAGATGTTGTACCTGATAGAGCTCGGAGGTGAAGATGTAATATTACGGAAACGAGAACTCAAGTGGGTTGACGAGCGGTCGGATCTGATTGGACGTCTGAGTCGAGAAATTCGACAAACTCTCCTCAAGGCCGGCGGGTTCTCGAAAAACTCGTACCCGAGATATACGGCGGTGGAGTTCCAGAATACACGTTCTCTATCCAACTTCATCACTTTTCTGCATCGACTCCAGCGGCCTAAATCGAAATGGTATGAATATGCGACGTCTAAATTGAAGAGCCGGTGGATCTTCAGTTCCCTTTGAACATTCACATCTCTTATCACTTTCTGCACCAGGTAATCCGATATGCAGGCCGAGCAAAACCGAATATCTATCTACCTTCGCTCGCTGATCCGCTCGGAAGAGACTGCCAGTACCGGGCGCTCTCAAGGCCACTTCGAAGACGTTGTACAGATCCTCTGGAGTCTCTCCTTCCATATCAAAGGTCAAGAGTGCATCGATCCGGGAGAAGAGCGTGAAGTGTTCTTTACATGAATGTAAATACAAAGGCAGCTTATCACAAGCTGGAGCTTGCACTTGTGGTCAGGAATGGTTGGTCTTGATACTAAAGCATCTTCAAGTTATTCCTCTCACTAAGTTTATTGGCAGAACGTCATCGGGTCAAGAAGCGCAAAGGAAACTCTTGAGACGGATTCACTTCGATGATTGTGTGCATCCCAGAAATGTCACGTATCTGTCCGCCGAGGACATTGGTCCTCAGAATTCGTTGTAAAAGCATTTAAGAATAGTTCGGCCGCGAGCGTCGAAGACGACAAAAGACAACTGCACTGCGAGACTGGTATATTTTCTGCAACATCACGAATGCAACATCAAAAGGAACCTATCCACGCAACCAAATCCTCCCCCCACTCCTCACCACTCCCCGAACTAAGCGCTAAGACCGGACTGAGATGATCATGGCCATCCATGACCAACACATCGACGGTCCATCCCCTCTTCTTCCACTCTTTCGCAAAATTCCTCATCGAGGATGAGATAGCCCGAGGCTCACTCCCCGCTATATAGTTCCGCAACGGAGGGAGCGAAGCAACACGCGAAGGCTCTACCCTCCGAAGCATGCCCAGAGGCTGGTTTTGAGCTATTTTCTTTCGGTCCCCGTAGTACGTCTCGGCAACGGCATAAAACTTAGCTCGAGAGGGGTGTATTTCAAGTGGTACACCCATGAACGCAACGCCTCGTACGATGTGCGCTGCAGGGGACGATGCAAACAAGTCCGTGAGGAGGTATCCCGAGACGTGCATCCCGCCCGCTGAGTGAGCGAGGACGAACACATGGGTGGAATTGTCTTCCCCTAGAGAAGCGAGATGCTGAACAACCCAATCGAGCACGTCACGGACATCCTCGGATCCTTGAGGGTAAGTGACGCCTGGAACGAGACGGTAGTCGGGTATAACGGTAAGGATGCCTCGCGAAGCGAAGTAAGCCCCAAGGTTGTTGTATACGAGGTTGGAAGGCGGCGAGGAGCGAGAACCAGTAAAAAGCCCGCCACCGTAGAAGAAGACTAGGATTGGCGCAGCTTGAGCTGTGTTGTCCGTGTGGTTTGGCGGGTAGTACACGTCGAGCTGTTTGGTATTTAGATGAAGCGTCTCTGTCAATGCATTATACAACGCACCTTATGGGTTTCTATTGGGCCGTAATCAAAGGTTTTGCATACGATTGACTCGATCGCTGCACGATTTGCTTCAAGCAAGGGATAAGCTATGAAGTCGCAAGTTTGTTTTACCTTTGAACACAGAGCAATTGGCGAAATCCTTACTGCAATCAATGATCTCCTTCGTGCGTGGCGGGTAGGATCCTTGCAAGATATGTGCGTCCGACATAGTTGCGCAATTGTGTGGGCATGGCTGATTGCCAGCTGTATGTTGAATGTTGAATGTTGAACGTTGAACGTTGAAGTCAGGAGGAAGGAATCGCGTTGCTTGGAATGTCACAACAGACCTACTTTTCCGACAGACTGACACTCGCATTATAAAACAGTGGAATTATGTAGGTACTAAGTGGAAGTATTCTAGGGTATATATCTCCCGTATGAATGTACCAAAACTACAAGGGCGCATGCCCAGCACCAGAAACACAATACATTGGTCAACAGCCACCTTGTGTCCTACTAGAAGACAAATTCAGCAATATGTTCCCAAACATTTCTGGGTGGATCTTCTGGTATCTCGGTCTCATCTGGTGTGGGGATATCCTAAGAAGCAATGAGACGAATCCATGGTGAGCAGAAGGATAACTACCGTGACGAAGTCCCCATCCCTCGGGTGCACAATGTTGGTACCCATCGTGTATTTGAATCCAAAGTACAAAATGAAGAAAATTGGAATGTTGATGTCTGTATGGATTCAGTATGCCGACAAAATCCACAAAGGAAGCTTAAGCAACCCACAGGCAGCGAAAAAACCAGAAACATTGAATTTCCCAAAGAAAACAGTCAGGCCATTGATGAGCACGAAGATGGCCGACCATGCACAACCCCAATACGCCAGGTAAGGCTGCCACGGGTTAGGCTGCCACGGGTTGTGGTAGGCATTTTGCACGACATCGAATTCTTGTTCTTTCATTCCTCGATCTAACAAATGGTTGTCATGGCCGAGCAACATGAAACGTTTAACAGAAACGCACAAAAAAAGATATAGGTCAAATTCATCGAGAACCAACCAGAGAAGCCCGCTGTGGCCGAGAGGTACACAAACCAGCTAATAAAGTAGCTGAGTAAACGTATAGACGAAGAAGTTGGTTTGAACGAACTTGAAAACCCTCTCAGGTCCCGAATATATGTTCAAGAAGGAGAGGAGCGAGAAGCTGCTCTGTTGCAATGTTGAGGAACATGAACACGGAGCGTGATTACAAAAGCACTTACAGCAACAATAACGGCGTATATTGGAAGTCCATCCTTGGTACAACACGCAAAGATTCGAGGCGCTTGGCCACGGACGGCAAGACCGTGTAGGATGCGAGACGCAGAGTACACGAAGCTGTTTCCAGCTGAGAAGGCACTCGAGAAAATGGCGGCGTTGATGATGTGAGGAAGAACTAAACGATACAAGCAGTTGTTAGCCTGACACCAAGGCATAAGAACCTAGAACTGTACCTCTCACCCCAGCACGATTGATAGCGATGACGAATGGGGATTGAGCAGCAGTGCCACTATCTTGAGAGCAAAGTACGCTCAACAAAGGCGAGGTCTGAACGTACAAAAAACCATACTTTGAAGCAAGGCGGGATCATTGTACGCAACCAGCATTCCGACCATGATGATACCTAGGATCTATGAGAAGTTAGAAAACAGCGAGGGAAGCCATAAGAATACTCACATAGAAGGTGATAATGCGAAAGAGGACCCGGCGCATCGCCTTAGTGATGTTACGGCGGGGACTTTCAGTCTCAGCAGCAGCACTATAAAGATGATGGTATCAGCATAAACTCCTCGCCAAGATCGTACGGGATACTTACATTGCGACCAGCTCCATTCCCTGAAACGAGAAAGCAGCTTGCACAAGGACGGATAGAATCGCAATGAATCGGTCAGTGTGAAGATTCTCCACAAGCCCTGCGCGAGCAACTGCTCCGGGATCATTCCAGTACTGGAAGAAAGTTTCTTTATAAGATTTAGCATTAGAAGTGGTTGATTCCACCTACTCCAAACCCAATACGGTGTCCCTCCGGGCCTTTTCTGAGGTCAATGATAAGCCCAGAAATAAGTAGCCCGATGAGCAGTAGGACTTTATGTGTCGTCAGCATCAAGAAAGTCAAGTTACAGACAAAACTGCGCACTTTTGATCATGGAGAACGCGAACTCCGCTGAACCCGTCAGCGCTTATTCAGCGGGGGGTACATTCAAAGCCGGGAAGCGGACATACATTCTCCAAACCACCTTTGAAATAACATCAAGAAGTTGAAATAACGGGACTATGACTGGCTTACCGAACACCAACGATGTTCACCAGACACGCGAAAACACAGAGAACCTGTATACGATCAACACCTGCGACAGATGGAGTTTCATGATGATCTTACAACCGTGTAGATGACAGCATGGCGGGTCTACAACTTTTCCGTCAATGATAGTCATTCAACGTTGTTATTCATCACTCACATTTTTATCCCAAAACGTGAGGAGGATGACTGCCGCATTTATTTCAACGGGCGTCGAGATGCTATGTCAAGTTGAGCGATGTGTGCTTGTTATCAATAAGGGGAGCTTACGCAGTGCCGTAGAAGTAGTTCTAATCAAACAAATAGTGAGGCTGTAATTAGCTTGAGGAAAGTCGTGAACTTACCCACCCAACGGCGAAACCAAGAGCGGGGTCCACCCATCGCTCAGCTGAAGTTATCATCAACATTGTTCAACCGCAAAGTTGAGTTGGTTACAGACCAAAGTAAGGGAAAGTGCCCAAGACGGGCGCCCATGTTGTCATCTCGCAAAGGGAACAAAATGACCTAGGAGACTTGATTTCGACTTCCAAGACATCCGAGCATCGAAAATCCACTTACGCGTACGCGACAGTGCCAACATGAAAATATGCTATTAAGGCCCCCAAAGGGCCAGCGCCACCCAATGTACGACCAGAACCAAGGAACAAGCCTGTTCCAATAGTCCCAGCAATCTACACGAAATGCGAGTGTTAAGCAAAGATGGCTCCGCTGGAGAATGAATACTTGCAGCAATCCTAATCATCGTATTCAGTTTCGTAGAGTGGAAGGTAAGAGAAGCACTTAGCACCTACATCTGAACATGGCGTTGCTTGAGCCGCCGTTGGACGTGGTAATCGAGATGGGCCTCAAAAACATACCTACATCAAACTTATGGTCAGCGGGTTTGATCAGTGTATTCAAACAACGTACCATGGGCGGGGGTTAAGCTCAAACGCGTCGGCGTGGTCCATCTCGAACGCGATTGCTTGGTCTGTCTCTTGCGAACTCTGATCAGATTCGCCGCCTTGACTGAGACTTTGTTCTTCTACGTCGGACATGATGGGAAGGTTTGAAAGGAAAGGTCGGATTGACAAGCAAATTGAAGAGTGTCGCCATCTATAGCTATTTGAGCATTGACCAAGGGATGTTGTGTGCCTAGTTCCAACACCTGCAGAGTGATTGACGCTCGATGCTTTAAATAAACGATTGAACGCTTAAAACCGCATCTAGCGCATTAAGAAAGACGAACCGAGACCTACCGAGACTTACCAGAAATTCAGGAACCGTGCGAAGCCACAACCTATTAATGTCCTTCGATGGGAATGATGATCTACAAGCCAATTGTTGGATCTCCAAAAGTACAAAGGAGAGAAGATATCGTACCCCAAGTCCAATGGTTTACGTATACTCACAATCTAGGGGAAAGCCCTTTAAAGGTCAAGATCAGGAAATGATCCAGGTTCCTTCAGTCATGCTAGAAAGGACTCAGGAAACACATTTGGACGTGTGGGAGGTAGCCAATGTGAGAGCTCTTTTGGAGCTCTTTCGCAATTGCGAGACTCTGGTAAGAGGAAGTTGGCTAATACACCTATGATTTGTATTCCATAAGAAGTACTCATAAATAAAAATTGAACGTACAAGATCATCCCGCTCAGACTGATGTGCCGTCGCATTCCAAGTCTACACCGCCAAATGATAAAAATGTGTGAGAGACCTGGAAGCCAGGGCCTGATCCCGAGCCTGCGCCACCTGTCAGACTCAGTAAAAACGAAAGTCAAGTCAAGTCATGGACCTCTCGCAAGAAGGTCATGTGAAGTCATGTTAGGTCATGTTGGTAAATTCAAAGTCATGTGGCGCTCGGGGATTGCTCAGGGATGTATTTGCTACAGGTTCACGGCCTGACTGAAGTCAAGGAATAGTCAATTACATGCCGTGTTGTAGTCTAGTCGTTGTCAACCGAATCACTATCATCTTGCCTTCGTCTTCTTACAGCAACAGGACAATTTGTCTAAGTCCGTTGAAACTCCGACATCAGCTGATCACGTTGAATTTCGACAGCGCGAGAATCCTGTTCTTCCCAAGTTCTTCCTTCCCCCCATATCGACGTCGAGAGGTCCAATTCACAAGTCGACGGATGGCCTCCTAGCCTCCTCCCTTCTTCGACGGGTGGCCGCCTCTCCTAACGGACGGTCTCCTCCCATGTATTACCAAAGGCCTCCTTCCTCGACGCACGGCCTCCTCTCTCGACGACGAACGGTCTCCGAACGGTTTCCTCCATCAACGAACTGATTTCTCCCTCGATGAATGGTATCCGCTCGATCAACTGTGTTCCCTCGCTGTCCTCAACGAACTGTCTTCTGTCGTTGAATGGTATCCCCTCGACGAACTGTCGTCTTCCTTGATGAACTGCCCCCTCCCTTGATGAATGGGCTCTCGGCCCCCCCCTGCCTTGATGAACAGTCTCCTCGGCCTCCCCCGACTTCACGGTCTCCTCCCTCCTTCGACAAATGGCCTCCTCGCCGCTCGAGGTTTATGATTAGGAGATGAGAATTTGGACTTCAAGTGGTTGATTCCAGCTAGAAGGGCCTATATATAGCATAGTCAGGACTCAGTAGGCTTGGAGAATTAATGATTTTACATTGACATGACTCCGATGTGGTGCTGAGAATACTGTTACCTGAGGTTGAAGAGAAATACACGACTAATCAAATGACCTGAGCATGACGGAATGAGACTATTATATGACTGTAGCATGACTGTTTTCTGACTTTTATTTGACTATGGAAGGACTCTGAAAAGACAACTACATGACTACCAAATGACTGTAACCTGCAGATGGTGGGCATTAACAGACGAGACCACACGACTTAACACGACTTGGCGAAGTCAACTTGAAGTCAAAATTTTGTAAAAAAGACTGCTTTTAGTCATGTCGTGCATTTTCGTGTAGTAGCGTGACTACCATATGACCGAGACATGACGAATCGTTTTTACTGAGGGTCATTCGACGCGATTGGTAGATGGACGTTCGACGTGGTTGATGGATGGGCGTTCGACGTGGTTCGTGGATGGGCGTTCGACGTGGTCCGTGGAGGTGGGTATTTGACGTGGTTCGTGGTGGTGGTCGGCACTCGTCGCCGTTCGTTGACAGGTGCTGGGCCCTCATTGGAGGTGGTGGTAGTTGCAGCCCTGGTTGCCGTTCTTTGACGGTGATGCTGGGCCCTTGTTGCTGTAGGTGGTGGGCCGTTGGTTGATCGTTGTATTCATTCGTTGATGGTGGTAGACTGTGGTGGGCGCTCGACGTGCCTCGTTGATGGTCGTGGGCGCTCGTCACCCTTCATTGACGGGGGTCGTGGGCGCTCGTTGATGGTGATGTATGGCAACAGGGATCAGCCAGCTTCAAAATCACGGCTAAGACCGATATTTGTACACTGCCGATCATCAATGCCGAAGTTAACTATAATTATTAAATTATGTAACTACTAATATAATATCGCCCATCAAATATTTTCCTCTGGTTATCGATTACAGTGTCTTTCACTGCCGTTTGCACACATGAATCGTAAATTTTATGTTTGCTTCTGTTGTCCTCAGGGTTTTTTTGTCACACATTGGCCCAGAACGGATGAGTTGATCTTGGGGATCTTGAGTGAACCAGTGTCCGACCTCACTCTAGCCTAGTGTTTGGAAGTCCGGTCTCGTGACTGGAAAAAGACCGTAACCAGACCGGACCAAGACCGCAAAAGACCGGACCTGCGGTTACGGTCTTTTATTTTTGAAATGTAAAGACCGCAAAAAAACCGGTTAACGTGAACCGGTCTTGACCGGTTTGGACCGGTCTTTTGCAGCCCCTTAAATACCCTTTAAAACGCACCCAAGAACGTACGATTTGGTAAAAAAACGAGAGAGATATGAATTAAAATGTAAATTACTTTTGGGAATAATAGATGTACCAGACTTATTTTATAGAAGCACCAATTCCTAACGGAATTTAACGTTCTTGGGCTCGTTTTGAAGCTATTAGAGATGTTAATAAATTTACCGATTCATAATTTTAAAATATTGGCCTAAAGACCGGTCATAAACCGGTTAAAACCGATGCAGACCGAAACCGGTCTATAGACCGCAAAAAACCGCGGTCTGCAGTCTTTTTGCGGTCTGGTCTGGTCTTTTGACTTCTGGGGAAAAGGCAGACCGGTTACGGTTACGGTTAACGCCCCTGGGCATCAAAAAACCGGACCGAACCGGACTTTCAAACACTACTCTAGCCCTTGCCCATGGAAACTCAGGTCTCTGGATACATAATCATCTGGCATGAAGCAGAATCCCTTTCTCCTTGTGAAATTGCTGACCTTGCAGATGTTCAATTTGCCGTGACAAAAAACCCTGAGGGTAACAGGTACAACAGAAGCAAATACGAAATTACGATTCACGCTGTGCAAACGGCAGTGAAAGACACTGTAATACGACGATTATCGCCAAAGTGTGCAATCCAACATGCCTACTATTTGTTTTGTCACTGTACAATGACCATGTTCACCTTCTAGTCTTCATTGAAACTGGAAACTTTTAATTTCTAGCGTCGCGTCTGAATCAAGACTGCCTTCTTAATTACTTCTCTTCCTCCCATGGTCTCAAGCTGTGTGCTCGACTTACATACCATCAAAAGTATCAAAGAAAGCTCTTCATCAAACTCACCAGATTGCCCCAAGATTGCCTGAGTCACCCGACATCTAGTACGTCGATGATGAGGCGCGTCCCTACTTAGATTTGGCAGATGTATAAGAAACGCGAGGCATCTTTTTGAATGGCTGAGGAGGATCTCACGAACGACTGGAATAACCTCATGCATGACATTGAACATCATTTTCTTTGCTGCATCTGACAATACTGTACAATTACGACCAACTCTTCATCAATTTGGGATTTTTTTCTCACCAAGATGGCCGAAAAATTTTCTTTTGATTTAAGGCGAATAAAAAAAAATACTTTCTTCCCCGATGTGATGCGTGACGTGAAGACTTGGTCGTATTTGTACAGTACTGTTGACAAAAACCTGCCCCAGCACCTTTTTAATGAAGTTCAAGCAGCCGACGTCTCCATGCCAATGCTGTTAACCACATCATTGTTGAGGCATTTCCGCATGTCTGGCCGTGGAAAAGGTGGATAGGTAGGCTTCTGAGAGCTTCAGTGGCAATTGCTGATTTAGTCTGATAGATATTCCCGGGATTCGGAAAGGCAGAGCTCAAGTGCTTCTTTGCAATTATATTTCCCCCACTCATTCACCCACCGGTTTCATAGGTACCACTGGCACGAAACCTGCTATACGTCATCTTGCTTGTTGTGGACATATTGCAGGTCTTATCAAGAGGAGACTTGCGGTGTCCTGATGTGCTGTTACTTTGTTTGTTACCACTCCAGCGTTTCTGGCCCTCTTTGACTCACTTATGTACACAGAACATGCTAAGCGAATGACAATGACAGGACTCGATGTCATATGCACACTGAAACGTTCAAAGTGCACACAATATGGTTTTGGTGCATAAGCCCACCTAGTACCTACATCAGATTTTTGTTGTGAATTTGTTTGCTCTATTGAAGTTTTGAGATGCACAATTAGGCCCAACAGCAGGAGGGGTGAAAATTACAGGTATGTGGTTTTGTCTTGTTCGTCTTTTGTTGGCTGCTAATATGAATGATGCTCCATTCTCTTACATGAACGGTGGTCTCGACTATTTGCCCTGTTTTGGTCATTGGCCGTAAGCCTGACACACACCTCACATTATGCATTGTTTCTGAGCTCTCTTTTTGTTGGTTCCTCCACCAGCTTTCCTGAAGTTGCCACTTTCAATGCCTCAATGCCTTATCTCCAACTTATCTCCTATAGTGTACTCGCCATATGACATGCTCTCCAACAGCCCTCCCCTGTAATACGCGGTCGTTTTTAGCTCTATCATAAAATTATGTACATAGGAAAGTTTTATTCTTACGAAAATTCAATCATCTGTTGCGGGACAGCAGGAAATATTTTGATGGACAATATTATATTAGTAGTTAATTATAATTAACTTCGGCATTGATGATCGGCAGTGTACAAATATCGGTCTTAGCTGTGATTTTGAAGCTGGCTGATCCCTGTTGCCATAGTGATGCTGGGCCCTCGTTGTGGGAAGCGGTGGTGGTTATTGGCCCTCATCACTGTTTGTTGATGTGGTGATGGGCCCTCGTCGGTGTTCGTCTGGGGTTTGATGATGGTGAAAGGGACAATGGGCTTAACAAAAGCCCAGAGCAGTGACAGATGGTAATGACCGCGCACAGGCGCATGGGTGTGGAACAAGGACAACCAAAAAAACAACATGAGGGAGTTCACAGGAGGGCATAGACCACTGGGTAGCAGAAACGCAGGGTTTAGGAATGAGGATGGGAGCAACTTGGCAACCAGGCAAGGGGGCAGTGACGGTTGTGGTGAAGAAGAAAGCGAGTTTGGGTTGAAGTTGGGTTGAAGTTCGGAAATAACCAAACATAGTGTGGAGTTTAAAAGACTTACAGAAATTTTTGAGAGCTTGTCGCACGGGCCTTTTCATGTTGAGCTCAAAATTCCCCCATTCTTTCCACCTGTAAAAACTTGGGAGTGTCCATTGTATCATTCTATTACTTTCTTACGATTAATTTGTATCTTAAATACACTATTTTGTTGCCCGAAGAAAATCGGCAGTACATGTCTCCCCAAGAAGAGTCGTAAACCTGTGGGTCAGCTGTCGAGCCGCTGGGGCTAACATTTACGCCCCAAGCTCCGACACACCTGCCATCCATGCCGAGGAAACCTCCATCAAAAACCTGTCAAAGCGGAGATTCGTGCCAGATGCCATCAGCATTTCGAACATTTGGCGGTGTAGCAGGGTGTAGCGGAACAAAGAGCCTTCAGATTGGCGCAACCGTCCAGCTAAGGCATGGCATGGGACTTTGAAACCCTATGTTAGGGTCCGTTTTGCAGGGCACCCGTAAATCAGAAAGTATGGGGGTCTGTATAGAATGTTCAGCAGTTGGCCAGCACGGAAAGGATGCCAGAAGGGAGAAGGCAAAGGAGAGGGTTGCAAGAGATATAGGATGTTCAACCACAAATCACGGCCAATCAATGTAGAGTAGCGGCGACGACGTTCAAGTTCAGCATCGCTGTAAATCGGTTAGTAAATGGTGTGGAGCAGTACTGAGGACACATACCGCGACATAAATAGCCCCAATACCTCATCCTTTCACTCGCCTAGCCGGAATCGATGATGGGTCCTTTGCTTCCCTCCTAATGGGCCAAGATTGAAGGCCGTTATGACGGCGTGGAGGAGGATGCGCTAGTGAAGGAGGGAGGGGAGAGAGGGTAAGCGATGGGATAAACTATAATAGTGGTATCATGGGCGACAGCGGCGAGAGGCAATTGCAAAGTGGCGATCCCCTTCTGTGCCAGGATTATCTTCACGCTCAGAGGCGTCCCCCATTCAGCTGGAGCCCCGCTTTCCTGGAAGATGGAAGCCGCCAGTGAAAGGTTATTATCTTGCATTGGAGAGATTTGGCGCGTCGTACTGATGCGGTCGAAGCCCGTGAGGAAGCAGTGGCTGGAGGACGTGAAGCAGTCACTGGTCAAGCTTCGAGAACTGGAAAAACGTGAGCTGAGAAAGGCACCATGAAGAACAAACGCACCTCGTCGTAATATCAAAGACTGAAGATTGCCTCGAGTCAGGAAAAGAAACCCAACTATCTGCTCGTCGTGAGGGCTGTGACTCGACGTTGCTATGGGACTTTGCAAGAGATTCTGTCGTTTAAGTCGATATTGATCAACGTCAATGGCAAGGTCGATGGTCAGAACCTGCCGTGCTTCAAGCTTGGCCTGGAAATATTGCCATGGCCGTGAATCAGATCACCTGATTCGCAGGTCTTCTCTCACCCCCCCAAGTTCAAACGCGTCCATCGAGATTCGACGCGCCATTTTGATTCCAAGCAGGATGCGGGTCAACTTGCCGGGGAGTTCCGCTGCGCTGGCGGCGACAATTCATTGACAATTCACCGATTCGGGTCACTCCCCAATACCAGATGCAATGCCGAAGGGTTGGATGCCTCAAGAGTGCGTTGGAGGAAATGTGAGACGCTGAAGGCCGGCGTTAGGACACAAAGATGAAAGGGGGAACAAACAATCTCACACAAGGATGTTGCAAGGATGCAGAATCCAGCAGAACACATGACGGAAAAAAGCTGGTTAAATTAGTACAGTGTTAACTATAGTGTTTGGTGTTCTAAAAAATATATCTAGCAATGGATATCCAAATATTAGCAGGCGGAACTTCTGGAACCTCAGTTTCCTCCCGGTCGGGTATGTCCTGTCAAGAATCATTATGCTGGAGTTAGTAACCTGAAGAATAGAGAGAGAAAAGGGCCTACGCTAACAAAATCCCTTTCCAATGGCGTCCAGACCTTGGTTCTTTTTACACACTTGTACCCTAAGTACAAGCCAAGGAAAATCAGAATGTTGACATCTACTTAGCATGATCAATCCAACACAAGGAGACCCTGTATAAGGAAAGACTCACAAGCGGCGATGAATACAGAAATATTGAATTTGCCAAAGAAAACAGTAAATCCATTGATAAGAATAAAAAACAGAGTCCATGCACAACCCCAGTATGCCAGAAAAGGTTGTAATCTATTCCTGTATGCATTTTCGTTGAGATCCCTTCCTTGCACTTGAATCCCTTGATCTGTAGGTATGGCAAAAGTTAGCACCAATCATACAAGTTGAAATTAAACATACAGAAGAGGATGTAGGTCAAGTTTGTAGTAAATGAACTACAGAATCCTGCTGTGGTCAAAAGGTGGACAAGCCAGCTGTGAATCGAGTTAGCTATCATAATCAAGTATCAAGTTGAAGGTTAGGCATACTTGAAGACGGTCTCAGCTCCTGATTTTACATTGATGAAGGAAAGCAATCCAAGTGTGCTCTGATTGAAAATTAATGTATATGAAACTCAAAGATAAACCAAAAAAATACTCACAGCAACAAGAACAGCATTCCGAGGGAGTCCATGGTCAGTACAGGATGCCAAAAATTGAGGTGCCTGCCCGCGAACGGCAAGACCATAGAGGATACGAGATGCACAAAATAAGAAACTGTTTCCAGCTGAGAAGGCACTTATTAAAATGGCACCATTGATAATGTGGGGAAGGCCTGAAAATTACAGCCATAGTTACTACTCCGGTGAAATGATCAGGTAACTGGACTGAGGATCACACCTTTAATTCCTGCATGATTCATGGCAATTACAAATGGGGATTGAGCTGCAGTCCCAGTATCTTTATGTTCCAGAAATTTGCTGAGCACAGTAGACCCCAAGATGGTGTAAAAAATGTACTTTGAACCAAGGCAGGATTATCATATGCAACCAGCATTCCTACCATAATGATACCGAATATCTGTGAATAATGAGAACAAAATAAACAAAAGGATGGATCATTACTCACATAGAAGAACAGAATGCGATAAAAAACTCGGCGCATTGCCTTAGGGATGTTACGGCGGGGACTCTGGGTCTCTGAGGCTGCACTACAAATACAGGCTAGATGTTAGCCCCATGCAGAAACCTTTGGAGAACACACATTGCAAATAGCTCCATTCCCTGGAAGGAAAAAGCAGCCTGAACAAGGACAGATAGAACTCCAAGGAATCTATCAATATGAATATTATGAACAAGCCCTGCACCAGCAAGTGCTCCAGGGTGCGTCCAGAACTGGATACGGTACCTCGTCAACTTCAAAAGAAGAAAAAAAGATATTCTGCTTGGACATACCCTGAATCCGATGCGATCCCCTTGGGGTCCTCCTCCAAGATCAATAACAAGCCCAGCAACCAGGAATCCAATAATCAGAAAAACTTCAGAAAGACAAGGTGTTTCAAAACGGAATTCGAGATCAAGAACAGCAGAAGGCCATACTTTTAATTGTGGAAAAAACAAATTCCGCTAGATTGGGCAATTAGATTAAACACAACAAACTTTCAAAACCAAACCCACTTTCTCCAAACCATCTTGAAAACGTCAGCAAATATCTAAAGGAGGAGCAACGTGATTCATCTTACCTTACGCCAAAGAGGTTTATGACACAGATCAGGACGAAAAACACCTGTGTTCTGCCATCAGCACATTGAATGGATTGGATAACATCAAAGTCTCACAGCCGTGTAGATGGCCGCGTGATTGGTCTAGAAGTGAACCGTCAGCAGGTTCTTCCATTCCTGTAATTGAATACTGAACACTACATTTTTATCCCAAAAGGTCACCAGGATAACGGCTGCAGTGATTTCAACAGCCGTAGAAATACTGGGTTAAAATCAGACACCAGCATCAGCGGTCAATAGCGGCAACCTACGCGCTGGTGTAGAAAAAGTTCTAGGTAAACGCAGGAACTAAACGTTGTTTTCTTCGGCTAACGAGTAGTCGACTTACCCAACCAACAGCGAATCCAAGCGCAGGATCTACCCATCGTTCAGCTAGAATCCACGTCAGCGACACAACCTACCTCCATTATCGATGTGATGGACGCACCGAAATGGGGGAAAGTTCCTGAGATTGGAGCCCATGTTGTCATCTCACAGAGGGAGCAGAGCGACCTGCGTAAAATTTAGTTTGCGTCTATGCCAAGGAAATGGGGTTCAACTTACGCATACGCGACGCTGCCAACGAGGATGTACGCTATCAATGCTCCCAAAGGACCGGCCGTGCCCAACGCTTGTCCCGAGCCAAGGAACAGGCCTGTTCCAATGGTCCCAGCAATCTACAGGGTGCGAGCGCAGGTGCTGAGCAAAGAGCCGATCAAGGTAGAACACGACTTACAGCGATCCTAATGAGATAGGTCTGTAAGCCAAGCTCAAAGAAAAGTAGAGATGTGCCCACATCTGAATATGACGCTGTTGAAGGCGTCGTTGAACACGGTGGACGGGTTGAGCGACATGATGCCCTCTATATCCTCGTCAGTGGCAGGCTTGACGTCAGCGAATTGAAAATCGTACTGAGGACGACGTTGAAGCTCATGACCATCAGATTGTCCTGTTTGCACTGAGCTCTGATCGGACTCGTTGTCTTCGTTTTCTCTCTGGGGGTCGAACATGGCAAGAAGAGAGGTAGAAGACGGGAAAAAGATCGACGGCGAGCGTGCGAATGTCCTACAAAAGAAACGCCCATATGAACACCTGCTGCCAACCAAGTCACCAACGTAAAGTCTTGTAAGGGGTGAGAGTTAATTGACGGCTTTACAGCAAGATGCAAAAACGTAGACACCTCTCCAAATTTCCCAGACTCCGCCTCGCTTTGTACAAACAACCGCTTTAGGAAATGAGCGGGTGCGAGTGACGCTTCTCGCTCCACCAACCTCCACTTCGTGCATTCGCTAGCGTCTCATTTTCCTATCAACCCTCGTAACAATGAGATGCCGTTTTTGTTCGGCAGATATAAAGCGGTAGTTCCCTGACATATTTGAAGATGGGAAAAGAGAAATTATATAGAAGTACCATATTTGTAGGAGTACAGTCATTTACAGGTCCTCGATACACACAAATAAAGACAGGCCTCGGACAAATGTATTAAGACAGTAAAGTACAATCTAACTATGCAGGATCATTACTTAGTACATACATACATGTAATTGAGACCGAAATTGACTATCTACAGAGAGCAGAGGGAGGATGAAGTTAATCTGTTCAAAAGTTGCTTATCGCGGAGAATTATGTCCTCGATACGGCCGTCACATCAGGCGTGACACCCAAAACGGCTATGTCTGATTAGATCACGATGAGATCATTCCTCGTCCTCCTCACCGCTCTGAGTGTCGTCGTCGCTCTCCCTGCCAGGTTCAATGGGTTTGACATCTTCAGCATCATCTGCAGCAGCAGCTTGTTGAAATGCACCCTTCTTTGTCCAAGTCTTGGGCTTTTGTGGCTCAGCTTTCGGCTTGCTCGGTTTCTTCCACCTGGGTCTCTCGCGCACTTCTTTTGCCCTGTCCCGCTCGAATGATCTCGTCTGCATGTTCCTTGAGGCACCTATTGCTGAAGGGAAAGTTCCGTGCAGCCATCTCGAGAGCGTAGTCGATGAGAACAGTTGCTTCAGTTTCTGTAAGCCAGCTCTTCTCGGCATTGAAGTCAGACAACTTTGTTCCCCCATGAGTATGCTTCCAGAGAGTACTGTGTGATAAGGTAACATGTTGCCCAGTCTTTTGCAGATGCGCGGCACTGATTCGGTCGCAAATTGTACGAAGACCAAGAGGCTTGCCATTTTTGCCTGTAGGAGTTTGTTGTTCCTGTTTCTCCATTTCGGTTGCCTCGTCCTGGAGCAGAGATTTAACTTTGGCTGCAGCCGCAGCTTTGTAGAGTTTGGAACGTGCATGTTTCATCGTGCAGGGATCAAGCTACAGCTGCTGAAGAAATCCAGTTGCGTCGAGGATGACACTTTGCTGGCAATTCCCCCATTTGGAAGGTGTGACGTGACCGATGGAATTCTGCTTACACCTCCTCAAATCCTCACATCTCCACTCCGAAGCCTCCATCTGTGCTTTTGATGTCAGTGGCAGGTAGGCTTGAGTGTATAAAGAAGGGTTCCTGCTTGAAAAAATAGATGGTAGTCCGGATTGTTTTGAATGACATGTTCAATATTTCACAAATGTCCAAATCTCGACAGATTATACTTCCAACATTGCTTCACACAAGCACCCACCTCGAAAAGCGAGGGCTACATAGACATAAAGTACATATACTAGTAGGAAAAAAAATTAGGACAATTGGAACACTGGATGTGAAAATATCTGGGTTTGTATCGAGGACCTATCCTGTATCGAGGACCTGTAAATGACTGTATATATAATAAAATGGCGTGCCATGCAAGCGCCATGAAGTCACTATGACGCGTCGTGCGGCGGAGTTGCACCAAATGCGGTTGTTTGTACAAAGCAAGGCGGAGTCTGGGAAATTTGGAGAGGTGTCTACGTTTTTGCATCTTGCTGTAATGCAGCATTCATTCCCGAGGACCTGAAAGATAACCACGGGGCTGCATTCCTGAGGCACACAGGAATGGGCTTTCTATGGAGTGCGATCGTTCCACGAACCCTCGCGGCTTAACCTCCATGACATTGATGATGATCTTGCATTGTCGAAACCAGCTCGGGCGCAAATCACGATAAATTCGGGATGGCCGCATGATTCCTGCTCTTATTCAACACGCAAGACCCAGAGGATATTCAGAGCCAAAGTTAAGTACGCACTTTGGAAATAGATGCCACTGATCGCAAGATCCTCCTCATATCGATTTTCGATGCAACCCACTGCAGCCTATTCTGTTCTTCTTTCAGCATGTGCAGCATGAAGGGGATGTCATAAATATCCACACTTACTAGCAGTGCAAGTGCCGACGCATGGTAGCAACCAAGCTGGGCTGCATATCCAGCCTCCACCGTTGTGCGAGTCGCACCATCTCGGGTGAAGACCCCCTTTGAACTCGATCAGCTCAACATTCAAAGTTCTCCAGAGCCCAGCGGCGTCGAGATGAGACAAATGTAAGCATTTATGGACAGTTGTTACATCGCGTTCAAGTTCATCAGTAGAATCACAAAACCGCTTTCAGCCGCTTTCGCCGCTTTTGAAAGCGTGAAAGCGTGAAAGCGTTTCCGCTTTTGGAAGCCAAGTCCCTTTTCTTTCAAAAGCGGTTTCGGCTTTCAAAAGGGACAAAAGGGGCTGCAAGTGGTCCAAAAAGGGACCACGAAAGAGGTACAGCTTTTCAAAAGGTGACTTAAAGAGGGTTTGAAAGAGGGTTCAAAGCAAATAGATTTCTAATATTTGTAAAACAATGGTGCTGATTACTACTAGAACGACGTGACCCTCCAGTCCATCCTCATCATGATCCGCTAACGCAATATCAAACTGTGGCCTGGAGAACCATCGCCGAAGTAGTCTATTGACGCCGAACACCTTCAATCAGCCCTAGGATATCGGCGTGCTTGCCTATGATAGCTTGAGCGGCATATTGTGCTGCAGCTTGTGAGGGGTCCTGGAAGAAGTGGATGTGCCGGACGAGTTTGACGTTGGTCATTTTGTGAGATGCAAGCATGTCAAGGAGGAGAGGCTGTCGGTTTCGATGGTCGGTATTTCTTCGTCAGCTTTCAAACCAAATCACAAATGAGGAGGACGAACCTACGTGCGATGGTTGGGTATATGCAGGCCGTGAAGCACCTTCACGTGAACTGTGTTGGATGTGAGCACGGATGACGGCCTGGGATGGGTATTAGTTCTGGACTAGAGTAGAGCTCGGAAAAAGGTAGAAGAGGGGTGCGTGACAAAACGAGGGATGGAAATCGCCAGGGGAGAATGGCAGGGATGTGTAGGAGGGAGAAACGTCACAGGCTCCACGTGGGATGATGGGCAAAGAGAAGAAAGAGAAATGAAGCATAGCATACCGTTTCCACATTCCCTCACCACCTAAATTCTGCGACTCGCCATGGCATTGAACGCTCGTCAACTTCCAGCACGCCTATGCCCGTTCCTGTACTATCGAGCTCCAATCCAGATGTTGACGACTGGGAAATCTCAGACTCCGATACGAGTGGTATAAGGACGTTGTTCAGCAGAGGTAACAAAGAAAGCCTTACCAAGCCCTCAATAGGCTCGCCGACGAAGCCTGTGTGAGCCCTCTGGCAATGGGGATAACCCTTGAGGACAGCATGTTGTCGGGGGGAGTGGTTATGGCGGTTGTGGTGGGTGGTGAGCTTTGTGGATTGGCATTATGGTGCCCCCTGTAGCGTTGCTATGAAGGATGGCTGGTTGGCATGCAAGAGACAGCTGCGATTCAAACTGATCGTAAGTGGGAGTGTTTGTCGAGATGAGGAAGAGAACTTACAAAAAGACAGACGTTATACCCCAAGAGTGGACGACGTCGACCACTAATGAAAAAGAATGGGAAGGGAGAGTGGTGCGATGTTCAAGGAAATAGAATTCGACATTATCACATGATGTCGGAGTTCCAACGGACTTTACGAATATTTTGTCCTCACTCTCAAATCCCTCCAATACCTTAGATTCCTCCAACTCTTTTTACGTTAATAAGTATGTAGATCATCATGCACACGAAGTAGCCTTCTAACATATATGTTGATCCACTGTCTAAATTCCTAAAGAGGTGAAAGCTGTTGAAAGCCAGAAAGCTATCACAAAGAGGTCTCAAAGTGGAAATGAAAGCGTCGTGAAAGTGAAAGAGGCCAAAAGTGAAAGTAAAAGCACTTCTGAAAGTGAAAGAGGCCAAAAGTGAAAGTGAAAGAGCTTGTGATTCTACTGATGTTGAGGAGATCTCGGCACCAACTTGAGACGTCATGTCATCATAAAAGCTCAGGAGGAACTCGATAACCAAAATGAGAGGGTGCTGGAATGTGGGATGAGAAGAAGAACACCGAAGTGCTGGCAGGAATTGGGCAGGAATAGAGAGCAAACCCACCCTATCATGATAGAGTCGGCGTTGAAATTTGAGAATCGGCTTGGCTTGAGTTTGAAAAGGAAAACTCGACAATTGACTCGTCTTCCGCGCCGAGAGACGTCACTGGGAGAGCAAACTGAGAGAGAGCCAGAAGAATGTGAGCTGGCCGTGATTGGGCGCGAGTTGGTCAAGTTACTGTTGGTTGGAAACCGTGATCAAACTTTGCTTCAAACTTCATCGGTTTTGCTGGTCAGTCGGCTGATCGCAACAGTAACAGTGTGGTGTGCTCCGTAGCATCGTTGCACTCAGACCAGACTCAGACGCTACAACCGTTTCAAGTTCCTCATCGAGAGGGCTCCGGAATTTATACCTCCACCTCGATCATCACGCGAAGGTATGCTGTTCGCGAATTGCGACCCTCTTTCATTCCCAACCACCATGCTTATCATTGTCAACTTGATAGGTTCCTATTGCTTGGTTTTCATTTGGTGAGGTCTCATCCACATTGGTTGACGGGAAGCACAGAGAATCGTTGACGCGACAATATGAAGATTGCCATATTGTCCATTCGAAGTTCAAGGTCGTGTAGACCGTTTCTCGTGAGTCCATCACGTCGATTCGCCGACTCTGTGGCCTGACAAAGGAAAAATCAATGGTAGGTACTATACTATGAACTACGAATCATGTCCGGCGTCAAGCAAACTCGTTCAACAGAACTCCATGTCTCCCAGTGAGCTTCAATCTCCTTTGTGTTACCACACAATTTTGGATGATGGGTCCTTAATCTTATTGAGGCAAACATCAGCCTGCGAAGTCTTTCTTTTTCTCGCCAGGTCTGCCTCTAATCCTCTGCTAAGAGGTGCTGCGTCACGAAGATCTGTTAGTCAGTCAGGTGTACCCTAAACCGTTCGCAAGTATGATGTTTGGCCCGTCTCAATCTCGAGCTCTGCTAGCGACCTTTTTTCGGGCCTCGGCAAGATGGGTTTGAATACTTGCTATGGGCAAGGGGGTGGTGGAACGTGGATCCCGGATATCGGGTTGGGGGGGGGGGCTCCGCTAGGGGGTCGAAATATTTTTTGTGACCTATTTTAGAAAAGTCCTGCCAATAAGCCAAATAGCGCTGAGAGCCCAAAAAAACTCAACGAACTTTTTTCTAACGCCGCTCAGGTTCACAAAAAGTATGGCAAAGAAGTAAGTCCCTCTTTTATATATATATTCTAATCCAATACTGTATTGCAGAAAAGCGTCGGGGTTTACGAGCGACAGCAAGCTTTGTTGCCCAAAATATGAGAAATATATTCCTGTTGGAACAGGCGGCAAAGCAAATCTGCAGCGCGCAGCGAGACGGAGGTGCAGCAAGATGTCGCTATGCGTGACGTGATCAATCTTGTCGATAGCGAGGATGTCGGCGCACACGTACCCGCGGTAAAAAACGACCGCAATTGGACCGAGGATGTCACGGCTGTGGGGAGGAAGTCAGTTTGGGGGCAGTGCTATTGAATGCAAAGGAGAGGGTTGCGAGACTCTCTGGGTACGTGAATCTTCAAGTTTTGGAGGTTATCAGTTTGTTTTGCTGATCAACTTCATCTGGCACTTTAGTTTCACACGAAATGTGTGAAGGTTGGCCATTCATCGAAGTTTTGGATGTGTCCGACTTGTATGGATATGGGGGTGAAGCGTCGTCGCACGTAGTAACTCCAAAAAAAATATGTTTTTGACATAGGAACTTGGAAGTTTCCTTTTTTGGGGGGGTAGAGGTGGGGGGGGGTAGGCCGAGGGCCCCCTAATTTGTAATGTGACTGTATATCTAAAATCCACGTTCCGCCACCCCCTTGGCTATGGGCGGTTAGGGGTGCAGTGGGGCCGCGTTTAGAGAGTTGATGGCATTGCGTCAGTTGGAGTCGACAAGCACGGAGGCAATTTGACCGTAAGCAGAGAAATGGTAAGAAGTTGGCGATTCTTGTAAACTCTTCGGCGTCGACACTTGCTTCGTTTTGTTCCAGGTTGAGATTGATACAGAAAGGACGGAAGGAATACAAGGGGGGATGCTACAAGGGTATCTCGCCACTAGTTGGGTGTTCGTAAAGTAATAATGGACGGATGCTTTAAAAAATAACTCTGAAAATGCGTTCCCAAATATTTTTCGGTGGGACTTCTGGGAGTTCAGTTTCATCTATGTCAGGGATGTCCTACAAAGGGAGTGTCAACACACACAAACTAATCTTGACGAAAAAGAAAAAGGGACTTGCACTAACAAGATCCCTCTCCGTCCGTTTCCAGACCTTTGTGTGCTTGAAGTACTTGTATCCAACGTACATGAAAAAGAAGATTGGAATGTTGATATCTGAGTACTCCGTAAGAGCGACAGAAGATGACACATTGTAGAACACAAAACTCACAAGCAGCAATGAACACAGAAGTTTTAAATTTAAAGAAAACAGTATACCCATTGATGAGAATAAAGATCCCCGTCCATGCACAACCCCAATACGCCAGATAAGGTTGAAATGTATTGTTGTAGGTGTTCTCTCTAAGATCCCTGTCTTGTGCTTGTATCGCTTGATCTACAAGTGTGCTGTAAGTTAATGCGGACGACACAGGCGACTTGACGTACAGAAGTAAATATAGGTAAAATTCATCGTCAACCAACTTAAGAAACCCGCAGTAGTCGAAATGTTGACAAGCCAGCTGCGTTAAAGCGGTTTAGCCATCTTATTGAATGTTAGACTGGGCTGGGCATACTTGAAGACAGTCTCAGCTCCTGACGATGATTTCATGAAGGACAGCAATGAGAAGATGCTCTAACAGGAAATAAAACGCATAAAACAAAAAGAGCACAACAGGTTGCTCACGGAGATAAGAACAGCATTCCGAGGAAGTCCACTCTCGGTACAGCGGGTCAAGAAATGAGGTGCTTGTCCGCGGATGGCAAGACCATAAAGGATGCGAGACGAACAGAATAGTAAACTATTCCCAGCCGAGAATGCGCTCGTTAAAATAGCCCCGTTGACGACATGAGGAAGAACTGAAGGACTCGACAGAATTATCACCCTGGAGAAACAGTCGGGTGTATGGGCTGAGGATCGTACCTTTAACTCCAGTATGACTCATGGCAATGACAAATGGAGATTGAGCTGCAGTCCCACTATCTATGCATTCAGAAAGTATACTGAGTGAAGGAAATTTCAAAAGTGCGAATAACATACCTTGTAACAAGGCGGGATCGTCATGTGCCTGTACTTTACCCTCCCCGGCTTAATCCATATGGAATGCATGGAAGGGGGGCGGATTCCAGGAATTCCAGATGGATTCCATGGAATGGCAGATGGACTCCATACTTTCTGGGGATGGATTCCATGGAATGGCTGATGGACTCCATACTTTCTGGAGATGGATTCCATGGAATGGCTGATGGACTCCATACTTTCTGGAGATGGATTCCATGGAATAGCTGATGGACTCCATACTTCTTTCAGATGGAATCCATGGAATAGCTGATGGACTCCATACTTTTTCCATATGGAATTCAGATGGAATAAGTCCCAATTCCACAATTATTATCATAGAATCACAAGTCCAGACTTAATCTGCAAAGTTCCAACTTAAACACTAATAAATGAAGAAAACTAAGGTGTATTGAAACAGACTACATAATTTTATTTTACTACATATAATATTAAAGGGAGGGGGAGGGAGAGGTATAGATATAGAGTGATCAAGGGAGGGGGAAGTGATGGAGGGGAGGGGAGGTGGGAGTTGTGGAGAATGAGGAGGGAGGGGTGGGGTGGAGAGTGATGGAGGTGGGGAGTTATGGAGGGGGAAGGAAAGGTGGAGAGGGGGGCAGCAATCAGAGGGGGAGCAATGGGGGAGGGTGTGATGTGGAATAATGATGGAGGGAGGGGGGGCTCACCTGGGCTCGTCACTGTGTTCGTGGATGGGCGGCGGACATTTTCGGTGGGCGGGGGACGTTGTTTCGTGGGCGGTGGACGTTT